AAAACTAGTAAGAGGGAAGCACTAGTGAACAGAATAGATTCCTGGATGCTTTCTCTATAATGAAGGAGGCAGAGATTCCATTCCATGAATAGCTCAGCTTTTAAGGAAAACAGTATCATAATTTGGGAACAGTTAACTAGTTCTGGGGTTTTTACCTGTGGCAAGAGTGGGACAAAATTGTTAAAAGATTTTTGAAGTGTGTACTTTTGTGTATTTTTTGCCTAGAGGGATTATATAACTTTCATTAGATTCTTAACAATGAAGTAAGATTTCCTGACCAGACCAACACAGGGACCTTGTTGAGGAAAAAATGGATGGCCAAGGTCAGAAACCTAGACTGAGCAGACTCTGCCTGATAAGCCAGCATTATTCCTCTCTCCCCAAGCGCAGATCATCATTACCTGGCACTCCACCCACAAGTGGAGTCTTAGGTGTGTGAATGCATTATCACTGAATTACTTGCTGTGAGGCAGGTGGTAATGACCAATATTTAGAGAGTTCCAAGGTTACCTAGTGAAGATCCAAGTTGCAGCCCATGTTGGCTCTAGCACAACTTACTCCCCTTTTCCTGTCCTCATATCACCAGACTTGGAAACACAGGACACTGAATTTCACATAAAACCCACACAACCACTTGGGGTTGGAATGAATGAGGGTGGATTATTTAGAATTAACACCAGAGCATCCAGTAGTGATTCCGATATAATCCAGATACCCAAAACATCTCAAAACAGCAACAAGACTGGAAACATTCTCAGAAACCAGCCAATTACCTAAATCTAACCCAGTGTCTAATCCAAGGTTTTGGAGGGTGCTGGAGATCAGCTTTGGAGAATGCACTTCTCCAACTTCAGGACAGGCTGTGGGCTGTTTCTGAAGTTGCTGGAGCTGAGCTGATAACGTCTAACCAATGCTGATGTGGCTCTGATTCCAACCAGTCCTCTGTCCTAGTGTAGGAGTAAGCTCCCCTCATTATGCTTCTGATCCTCCAGCCCATACTAGAGTATCAGTCAGCTCGAGCTGCTACAGCAAAATACCACAGATGGAGTGGTTTAAACAACAGAAATTAAGTTCATAGTTTGGGAGGCTTGAAGGTAGGTTTCATTATGAGGCCTCGTCTCCTGGCTGGTAGGCAGCTGCCATCTTGAGGTGTGCTCATATGACCTTTGTGTGTGGGGGCAGGAAGTGGGGGTAGAGAGCAGTTAGTTCTTTGGTGCCTATTATAAAACATTAATCACATTATGAGGGACTCACCTCATGGGCTTCAGACACATTCATCTAACTCTGATTACCTCCTAAATATCCAGATTGCATTCGGGGGGTTAGGGCTTCAAGGTATAAATTTGGGAGAGGTGGGAAAGGACACACCATCATTCATTCCATAACAACTGACTTCTCTGAATTCCTTGCCCTTTTTTCTCCCTTTGCAAAAGTGGCCTGAGCACACCTGATTATGAAAAGGAGTTCATTAAAAAAAATACAACTGAGTTAGAAACTCACTGAACAGAAAGCACATCCATCCAATTCCTCCTAGCACTGGTTTTCTATCTTAATTTCTAGTGGAACTGAATTTCAGATTTTCTGCCCACAGAAGTAGCAAACTGGCAACCCCTTAGCTGTAATCTGTAGGCACATTTTGTTTGCCCACTTGGTTTCCAAGACTTTGAATGGGTTGCCTGTATTTAAAAATCTGATTTCACTTGGAAATTCAGCCTCCAGCTTCTCTTGAGCATGACAGCATTTTGGCAACTGCAACTACTCTTCTGCTAGGACTGTCGTAGTCAAGCAAAGGCTGCCCCTCTGACTGGCATGGCCCCCTTCTGGTCACCGTTATTCACCTCTGCTGTTTGGCCCTGGCAGGCCTGGTCTCCTCATCTAAGAACAGAAGCTGTTGCTGTTTAGTCAGCCCTGGTGGTAATCAAGTTTCCTGAGAATTTTGCACTGTCTAGGCTTTTCTAACCCACACGCTCCAAACTCTGAATTCTCCATTTGTCCCAACAAGGAGAAACTGGTTTGACAGTGTGAACAGTTTTAGTGTATGGATGGAACTCCTTATTCAACTCAATTGTCAGGCATATTCTGGAAGCTAATTTGTCATTTTCTGGGTTTTGCCGCATGTACCTCATCTGCTAACAGGCAGCAGCTCAAGGGAAAAGATGTTGTAGCATAGGAAACAGATGGTCTTGCCAGATGGTCTTGCAGACTAAAGACTATACCCAGCTGTGAATCTGGAGCGAACATAATTGCTTTTTAGTTAATAAATTACAGAGTGACATGACTACTTTAAAAGATTTTTTTTTTCTTCCCTTTGTTTTGCAATGCTGGGGATCAAACCCAGGGCACGCTAGGCAAGAGCTCCAGCACTGAGCTATATTGCTAGCCCAAAAAGTTGGGCTTTATGTGACTTAATGACATTTCAAGGATCTTTAATCTACTGTTTTGATAACTGCTACACCTTACACAGTGTACCATGTTATTGCTTTGCTTCAGAGTTGCCAAAAACCTTTAATAACTATATTTAATCTTCATAGCAATCCTGTGAGGGATAATTAAATATTATCAACCTTAAGTTACAGATAAGGAAATAAACTCAAAAAAAGACATGCATTCCTTGGTCACATACCCTCTGACCAATAAAAGGCTCTTACAAAACTTACACACTAATATCCCCTTATCTGCAGGGAACCCTTCCTTAGAGTCCCGGTGGATTCCCGAAACCTTGGATAATACCAAACTATCTATTCAATGTTTTTTTCCTGTACATACACACCTATGATAGCTTAATTTATAAATTAAACACAGTAAGAGATTTAATAGTAGCTACTAGTAACATAGAACAACTGTAACAATACACTGTAATGCAAGCATGTGAACATGGTTTCTCCCTCAGAACATCTTACTATACTTTCATCTTTTTACTTCCAGGAAGTACTTTTACCACTTCTCTTTGGTTTATCCAGGTTGCCAGCATCACTACTTTTGTGCTTTGGGGCCATTATTAAGGAAAATAGGGTCTACATGAACACAAACAACTGTGTTAACAGTCACCTGATTTCCCAGACAGTGACTAAAGGACTAATGGGTGGGTAGTGCACAAAGTGAATACAGCTACACAAGGGATGAGTCACATTCAGGAGCAGGGCAGATTAGGGGGCCGTGAGACCTCATCACACAACTCAGAATGGTACGCAGTGTAAAACTGATGGATTATTCCTGTAATTTTCCATTTACTATTTCTGGACCACAACTGACTCGGGTAACTGAAACTGTGGGTAAGGCAAAACTACTGTCTAAAAGGCCATGCATTCTTAGATACTCAAGTAGGTAAAGTCCCAACTGATTTTATATTTTCACAAAGTGTTCTTTCCCAAATACTAACAAACTTTGTTATTTTAGTTAATTGTTTTCATCACACAATGGACAATTTAAGTGTCACGAGAGGGATCCTAGGATTTCTGGACTGAAAGAGATTCTTGAGCTGGTTGTCCTTAGGTTCACAACAAAGTCCCAGAGCACTCTCGTTGCCTGTGTCCAGTGCTCTTGCTCTGCACTGCTCCTCAGATAGGACTGTGTGCTACTTGTTTGCCTTGTGAGTTTTTTTTCTCTCCCACCCTCCCTTGCCCGCACTCTACACACTGCCCAACCATCCTGCCCTGGGCCTAGGATAGGGTTCTCTCTCTGGATCATTAACTGCCAACCAAACCAAACACCTCTGCCCCTCCACATGTCCTATCTTTACTTTCCTGTTACCTTGCTCCTGCTATGTCAATTTATGCCCCAAGACTGAGACAAACCAGTTCATGTTCAAATTTCAGATGAAGCTTCCACCCTAAAGACTGAAAAATTCAGTTTTCTTAGTCACAAACACTTCTGAGATTATAGCTGTCTTTGGATAGTGGCTCAAGAAACAGATATCATTGTTTTGGGAAAAGTAGTTTTAGTTTATTACTCTGTGACTTTTTGAAAGTTGCTTTCTTTTCTGAATCTCATTTTTCACCTGGAAGACAGGAACTGCATCAGTACTAAGCCACAAGGTTTGCTCTAAGGATTGAATTAGACTACATAATGCTTGTCATTCAAAAAAAAATCAGCTAGTATTGGTATTTAAACATCAAAGATTGTAAGTACATAGGCCTTTAGACATTATTAATATATATATTTTTTTAGTATTTAGGGGAAAATGCTATATTGATTTATGCTATTGTTTCATAATCTTTGAGTGGTAAATCTGACACAAAAGCTTGAATTTATGATTTGTAATAGGAATAAATTTCTATTCTAGATATTCTTATACATCAACTTGGTTCTTTGCTTTGAAAGAACTTGAAGGGCTGGGATGTAGCTCAGTGGTAGAATACTTGACTCATATACTAAGGCCCAGGGATCTCCAGCACCACCAAAAAAATGAACAAGCAAAAATGTGAAGAGCAACTTGAAGTTTGGGCATTTTCCCATTCTTTAAGAAGTGTTTGTATAAATTTCCATGTTTGTATTTTCTTGCAAACTGTGGTCACATTAGAAGATCTATGGGCTGGTATCTGTTATTTGAAAATATCTTCTAGTCTATGGCCATACCACCCTGAATTGCCCAATCTTGTCTGAAAATATCTTCTAGCTCTTAAAATATCCAACACAAAAAAGGGCTGGCAGATTGGCTCAAGTGGTAGAGTGCCTAACGTCAAGCCCCAGTACTGCCCCCCACCAAAAAAAACCAAACAAAACCAGAAACGAAAACAAAAAAATATTAGTATTAAGAATATCACAATTAATATAATTAATATCACACACACACTAAGGTACTCATTAACAATCTGACACATGCTGTTTTTGGAAATTTAGATGTGGCTGAAATACTAGTGGCATTAGAAATGAACAGTGTAGCCATCTATGAAGAGTTATGAATGTGAGATAAAGTCTCTGTTCATTATTACTGCATCTGTCTTAGAAAAAAAGATATACAGGTGATTTTCAGAGGGAAAAATTAAACTTGAACAAACATATCTCATTAACAAAGCAGTCAATTCCCTTTATTTTTAAAATTTTATGTACACATATGAACGATCTGTATAATGTACATTCAATATAGAAAGTTTTATATATTTGATAATGTATAGAACATTTCACAATTACACTAATCTCTTACATAACATCTTGACATCCATTTGTAATTTTTTAAATTGTTTTTGCACAAGCTCCTCTTCATTTAATTTGGTGAAGCCAGCTATACATACAGATGTGTATTGTGAGCTCTCAAAAGGTTAATGATTGAGGACACCGGTGAACAGGTACAGGGACAAAAACCTAATAGTGTTCGATGGAGGGAGGAAGACAGCCATGTAGACTTGATGCAGGAGAGGGAAATACTCCCTTTTGCTGGGGATGAGTGACTCAGCCCAATTTCTGTAGACTGCAGCTTAATCCCACAGTCATACTAATTCAAAAAAACATTATAAAAACTAGGAAGAAAGTTTTGTCTTTTTGATTCACAGTCTTGTAAACAGATATAAAGGAACAAAATGTGCTTACATACATCAAGAAAAAAAATTCTTGTGTACCCACTTAGGTTGATCCAGAGTGCTTTTTCACAACGTGATACTATTAGAATCACTGACATTTTCCTAAATAAAAATATATTTATAGAAAAAGGAATAACACTGTCATGAAACCAGGAGAAAGGCAGTAAGAGTTTGCTTCAATGTATCAGCTGGAGGAATGTGGACTCAGGACTGGCCTTTCAGCATTTATTATCTCTCTTGAATTTCAAGTTTGATAGCCAAGGTCACCTGCCTCATGGTCTACAGGAGGTGGCAGGTTAGACATGACTGATGAGGATGTACCAGCGGTAAGGTAGCCAGCAACTCCAGGTCCTGCAAGAAAGAAAGGAAAGCATGCATCTTCTAGAAAGCAGTCATGTGGAAACACTGAGCTTTACAAATGGTCAGTTGGTCAGATGCACCAGCGTGAGAAACTAAGCATCACTGAGATGTACAACTGCACCTTAGCAGACAGCTACACAGCACCATTTTCATGATTTGCTTTTACTATATAACACACTTAAAAATGATTTCATTATTTATGCTGGACAGTAATGCTGGTGTGGAAATAGGGAAATTCTCACATCTGAGATATTCAATCTTTCAAAAAAAACCCTGGGTACAGAAAGAGCTATGTCACATGGAGAAAATGGAAACAGACAGACAAAAGAAACTATACCAGCCCACCCAAAAATCACACACGACAAAACTCTCAATATAAACAATTTTGAAACATTCAAGTTAGCCTATTTTCATTTGGTGCAAAGAAATGCTATTCTAACAAGTAACACCAAATGAACAGAGGCTGCTATACCAAGGTTTCTGAGAAAGAAGGCTCTGGACATCCATTTGTCATAGGTCAAAACAAGAATGTTCCAGAAAAAGGAATCAGTATTTTAGTTTTACATGTTTGACTCTTACAGTCTCTACTGCATGAAAAAGCTATACATGCCAGCATTAACCAAGATGTGTCCTATGAGCTTATCAGTGGCTTTGGACCTCTGGAGTTTAAACATCACATAGACATTTAATTATATCTCAGAAGCACTGGACAAACTGTGACAAGTACTTGCAAGAGAAATTAGCACAATGCTGCAATATTTTTAGCTCAGATTGTAGGAAACAAGGCAAATGACTATAGAATATTGAAGCGTTAGGACAAGAAAGGCAGTGGAAGCAACATGCATTTAGCAAAATGTTTCTCTACCTGCTTCAGAGAGCTACACAGAAGTTAGCAAGCTGCCTGGCAGAGCGGATCTAAAGCCCACTCCTGAGGTGAAGGGGGCTGCTGCCAGTTAGAAGGGAAGGAGAGACACCTGAGGGGAGAAAAGAAATATAAGCAGCAAGGGAGGTTGTGAGGAGGTGCAAACAGCAGAGCAGTATGATGGGGCTAAGGCATAACAGGACTGACGCAGGACAAAGGCCATGACTCAGACTCATCTTGTCTCTCACCTTGCGAGCATCTGTACTGAGGATCTGAAATGGCCTGTATGGATACTGTGCAGGTGGTTACATGGCCAGACGATCTGGCCTGCATGAGCTGGGACCAAAGCCAACTACAGTGTCCAGGGACTTGGCGCCTTGTCCTTGAAACACTTATGAAAAGGATTTCCCCTTTTTAAGGTACCAGGGGGGGATGCATCTCTAAACTCCCATCATCTGCAGTCAGCACACCAGGCCTTCCACAGACTGCTGGGTAAAAAGACTACGAGGTAGACAAAGTCCTTTGACAGTGTGTTTCAGAGCTGCAGCACCATATGGTGACACTATTTTCCACCAAATTATCATGCTCTGAAGTTTCGGGGTGGGGGGGGCGGGGCGGAGAATTACTACAAAGCTATCATGTAGGTCTCACCAAAGAGGAAATCTTTATGAACAAAACCTCAAACTGTCCAGACTGACATGGTTCCTGAGCAATCCTGACTGTCGGTTCAACTAAGTTCATACCAAAGGAGTGGGATATGAGACCAAAACATGAATGCTACACATGGAAAGGAGACTAGTGTTGTGGTTTCCAAACTCTGCTGGAGTATCCTCACAGGGATACTTCTGGGTATTTCAAATTTGAAAAACAGTGACATTTTACCACCAAAGTCATACAAACAACTACTTTCCAGATATTTGAACATACAACTTTATAAACCTAATTCCTGATATTTCTTTTAGCCTAGGCAAAAATATTACTAAGACACTAAGGGCACTGTGGACTGAGAAAATTTGTGAACTTCTAAGCTAAAAATCTGCATTGTGAAATGAGGGGCCTAGACAGAAGAAAGCCCTTTAGGAAAGGCAAATCAATTCCTGAGTAGTCTAAGAAGCTCCCTGCCTCCATGCCCAGGCCTCTCCTGAAGGATGCACTAGGCTTCCTGCTGCTCCATCATCAGAATGGGGCAGAGCAGGTTCTAGAATTACTTTTTCTCCTGAGAAAGTAGAAGAAAAAGGAGAGGTGCCAAGTCATGTGGAAACATTGTATGTCAGATTTTAGAGGAATGAGAAAAGATGGAAAATTAACAAAGAAGGCTACAAAACAGAACTGGCTGCCATAATTTTATATATGTACACACAAAAGTTCCTCAATCTTCATTTCCAGCTCCTAAAAGTATTTATTTACCTCAGCCTCTTCCCCCCAAACACATTGCTCCTCCTTTTGCTACTGACTTTTTAGGTGAGGTAAGTGGAAAATTTTTATAGCTGACATTATTTTTGGAGGGCTCTGAACTTACTGGAACTAGTAATTCTAGAACCTAATAATTGGCTAATTATGGGTCCTGGATAATGAGCAACCACAATGTGTCTACATCACAGTAAAACCCACTGAGGCACACTTAAATATTTATCATAAAAGAAAACAGTATGGCAGGTACAGAACCTATGGAACTGGGTCTTACTGTACTTTATCACCCTTGAGTAATTTTATCTATGACTTTAAAATTTATTATTTCGAATCATTTAGTATGTCACTAAATGACATTTGTTCAGTGGCAGGGAGAAGAAAATCTTAACTCTTATCTTTGGTCATTCTCATCTTACTCTGAAATAGTAATTAACTTTCCTCTTAAACTAAAGACTCTTCTTTCCCAACCTCCTAAACAAAATTCACTCAACTCGTCAAATGCCCCCAAAGACATCAGTCAGAAGTATCTTACAGTACCTTAGTTCATTTGTAAACTTATCAGAGGGGCACTGTATACAACCTGCATCTTCTGAAAATTAGGGGTTCTTTGCGGGGGGCATTTTAATTAAATAAAATTCTGATTCAACATAACACTGAATAAATTCCATGGAGTTCCACAAAATGAGATTTTACAATTATTAGAAGTACTTGCCCCTTTCCTTAAACTCATGTCACACACCAATGGAAAAGCTCAAACACAATAATCCATTTGGCAACCTAAGAAATGAGCGTGAACCAATTCAACTGTAAATTAACTTAAGCTTAACTCTTGAAAGACATCATCTTTTCAAATAGGATAGACCAAAGCTGGTGGAAAAATCTTCTCAAGCAACTAAAATCTTAAAAAAAAAATTCCAGATTGATAATGTGCCAAGAATAGGTCAGTTCTGAGGCCAATACAACTCACAGCTAGACACACAACTGCAGGCTTCAGAAGTGGCCTTCAGAACCACACAGTGGTGGGATTTATACCCTCTTTTTCTTGTCTGGGCTTGCACAGAACTTACTACCCTTTGAGTTGGACCAAGGATAGAAAGAAATTTGTAAGCTCTTCTTTCCCCGCTAACCACCTCCCAACTCTTATGGTTTATCACAGCGCTCCTCATACCTCATTCAGAAGCTCCCCAGGCATGCAAGTAAAAGGAAAGGCATAGATAGGAAGCTTCCATAATCCCCACCCTCAAAATTATTATGGGCTTTGGATGGGGGTAAGAATCAAATGAAGTCCAGGTCTCTAAAGATAATGTTAATCTCTTCTGTATACAAATCACAGACCCCTTGGCCTGCAGCTGTCAATAAGTCAAGGACACCCGCAGGAAATTTTTTTTCCTACTTCAACTTCATTACACAGTATCTATAAGAAAATATTAATTTTTAAATTAGAAAACATAAAACTGCATATAGTACAGAAGAGGCAATCTGATTTTAAAGACAACACTCTAAGAACATCTACCAAGAAAATAAAGACTTTCACAGGATAACAACTTGGACAGATGCTTTGGCAAATACAATACAAAGCTCTAATTAAAACCAGTCTAAAATATTTAATCCAAACTGTATCATCATTCCTCATTAGAGATTTACACACCAAAGTGTTTCTTTCACTTTAAAAAGTTGAGGCATTTTCCCAAATATCTCTTACTTATCAAAAACAGTATTTCCATTTTGTATTCCTTCATGCAGATTATCTCTGGAAACTTTTTAAGACTATTAGTGACCCATTTAAACTTTTGTTGATTGGAGACAAAAACATACTCTAAAAATCTCATCCTTTACAAAAATTTATAAAACTGCTTTGTAAAATTAGTATCAAGACTGTCAAGTTGGCTGTCATTTACATGGTTGAATAACAGCTGTTTTTTCTCAGAGCTGGGGTGGCAGATGTTCTTTTTTGGCAGTACTGGGGTTTGAACTCAGGGCCTCATGCTTGCTAGGCAGGTGCTCAACCACTTGGGCCACTCTGCTAGCTCTCCCTTTTCTATTTATCAGGAGGTAAATCCAAGCACTAAGCTGGAATTCCAAGACAGGCTTAATTATTAAGATTGTATGGTGGATATAACCCTTGACCCATGTAGCAATAAGGTGTTAAAATGCTGACAGAAAACTTTGATACCTGCAATTTTCTATTTCAAGTCAATGAATGCTAAATACGAATAATAAATGAATAAATGAATGCTTTTCACAAAAAGCGTTACAGGAAGCCTTCCTGTAGAGAAGCTTATAATCAACACAATACTATTCTTGGGGCCAACTTCTTAGTTTTTTCTCAGCTGAGAAAAATAAGGCACATTTTCCCAATCATACCATGCTTATACATAAAGAATCTAATGCCATGGAAATGTGGTATAAAAATTTTTGGAAACTATCAAGAAGTAGTTTAGTGAGCCTGTAAGAACATTCTCCTACTTTGACACTATGGCTTCACCCCAAATTTGAATGAGAAAGATGTGGGAGAGATTAAGACTGTATTCTAGGTACTTCTCTCCACAGAAATCACTGCTCTTAACAAACACACAGGACCAACAGCCAAAGTATCACATTTATAAATTTTAGGTTTCTGCTCCTGATATTAGAAATGGATTAATGTTAAAGTGGCCACAGTGAAGGAAATAAATAATATTCAGTGTCACAACCAAGTCTAAAATTATACCAGCTGAAAATTTCTCCAAAGTTCCAGTTTTTGAATCTTCAGGATTCATTCTTCACAATTTTATAAACATCAGTACTACCAATCAGGATTAAAACAATTGCACCAGCGTGAGAAACACTGGGAATTTTCCTCTTAAATTACCTATACTACTTCTGGTTGGGTGAGGATGTAGGGCTGACATCTACATATATACAACTTCTCACGGATGGGAGAACTACCTCATGTTCTTAAGGTTAATTTTTCAAACTGAAAGTTCTATTTTATCTTTAGCATACAGCAATTAAATAATGTGGCTTTCTTCTTAGACAGAAGCCAATATGAAAACTTTTCTAAAACTTGAGAAATTAGGGTACCAAATGGATACATGTCCTGTGCTTCAAACATGTACTATCCTTTGAACCCTAAGCAGTCAACCCTGCTTTTGTTTCTGATATCTACGTATTTCCCCCGTGGGAGAACAAACCCTAAATATGAGGCAAAACTACAGAGTAATCACTGGAAACTTGGAAGAAAAATAGTTTACGTCTGATAACATATTTGGAGCTTCACTCTTATTCTGAGAGGAATGACATGATGCTGCCATGTTCCCGATACTGGCAGTCCTCAGTAGGTATTTCTCCATCCTTTTTACATGTTTGAGATAAACATTTAATATAGACATGCTCCAGACATAACCTATGACACTAATTAACTGGATCAAAACTAAGCAGAGAGCATGTTTTTATCATGACACATTCAACACAATACCTCGTATGCTGTCTGATGCTAAAAACAGAGTTTACTACATTCCCACACCACCAGCACCTACGTAAACATTCTCCATGGTATTTTAAGTCTATTCAGTGCAAAAGGAAGGTCCAAGTGGCATCTGGCCTGTCTCAGGGTAACCAACTAGGTATGACTTACCTGTGAGGTATCCTGCTGTTTGTGAGTCAGAAATGAACAAATCGTGTTTCTGATCTTTGAAGGCACTCCAGACTGAAGAACGAGACAGGATTTCATTCACCTAAGGAAGTAAACAAAGCCCTTTTAGCAGAAATAAATTAAGGACTAGATGCTGGAAGCCTGAACTAAAGAGAAAAAACAACTTACAAATCAACAGGAAAAAAGGCCATTGAGGAAGGACCCTCAGACAGACTAAGAACGAGTATTTTTCAAACAGTTTATACCAGGCCCTGTGTTAGGCATGTCTCACTCACTCAGACCCAAACTGTTCAAGTTAGTCTTCCCTCTACAACTGGACTCATAATTGAGGCAGAAGATTCCTAAACAGAGTATTTTCTTGTGACAGTAATGGACAGTAGATAGTGTGATATAGGCCAATAAATTATTACTAAGGAAGAGTTTTGGTAGAACTTGCTGGAAACTGTAGCTAAAACTTTAAAGCAGTCTTTCAAACTTACGGATGGTGACCTGTTAGAAGTTTCAAAAAAGGGTGTGAACAGTATGCTTGAGAAAATAAAATAAGTGAATAGAGAAAGGATCAGAATATCATGTATGAAATGGGTAAATATTCTGTGAAATAAATATATAAATAAATAAATGTATGAGTGCAATTAATATATGTGTGTGTGAATATGTACTAGAGAAAGATGAATGACACTTCTTTCTTTGTGGGTTAGATAAAGATGATTAGGAAACACCAACTTAAGAGAGTATCTTTTCCAAGTCAACATTCAGATAAAGAATTTATTGAGCACCTCTGATGTGGGACGCACAGCAGACACAATGATAAGGAAGACAATCTCTGTCTCTCAACTTAGATGGAAAGCTTATAGTCTAGAAAGAGAGAGTGCCAGAAAACTTAATGGTAGACACTAAATAGCAATGAACACGGGGATCATGGGAGTCCAAGAATGGGTACCTGTCCAACTTGGAAAGAAACAATAGGGAAGAGATTAATTGTGAAGGTGGCAGAGGATTTCTATTTTGGAAAGTACTATACCTCTTTTCTCCCCTTCCTTGGGAGCAGTAGGTGGGTGTCAGGGTTACTTTGCTAATTTTGCCACCAGGATTCCTGAGGCAGGTCAAAAGAAGGCAACTGCTTGCAAGTGGTAAATAGGAGTGCATTTTCTTGGTAGGTTTTCCACAGGTAAAATTCAAAAAACAACCAAAAACAAAACAATCCCCCCACCCCCCCAAAAAACCAAAAAAACCCAAAAAACTAGCTAAGTAGCTACTAATTGCAGCAGTGTATGTGGCCTATCTTCTTTAATATAATTTTAAAATCATTCAAGATGATACTGATAGAAGGGACAATGGCATCAAAAATGCTTCTTTTCGTGAAACATACAAACCTAGTGGATTCACGAGGGGGAAGCCTTAGTTGAAATACATTTAAATCTGTGAAAGAACACTAGGATGTAGAAACAGCTCAAATGTCCATCAAATGGAAGAACAGATAAATTGTGGCATGACATATGATGGAATATTTAGACATAAAAAGGAAGGAACCGTTAATACATACTGAAACCACAAAAACATGTGCAGTAACAGAAGACAGATACTACTTAGATAACACCCAGAACAGGTAAATCCATAAGCAGAAAACAGATCAGTGGCTGCTAGGGCCAGGGGGAAGAGGAAATGGAGAGTAGCTGTTTATGAGATACAGGGTAATGAAGATATTTTGGAACTAAATAAAGTGGTATTTATAAAAGAATATTGTGCTCAACGGCAATTAATTGTTCATCATATAATAATTTTATGGTATGTAAATTTCAACTCAATAAAAAGAACATTAGAAAATAAGTCTATGCAATAAATTTAAGGGAGAACTCCTCAGAGCAACAATAAAACTAGAGGGATATTAAATTATTGAACAGACCTGAAATCAGCATGTGCATGCAGCTGAAATACATTAATACATATCTAACTCATAAAAAAAAATGAAGCCAATACTTTACAAGGACTAATAAAGACGAAAACCAAAATAATGTTCCGTAGCTTTTAAAAAGGTGTATGAGAAAGTTAATAAAATGTACGTATCACCACTCATCGATAACTCCTAGATCCAAAAGCTGATCTTAACCAGTACTAAATGTTGAATATTCTTCTACACTACAGAATTTCAGCATTTTTCTTCTTGAAATGCACAACACACCACCATTGTCCAGAAGAATCCTGAGTGACCACTGGGCATAAGCACTGTGCTTTTTCACTGAGTTTGAGGCAGTTATGCAAGCCCACGCTTGGCTTACTTACACTGTAAGTAGACCTGAATCCAAGTTTAGCATACTCTGAAATCAACAGATCAAAGCTGCTTACTGCAGACTCACCTGCTCTCCATACTGCAGGCTTCGAGTCATTGCCTTGAGAGCTTTAACAATCTGAGCCTTAGTGGCAGCTGGGCTGTCCAGACTTTCAAGACCTATGCCTTCAAGCAACTTCAAGAGGTATGGGACCAAATCTGCTTTCAGGGCCTAGAAGGAATATTAAGCCTACATAAGTATGTTGAAAAAAATGTAAAACATCCACTCACAAGACCATACTTGAATAAAAAGCAACCTGTTTTCATAATATTTTAATGCCAGGTACAGATTTTTATTTTACTTTCTAATGATAATGGCATTTTTATTTAATGAAATTTTATTTTGTGCCATCAACTGTTCCAAATGCTATGTATCAATTACTTAATCTTCTTAACACATAACACACTATCGTTATTACAGATTGTACAATCAGTACCCAGAGGGTGAAGAAACACAAGTATAACCACAGAGCTGGGCAGTAATGGAATCTGCATCTGGACATTTAGTGTGTGTACCTTCCCCCCTGCCCCCCATAACAACCCAATGAAGTAATTTAATTTGTAACTTCGTTTCAGATGAGCAATCTGAGCACTAAAGGCTAAACATCATGCCTGAGGCCACAGGGCCATACTAGGCAACTGGCAATACTAGGTCATGTTCTTTTCAATTCAATCAAGTCCTGGTCAACCACAAGTGTGAACTCAGAGCATCTGCTGTCTTCATGAGAGCTACCCAATACTCTGACCTCTTTGAAACACAGGCTGGAGGATGGGACTGGGGAGAAGTGTAGCAGGAAAAGGGGGTGGGAGAACAGGAGGTCCAGATATGATAGATGCAGGGCCTTATCTGCAGAGGAAGAATGTCTGATGTTACTTTGTGAACTGGCAGGTCATAGGAAACCAAAGAATTTTACGGTGATGAGTGACTGAATTGTATTTCATTACTTTTTAATTCTTATTGCATACATGCATGTGATACAAAGTGATGTTATGTGTATACATGTGGAATGAGTAAACAGAGTGAATTAGCATGTCCACCACTATACTTATTTATTTTTATGGTGAAATGAAAACATTTAAATTTTACTCAGCTGTTTTGAAATATACAACATACTATTATTAACTATAGTGAGCAAAAAAAAAAAAAATTCCTCCTAACTGAAACTCCATACCATTCGTTACCTTCTCCCCACCTCCCACCAGTCTAGTCTCTGCTTCTATGAGTTTGACTATTTTGGATTCCATTTATAGATGAGATCATGTGGTATTTGTTCTGAAAGCTGTAAGTAAGAAAGAACACTTCTGCAATGGCTTTTAAATGTATAGTTTTTGTTTTTCAATCTCTGTGTACTCTACATCTATACCCACCAAGTTCTACTTTCATTAGGTGAACAGTCTCCTAGAAAAGGACAATAAAAAATTGGTGAAATTCTAAAAAATGACTTGAGAAATAAAGGAAGGAATAAGTAATGCATCTTTTCCAAAGAAGGTAAAGTGAATATTACAAAATAAGCTAAAGGTAAATGCTCAAAAAAATGATCCAGACTTTAAAGTTGGACCAACTAGTTTTGGTAGTTGGTCCTCACACTTTCCTGTGTGTAAATATAAAAAGCTGTGCATGCACAAAACTCTTAACTCACCTCTCACCAAACCTCAGTCACAGTATTTAGTGTCTTTGTTTTCTAAAAGAATGCTGACTCCAGAAAGTCACTTACTTGTGCTACTAATTCAGTCTGCTCCTTCTGGAACATTCGATGAATTGCTTCACAGGCCAGACCAACAGTATCTGCTCGCTTCTTCATTCCATTCATCAGTGGACCAATGGTCTCTAAGGATGCCATAGCTCGAACACACAGCTAAGAGCCCAAAAGGTTACTTGTAGAGCAGCAATACTTTATACAGCAAAGTAAACACCAGAGTAACAGAAACTTAAAAAATCTACTTTGAAGTTAAATAATGAAATGAGTCAAATTCTGTGTCTTACTAATTATACCATTTAAACAAGTTTAAGAATCAATAAAAAGCCATTAGGTTCGTATGTGCAAAGACACATGGTAGAAAGGGGATTTACACTACAATGGTGCTCTTAGTCCAGAAGAAAGAGCACAGATAAATTCCAGAGCTCTAAGCTATTGAATGGATTCATTAATACCTCATTGTCAGACAGAGCATGGATAACCCGAATGGCACTCTTAGGAATGGCATTGTTCCTGTGATTCATCGCCTGGATAACTTTGGGAAGATGGCCCAAAGGTGGGACTTGATCTGCCAACTGAGGCTGAGCATTGAAGAGACACACTGTTGCCATTGTCAAAGTTTCCAGAGTTTCCCCCTGGAAAGTATTAAACAGAGCAAAACAAATAAAATACAAAATCCTGAAAAAGTCCTCAATATCCTTGGCAATATATGTGGTGTTTAAAACTGAGGATTCAAAATTTCTAAGTACCGACACTTGAAAACTGACTGACACAAATCCAAAGGACTTACAATGTGCCATCATCATCTAAGCAGCCCTTCTCTGGGCCAGGTACATTGATTTCTATTGCAGGTATTAAGAGGTCATCTCCCAAAAGACACTACTAGAAATTTTCAGACACTGTTATAGCTACATTAATGAATGCACAACTAGTGAAAGGTTTTTCCCTGTTCTACTTCAACTCCTATGACAGCCTGAGTATCCCTTATCACAAATGCTTGGATTCAGCAGTGTTTCACATTCTGAAATAACTGCATAGATTTTGCCAGCTGAATATCCCTACCCTAAAATCCCGAACCTGAAATGCTCTGAATTAAAAAAATTTGAGCACCACTCAAGAGTTCTGATTTTGGAGCACTCCTAGTAGAGTGTGGTGGCTGAGGCCTATGATCCTTGCACGTGGTGGGCTGAGGCAGCCTGATGGAAAGTTTGAGGCCAGTTTGGGAAACAGCAAGACCCTGTCTCAAAATAAAAATTTAAAACAAATTAAGTATAAAAATGAAACAAAAACTGAAATGCTCTGAAATTTGAAACTTTGGACACCATTAGGATATTCAAAAGGTTTCTCATTTTTGAGTACTGCAGATTTTAGATTAAGGATGCTCAACCTGTATTTAGTGTGTCTGGCTGCCATAGTGATCCTACCACTGGATAGTGGACTGCAGAGAACTGCAGCTTACTCATTAGAGGCACACATTTATGCACACAACAAAAACGCTTTCTGAATGAACATGGAAAATGGGATGTGCCCAAAAAGAAAGGTGACACAGGAAGAAATTATTGTGTGTTTCCGTCTAAGTTTCAGCTTTTGAGAATTTTGTTTTGTAAGCAAACTATATAGTAAAAATGTATAGTAAAATTCTTAGTTCAAAAGAAATATAACTAGACAAAGTGACACTGGTAAATACATGGCACACTAATCCTATTTTTAAAAAAATTTGCAAGGGGACTGAGTATGGTGGTGCACCCCTGTAATACCAGTTACTAGGGCGGCAAAGATTGGGAGAACTGCGGTTTCAACCGACTTGAACAAAAAAGGTTTATGTGACTCATCTCAACAAGGTGGGTATGGGTGCACACATCTGTAATCCCAGTTATAGGGAGATGTAGTAGGAGGATTGCAGTCCGAGGCTGGCTCAGGCAAAAAGTGTGAGACCCGGGCTGGGATGTAGCTCGGTGGTACAGCGCTTGCCTAGCATGCGTGAGGCCCTGGGTTCGATCCCAGCACCAAAAAAGAAAAGACAAAAAAAAAAGTGTGAGACCCTACCTAAAAAATAACTAAAAGCAGATGGGCCAGGGGCATGGCTTAAGTATTTGAACAAGTACCTAGCAAGCACAAGGTCCTGAGTTAGAACCCCAGTACCACCACCCCCCCCAAAAAAGTTTTGCTAAGCTAATGATAGTAACTAATAATTTCTAAGCATTTGAAATATGGCAGACATACTCCTCATATCTTAACTCACTGAGACCTCAAACTCAGAGACAGGAGCAGTGGTCATCCTACACATGCAGCAATTAAGTCAGCCCCGTGACAACACAGGATGAGCTGGTGGTGGAGCTGGGACTGGAGAGGCACAGGATCTCTATCCACATAGCCTAGGCTCAATCACCTTGCTCTGCAGGTGTCCTGTTCAATTCAACAATAATCATGTATTTCTATTTTTCAATATAAGCATTCAGATAACAAAATCTTACACACTGTCAGGGTTTCTGACTTACTAAACCAGGACCACCTTCACTCACTGTGGCTTTCCTGGTAGCCTCTGGTTGTGAGCACAGGTACCAGGTACAGGGTTCATTCACACTGTTCTCCTGTCACTATGCTGTCAGCTTCTGTATCTAGCATCATCCTTGCCATACATACAAAATGTGATGAAGAACACAGATAACTTCCAGAGAAACAATGACTATTTAGGTTTCTCCTTAGTTAGACAGGCTTTGGAAATGGAATGGCAAAAACCTTCCTTTAGAGTCTCTAATGCTAAAATAGTGTCTCTCAATGTAAGTATCTCTAACTTTGGTTCATAAAGAACCATTTTACTGGAGTTTCACTACTGAAAATGACCAAAGAATTCAATGGACTTTCATTTAAATGTGGCTGCGTTTTTTTAAATTTTCTTCCCCCCTCCCCCCAGATTGAAGCCAGGGCCTTAGGCATGCTAGGCAAGTTCTTCACCACTTGTGCCATGCCCCCAGCCTAAATGTGCTATAGTTTGAAGAGGTAGCCAAGTCTTACTGCATGCTCAGTGAGGATGAGCCTTAAAGAGAAATATGATCACAGTATATTTAGCAAATTCTTTGAAATGTCTTGTAGATGACTGAGGCTTACATGAGGACTGTTCTTCTCCAGGAGCTCAGTTAATTTTTCTAATAGTGCAATAAGAAACTCTCTAGGCTTTCTTAGAACCCAGGCTGGTTGTGCAATAAAGATTCTCAAGAAAACTCCTCCAACGGCAAGTTCACCCTCTGCTTCTCCAAACACCACAGCAAAATCTTCAGGCAACTTTGAATGGAGACAGAATCACAGTTAAGTCACTTAAAAAGCATTACTTATACATACATATACATGAAGCAAGAAATGCCAGGTTCTATTAAAGAAATCTTTATACAATGATCTAGTCCACAAATAGCCACAGTATTTCCAAATTACAATAATTATGAGTTTCATTTTCTCTTAGTAAAGTTCAGAAAGGATGCCTTTATCAGTTCCTTACTCCAAATGTGGAACCTGTATTGGAAGCCTTATTTTCCAGAGGTGGTGCCCAAATGTCTTTGTGATAAAACTACAGACTGGCATCAAACTCATTCAGCCAGAATAAAAAAATAAAAGTGTATTTTACCTTCCAGTTTGTATCAGGGTTGTCCCGCTGATTTTTAAAGTGCCTTGGGGAGAAAAAAAGGGTGGGGGAAGATACCAAGCTTTAATCACAAGTAACACTTGTATTAACCTTCAGAGTAAGTCTTGGAGGGCACTAGTTAGTGTGGAAAACACCCTCCTGATGAATTCACCTGAAGGCTTTCAGTTACTGTCTTCATCTTTACTTACTCTAGCATCATTTCTCTCACTGTGGTGGACACTTTATCTCTGGAGCTATCATTCCAAATCAACTCAGGATTTTCATGAGTTCCTTCAAAAATATGCACAGCAGCTTCAGGGTTGTCTCTCATAGCATCCATGAATACACTAGGCAGAAATTTCATTAATGTAATTCGAACCTATGGGAGGAGGTTTGAAAAAGAAAACAAGACCTATTGGAAACATCTCAATATTTGGCTTGTTTTTACAGTTTTGCAATTTGGTTTATGTAAAAGGTAACTAATGAGACTCACTGTGACCTGGTCTGATTTACCTATCAAGTTTCACGGCAATCCCCTGCCTCAAATTTAAGACACACAAAGAAATTTAGGAGCCAAGGTGTGTAAAGTGCCCAGAGGACCCACCCCCCAGGTCACATGTGTACTTCTTGTCTTGAGAATGCCTCAGTTGTGTCTGTCCCTCTAACTTGTCCTCACACCTTCTTATCCTCACAAAGTAATTTTTTTCATTCTACCTTTCTCTTTTATAAGTATTTTCAGTGCATTTATTTTCTTTTACTCTGATTTATACAATAGTGTGCTTTTTTTCAAGAAGGACTTAAAAAGTAGCATTACAAAAATAAGGGCACAGTAGTACATGCCTATAATCCCAGCACCCAGAGGCTGAGGCAAGTAGATTGTGAATTCAAGGTCAAACTGGGGTACATAGTGAGTTTCAGGCCAGTCTAGGCTACACAGCAAGACCTTATCTCAAAAAACCAAAACAGTAATAGGGGCTGGGAATGTAGTTCTATGGTAGATGAGGTCCTGGGTTCAATCTCTAGCATCACAACAAAGACATACCACCACTCTTCAACACATACTACATACAAATTGAAATCAGTATCAGGTACAAGGAAAAGGGAAATGAAGATTTGGAAGTTAGGTATTTTCCTTCGGATAATCACATGACTGTCTATGCCAAATTCTGCTCAAATCTCAGCTTATGAAAACCTTCCCATATCTGATCTGCCTTTCTCCTTGTTTCTATTCTCAGCCCCTGACACACAGCAGACGCTCATTTGAATGAAGACTAACATGATGTCAGCACACAAAAAAATCACAAGCTCTGTATATTGCTGGTGCTTTACTACAACTTGAGTAGCAACAACTTAAGTAAGCATTGTTGGTTACATGACAGAGGCATGCACAAAATACAATCATGTCAACTACTTCACAGGCACCCAACTGTTTCTGGAGGGGAAAAACCAGTTTCTCCTGAGGCTTCCATAGAAGGGCATTTCTCATATATGAAATAGCATCAGGGTGATATCACAACTTTCATACACTTATTTCTTCTTATATTCCCTGTATAGGTTGAGAATGCCATGCCAAATATAATTCAGTTCTTCAGAGGACAAAAGCCAGGTATGAAAAGTGGCCGTTAAGCCTCCTGAAACAAAACCCATGCCTGACCTTCTTGCCCTTGGTAGCACATTCCCATAAAGCTAGAGAAATATTCATCCAAGAAGCACTACAAAAGCAGTAACAATAAAAACAAAACCCATGCCTGACCTTCTTTGCCCTTGGTAGCACATTCCCATAAAGCTAGAGAAATATTCATCCAAGAAGCACTACAAAAGCAGTAACAATAAAAACGGATGTATGGCCACAAAAACAGACATGAAGACCAGCGAACAGAATAGAGGACCCAGATATGAAGCACACAACTAGAACCAACTTTCTTGCAAAGGCACTAAAAAATAAATGGAGGAAGAGACAGCCTCTTCAACAAAAACTGCTGGGAAAACTGGTTAGCAGTCTGCAAAAAAACTAAAACTAGATCCATGTTTATCACCCTTAGCATATTACTCAAAATGGATCAGGATCTTAATATGCAGACCCCAAACTCTAAAGTTGGTACAGGAAAGAGTTAGGAAATGAATCTGGAATTAGTAGTAGGTATAGGTAAAATATTTCACATGGAAACCAGCAGCACAGCAACTAGAGATAGCTAGATAAATGGACTTCATAAAACTAAAAAGCTTCTGCTAACAAAGAAATGGTCTCTAAAGAAACACCCACAGATGGGAGAAAATATTTGCCAGCTACACATCAGACAAGACTGATAACCAGAATATATAGAACTTAAAAAACAAATTCTTCCAAACTAATGAACCAAAAGAAATGGGCAAGTGACTAAACAGAAATTCCTCAAAGAAGAATTCAAATGGCCAAAAAACATATGAAAAAATGCTCACCATCTCTAGCAATAGGAAATGCAATTAAACCACGCTAAGATTCCACCTCACCGCCGTTTAGAATGCCCATCATTAACAACACACTACAAACAGTGTTGGCGAGGATGCGGGGAAAAAGACACCTTTACACTGCTGGTGGAATGTAAACTAGTACAACCAACTCTGGAAAAAAATTTGGAGGCTACTTAAAAAGCTAAACATTGATCTACCATATGATTCCAGCAATACACTCTTCAGGAATATACCCAAAAGAATGTGACAAGTTACTTCAAGGCACCTGCACCCCATGTTTATTGCAGCACTTTCACAATTAGCCAAGTTATGGAAACAGCCAAGATGCCCCACCACTGACAAATGGGTTAAGAAATGTGGATTTATACACAATGGAATTTTATGCAGCCATGAAGAAGACGAATTGTTATTCTTCGCTGGTAAATGGATGGAATTGGAGAAACATCATTCTGAGTAGGTTAGCTGGCCCACAAAGACAAACATCGTATTGTTCTCCTCATATGTGGACATTAGATCATGGGCAAACACAACAAGGGATTGACTTTGAGCAATGAATAAAAGCGAGGCACACAAGGGAGGGATGGGATAGGTAAGCACCTAAAAGCTAGCTAGCATTTTTTGCCCTCAACACAGAGAAATAAAGCAGATACTTTAAAGCAACTAAGACCAACAGGAGAAGGGGACCAGGAACTAGAGAAAAGGTTAGTTCAAGAAGAATTACTTAGAAGGTAACACACACATACAGGAAATCAATGCAAGTCAACACCCTGTATAGCTATCCTTATCTCAACTAGCAAAAACCCTTGTTCCTTCCTATTATTGCTTATACTCTCTCTACAACAAAATTAGAGTTAAGGGCAAAATAGTTTCCGCCGGGTAGCGAGGGGGTTGGGGGGTGGGAGGGAGTTGGGGCAGGGGGGAGAAATGACCCAAGCATTATGCACATATGAATAAAATAAAAATTAAAAAAAAAAAAGAAGCACTACAAGTTGAAGCAGGATTTAAAAGCCATTTACTTTCACGCGATGACTCTAAAGAAGCTTAGGTTCAGAGACAAGTTGTGCAGAGTCATGAAGCTGAGGTAGTAGCCTGGAACTCTGCCTCACAAAATGAGCTCTGCTGCCACCATACCTCGCATGCCAGGCGATTACTTCACTGCAAATGCAGTCACTTGTTTTCTTAGAATTTTAACAAAACCAGCTCTGAAAGATACTACTTAATTAGACCCAATTCAGTCCTTTTCACTACTGTTCAAGACTCAACAATCTTAACACTGTTGAACGCATTCTACATGAACTTTAGAACAGAAATAGCTGGTATGTTTTAACAGCTTCACTGCTAGCATTTAATAATTTACATATACATACACATATATGTGTATACATATGTAACTTTTTTTTTTTTTGCTATTTTTTAAATGGGATTGAACATAGGGCCTTGACCATACTAGGAAAGCACTCTATAACTGAGCTACATCCTCAGCTGTATATACTAAAAATAAGCTGTATTTATAAGATTTAAGAGCTATATTTATGAATATTAATCTCTTCCTATGTGATTTCTGAGAATGCTTATTTGGTTATTAATGATCCAAGTCTATTCATTTGTAAAAAAAAAAAGAAAAAAAAAAGTGGTATTAAAAGCTTACCAAGATGTTTAAAGCATTTCAAGTGTACAGCTCTAAGTAATTTGATCACGCAATGGTGTATAAACTATTAAACATTCAAGTAAAAAGTTTACATAGAAGAAATTCTTTTACCATAAACCTCCAGAATATAACCTTGTGAACAGAACTCAGAACAGGGGTTGGCAAATGAGGGGCTAATCTAGCCTGCCATCTATTTTCCATACAGTGCTCATGAATCTTTCTCATTTACGGTCTTGGCTACTTTCCTGTTACAACGAAAGAGTTGAATATCTGTGACAAAGATCACATAGCCCATATGACCTTTCATAGAAAAAAGTGATCAACCCTTACCATATCTTACACCACGTACAAAAATTACTTAAAGCGATCAAAGACATAAATCTAAGAGCTAAAATTATAAAACTCCTGGGAGAAAACCGAGGGATAAAACCCATAACCTTGGCTTATGCAATCAAAAGCATAAGCTAAAACAACAAAAAAATAGATAAACTGGACTTCATCAAAATTTGAAACTTCTGGTCTGAAGGAGTGGCTCTAATGCTAGAGTGCCTGACTAGCCGGTAGAAGGCCCTGAATTCAAACCCAGCATCATAAAAAACAACAGCAAAGACCACTTTTGTGCTCCAAGGAGCACAACGGATAGAAAAGCAACCAATATAATGAGAAAAGAGTTGCAAGTAATATATTTGATAAGGAGCTCATATCTAAAATATACAAAGAACTATAACCCAATTTAAAAATTAGCAAAGGATGCAAATAGATATTTCTCTGACAGAGTTGTACAAATAGCCAATGAGCGCCCTGTTCATATTCAGCATCATTAGCCACTGGGGAAACATGAATCAAAACCATGAGATAACCCCTCACTAGAATAGCTATAATTTTTTTTTAAAGTCATAATGACAAATGTTAGAAGATGAAGAGAAATTAGAACCCTTACAGTCACTTTGAAAACCAGTCTGACAATTCCTCGAGAAGGTTGAAGGTGCACCATCTCCTGCCCAGAAATTCCATACCTAATGAAATAAAAACCCATGACCACATAAAAACTTGTATACAAATGTTCTGAGCAGTATTATCTGAATATCCAAGAAGTAGAAACAATCCAATGCCCATCAAGGTAAGTGGATGAAGAGTCTGGGCATGGTGGGCACAGATGTACCCCCAGCTACATAAGAGGCTGAGGCAGGAGGATCTCTTGAGCCCAGGAGTTTGAGATCACATATGTAACATAGTGAAATGTGGAATATAGTTATTTGGCAACAAAAGGAATAAAATACTAATACGATACATGACATGGATGAGTCCTGAAAACATGCTAAGTAACAGAAGCCAGTCACGTAAGATCGTATTGTATGATTCCACTTACATGAAATGTTAGGATAGGCAAATCTGCACAGAGAGAAATGGACTAGTTTCTTGGAGGAGGAGGAATGGAGAGTGATTGCTAAAAGGTATGTGGTTTCATTTGGCACTAATGAAAATGTTCTAAAATTAGTATGGTTGTTTCATCTGTGAATACACTAAAAGTTAATGAGCTGTATGGTAAAGCAATTATATCCCAAGAAAGCTATTAACAAAAAGGAAAGAAAAAATTACTGACCCCGCTCTAGAACCTCTTGCAAGTCATTTAAGAGTTGACACTTTCATTTTCCTACACAGAAAATTTAAAGTGTAATCCCTCATGTATTTCAAAGGTCAAAAGTAACTACTGAAGAGCTTAATTCCAATACATATTTAAACATCTGAAGTGTTTTTTAAAGCATCCAATAATAGATATCATAGTAATGTGTACCCAGTTCTTTAAGAAATCTCAAAACCACATTATCAGTATTCATTCTTCTATGGACCCTTCTGGAGGCATCCAAATGAAACTCACCCACTTCATCAACCTTGGTAACAAAAAATTATTAGTTATTCTTACAGTAAAATTGTTTTAGGTCCAATGACAGTATCTAGACTGAGAGTTCAAGAAAGAAAGAAATAAAGAAAGAGAAAGAAGAAAGAAAGAAAGAAAAAGAGAGAAACTGAATTCAGCTTGTTTTATTCTTGTTAAAAATGTTTATTAACCCTGAACAATTTTTTTCAAACAACTTTATAGGGAGGTACAACATGTACAGGGAACCACCCTGGTTTAATATAGAGGTGGTTACACAGTTACACGTAGCCTCTTCCTTACCCATGGTATTTTTGCAGACCCTTTTAAACAATGACTCTGAACCATCAGTTCTGGCAGACTCCAAAAGAATTACCTGGAAAATGGACTAAGAATGCAAATTCCTGGGCCACACACAGATTTACTGAATCAGACTCTGGTAGTGGGGCCCGGGAGCCTTTATTTCATGCCTCTCCTGCCAATATCTCTGAGGTGCTGCCTGATAGGCCTATCCAGAGTGCTTTTGTGAACACACTAAATCTTGTGAACCTGATTTAATTACAGAATTGGGGCCCTTTGATTACAACAGTATCTGAATGAAATCCTATTCAGAAGTAATTACTTTAATAGGTTTCTGCTTTCCAAACTGGACCATGGGTCCAGAGATCATTTGGCCATCTCCGTATTTGGAATTAAATACTTCCCTGCAGAGTGGGGAGGGAGAGGTGCCATTTGCCTCATATACCCTCCCTTCCCTCCTGCAGACAGCAGGCCTTACTAAATTAGATGCAGAACATAAGACATAAACCACTACCTCCTTCATTAGCTATATTTCCACAGGCCATTCTTTGGAGTGTGGGTGTCTAACCTATCTCTGTCATAACGAAAACATATTTTCCTCTCTTCACAGAGACAAATAGCTTATCATCATATTCCACACTCACTCTTAAGACTTCTTAATTCGGACACACAGGCTTCCCTGTTAGTTTTTTTCAAACAGTAATATTTGCAACAATTTCAGATATGTCAACCTTCCAACTTGTACATGAAATTGTTTCCTTATCCTCACCATCTCAGATAAATTTCATGAAAACAGTACCAAACATTAGAATGTAAGCTTCATGAATCATTGTAAGTAACAAAACCTTTGCAATTAATTTCCTTCCAACAACTTATTTGTGCTCACCTTTGGACCAATCAGTTTATCTGCTGTCATTTTAGCAAAAAGTTCTGCTGTTTGGGCTCGAACCTGTGGATGTGTTGAATTGCAGAACATATCCAATAAATATATCAGAGCTCCTATAAAGGGAAAAAAAAACCGGATTTGTGTTTATATTATATGCTAGAATATGACTTTTCTAATCAATAGAATTCAATTTTGACCCAAAGCAATATTTTTTGAGACAGGGACTCATTATGCTGCCTTGAGCTCCTGGGTGCAAGTGATATTCCTGCCTCAGCCTCCCAAGTAACTGAGATTAAAGGCATGCCACCAAGTTCAGCCATCAGTTTTTTTTAAAAAACTATTAGGACTTACAAAGCATTCTTCAACTTTATCAGACTACACAAAGCAGTTTAAAGTAAACCCTACAGTACTGAGCATAAGTGGATGAGAAAGAACTCTATACATTACCCTTTGCCATCGCTTCTTTGATTATTTTAGTACTTGACACCAAAGCATAAAGAGTTTCCAGAACAAGCTGACGACCTGCAAAGTAAAAGACATTTGAAGGAATCCATCAACCACTTAGCTGACATTTACTGGGCATAACTCTGAGGCAAGGTTCTTAATCAGATGTTCTGCACAGGGTAACATATTTAATCTCCACAATAACCAGCAAGACAAGTATAATTATGGTTGTGTTATGAGGAAGCTGAGGCTCATTTTATCCAGCCCAGGGTTTCATAGCTGGTGAGTGGTATAACTGGGTTTCCTGTCCAGATCTGTCTGGTTCCAAAGTCCACACTTATAGCCACTATGCCGTACTGTCTTCCTATCTCATTGTTCTCTACTCACCCCAATCAACTCACTTCCTACACATTTAATATTTAGGCAATAACCCTACCACGCACCTAAAATTTTTACCTGGCACTACTGTCTCAAGGAAACAAGGAATAAATAGCAGTTTTAAGACAGTGCATTTTACTCTAATATAGAATAGCATCCTTTCTGGATCTGGCCTACATGTCTCTTACCCAGCCATTAACATTTGATACATAAGTACACTGGGCTGTTGGACTCTGCTCTTTTAGAGTCAAATGGGGATGACAGATGGGAAGCCCAAAGAATAAACAGTAGGCAAAGACAGTAGAGGATGCAAAGTACTGGGCTGAGACTAAAACAACAATTTCCCTTAGCAAACAGTGTAAGAGAGGTAATTTAGTCTAGAGTAGGCTGAAATACTCAATGTCAGGTATTTTACTTACTTATAAGAATAAAATACTGACTGTTCTACATCAGTATTTGCACTCTCAAACTATAATAAATTATAAATTTTCACTCTCAAACTATAATTTCTGTAACATTTTTTGCTTTACCAATCAGTTTAGTTTTGCATTGTTTCAAGTCTCACAAAGCTACTGACAATAAAGAAAAAGGAAAAAACAACTAAGGTTATGACAGTAATAATCTATAAATGACTTAGGTGCCATTTTAAAGAACTATCTTAAGCATTTAAGCATGTTCAGAGAAAAAAATTGTTTAATAAAAACTCAAGTCCACTCAATTCACTAAATATAAAACAAGTATTTAACATGCACGGCACTAAATGATGAACCAGGGTCCTGCTCTCAAAGAGGTGAATAACATGAAGCAAATATTAACGCAACACCAAGAGTTTAGCAAAGTCGATGAAGCAATCAATGTATTCTGATGGTCTGAGGTGAGGATGAAGTTGCATTGCACACGTCTAAAAAAATCTCAACAATCATGTTTTTGAAAAGCAATCTCAAGGTCAACATAAGCACAAAGACAAACTACTGCGCAAGACAAATTGTTCTATTTCTGAAGGCCTTGTATTCAAGCTGTATTTCAAGTAATCAGGCTGATGTGTGTTTTAATCACCTTGGTGGTAAGACTCTACAGTAAAAGACAGCATGCAAGATTAAATATAAGGCAATCTTCACTTTAAGCATTTTTTTTTTTTTTTTTTTAGCATCCAACACTAATTTTTTTTCAATAAATCACAGAGCACTGGTTAATTCTCAGTTAGGCATGAGTATATAATGCTCAACAAACTGAAAATTCCAGGTGACTTTCTTTGCTTTTGGACTTCTCTCACCTACAATTTTCTCATCAAATGCAAGATCATTTTGTTAATTTATGCAAGACAAATGTAGTGTAATAAATACTGCTTTAAATACTTCAACACTAAACATGGGTGATGTATTTCAGGTTTTGTAGCTGCTCCACACTATGAGCTGGTTATGCTGTGGTTTCCAAAATTCCATTTGTAAATATACCTACTTGATGGCAATGAGTGCAGAAGAGCCAATAAATTGGACAAAACCATTGATTCTGCAATATTGTTGACACAATCTTGGTTAGATGTCACTATATTCACAACCTGAAAATTAATCAACAAGATATTAAAGTTTCAGAAATAAATCTGGACCTAAATGTCATAGAGTTTACAAAGGTGAGAAAAGTGGAGGACAAAATGCCTAATCTTTAGAAGGGTTTAATTTAAAAAAACTGGCTTTTATTACTTTGATCTTTTCCTTTAATTATTATATAAACTATACAAAGGGGTTTCACTATATTATGTCCATACATGCACATAACATGCTTTGACCAAATTCACTCCTTCTACTAGTTTTTTCTTTTTTCTTTTTTGGTGGGACTAGAGTTTGAACTCAGAGCCTCATGTTTGCTAGGCAGGCACTCTACCACTTGAGCCACTTCACTGACCTCTACTAGTCTTTCTTGTCCCCCCCCCCCCCGAGACTGATCTTTTGGGAAATAATACGGTGAAGTTTAAGAAGCCTTCAATCCTATGGCAGGACATGTTCTAGAACTGTGACAGATACTATAGTATCCAATCACAGATTTGGAATGGAGGGTGGTTAGGATGATAATGAGCTTTACCACTGAGACTTTCTTTTAGAGGGAGAAAGTAAGTATCTTTAGCACCTAGCAAGAAAGTCTGGGTGGCTATAATCTTTCCACTATAAACAAATAGGTGTTTTCTTTCAAAGAGGATGATGTCTAAAGTCTAGCATTTATAGTATACATCTAAAGGTCAATGTCACTGAATTTGAGCCACGTTCAGCATCTCAGAGCAACGTACTCTTAATTTCATGTTTACTTAAAAAGCCATAAGAAACTTAAAGGAATTAAGTAGGGTAGCATGTTTTTCAATTAAAAGAACACACAAAGCTTCTTGACCAATTCAACTATTACCAGCCTATTAAAAATCTGCTTTAAGCCTTAGAACACATCAAATTATTCATAATTCATTCCTACAACTGCTCCTGCAGGGTTGAATGTGATTTTCTTTATAATAAATTTTATGTGTTACAATGGCCAGACTCACTTGAAGAACCACCCTGAGAGCTCACTCTGGGTTGTCTGGACAAAGAGCTACCTATGACCAGGATCTTCTTGCTTCTGTCAGAGGAAAAGCTGCACCCAAATAGCGTCCCACAGGACCAGGGGCTTCATTCACTGAAGGAGTGCCTCCCACTTCTCTTGGACCCTTAAAACCCATCCATTTGGAGCGGTGGGTTTTCCTAAATAACTCCTATAAATGGCATAGCCAGGTGTCTGTAACCCTCACTAAAAAGGTTACTTCTGTGCTAAAATAAAGAAGTGGGTACCACTGAGGGGCAGCAAACCCACAGGGTACAGCCAGCAGAGCAGATCAGGGAACCCTTGTCTCTTCTTATTGATCTGTGGCTACTAAGCTTCTTTAGTGAAGCCTGTTCCTTAACCCACACCACATGGCACTAGACAATATATCCCAAGCTCTGATGCACAGCAGACAATGACCACAATGGGAACTACCATGAATGACACTGTGCAACGTTTGCACTTCAAAATTATGTTAATTCAATTTAAAGAAATGTAACAAAAGGAAGGGCAGAGTGGCTCAAGTGGTAGAGCGTCTGCCTAGCAAATGTGAGGTCCTGAGTTCAAACCCCAGTACAGCCAAAAGAAAAAAACAACAATGAATTTGGCTTAATGGCAAAATGAAAACACATGCATACTTTCATTCAACTTTAACTAATGATTAATCATGGCTCAAATCATAAACTGTAAGTGGTAGGAAACAACATGCCCGAGTACAGAGTACTTTTACCTCCAAAGCCAATTGCTGCACTTGACCAGCTCCATGAACTCGGAGAAGAGAAAATATTAACTTGAAATGCCCAATGCATTCACTTTCAGAGCCTAGGGAACAAGAAAATATGGTTATTCATTTATTTTTAGTTCAAGAGATATTTAAATTAGAGACCTTCAGAAAACTGATGCACATTGTTGCTTACTGTCAATTGTGTCTCTGATCACTCAAAACATTTATGACAAAATGAGTGGAGTATTTTTAAGCAGCACTAAGCCTGAAAAGGCAAATAGTAAAATGTTTTAAATTTCCACCCCTACCTCTAGCCACCCCTAGGCTAAAACCAAGAAATTTCTGAAATAATCAATCCAAATACAGCTCAAAAATCTAAAATGTAAGGAGGTGATTTTACTCTTGTCCTCCATACCTCCTATTTTCACTGATGCCTCCCTCTCAAGTCAGGCTAGGGTGACAGTATTTCTGGAAATGCCCTCTTAAACGCTTATGTTTAAGAGAAAGAACGCTATTATTTACATTTTTAAACACCAAGAACTTTCAGCTAGTTTTTAAAAATGATTGCTCATATGTATACAGCACTGTGGTAAGGACCAGAGAAGAGGTAAAAATAAGGTCACCTAATAAATCTCATTCGAGCATTTATACTTAATATGACAACTTAGGCATTAAAATGAAATTTTACACTAATTATGTCTTTTCAACTCAATTAGATTCATTTGCTCATAAAGATATACATTATTCTAAACATGAAGCCTTAATCTTTCTCCTAGTCTATCATTTATAGACAGAAAATATTATGGGTTAATTCCACTTAATATTTTATCAAGTATAGAAGCGTGAATGTGCATGCCTATAATCCCAGCTGCTTAGACGGAGGAGGAGACAGGAGGAGCCTGAGTTTGAAGCTAGTCTATGCAAAGGTAGAAGCAAGATCCTGTCTCAAAAACAAAAAAATGAAAACAAAAGGGCTGGGGCATGGCTTAGGTGGTAAAGCACTTACCTAGTGTGCAAAGACCTGTGCTCAATTCCCAGCACCACAAGAAAAACAAAATTACAGTAGGTATAGTATTATAAACGTGCATAATTTTCCAAGTCCCACAATAAGACTGAGAATTGGAATTTTTAGGATTTTTCTATCATAGGGGTGTTACTGATCAAGGGTACAATCACACACCTGGATTATATTTTATGACATTTCTCAGGGCTTCCAAAGCCATTTCCACCCTTGGTAAGCGGTCTCCATGTTGCTCTGACTCCACTTTTGCAGCATGTGTGATGGCCATAAATGTGTGCAGGTACTGGGCCTGAGAGCCTATATAATCCAAGAGACTTGCAGCAAATGCTTTTGGAACCTAAGACAAGTAGACAAATATGCAAAGCATGTGTACACTCCTAAATAACTTCTTATGAAGAGCACGTAGCAACTATGAAAGTGAATATTAACATGATGAAATCATATATGCATATGAACACATGGTGGGGGAACAAACCCAATTAAAAAGGATTAGCACTCAGAGATTGCATGCACTTAGTACCTTACTCAACAATTCTAACATGAGAGTGCCTTTACCAAAGTCACTGAGAGAATGACGTGTGACTTCTGTAATTACCTTATATTTTTATAATAAAAACTCTGTGTACTTAGAATATAAGTTCAAAGGACCACTCTCAAGAGGTCTTCACAAATCATTTAACTCATTTAATACCTAGTTATATAAGGTATTCTGAGAAAAAATATATAGATTATGGTTTAGTAAGTTTGTTTTCTCCCTAAGAGCAGACTATAAAACAAAGCCTCACTTCTTTCTTTACGAATTAATGGACTACCAAATCTTCCCTCCCATTTCCATTTTGTTTGAACAAAACACAAAAATTGTGTAAATGATCTTAAGGCATTAAGATCCTTTGTTTGCTTCTGGAAATAATTAGGGATCATCATGTTTTCTTAAAAATCTCTGTTTTCAAGCCGAAATTTCTTTTAATAACTGGTCACAAAAAGCCTTCTACCTGGTGGTCCGATATTCTATATAATGGAGCGAGCATGCAACTGGCTTTGTACTTCCACAAGGGAGCTGGAAGCATGTGTACATGAAGAAGCATTATGCATAAAATGTAAGGGGCAGCCAGGCAAGGAGTAACTTCTTACTCATGAACTTCATAACAACAAGACAAAGAGGCTCCTAGGCTGTCAGTGGTCGCCCCATCATATACTTACCCAGGTTCATTTCTAGAGTTTGGCAAAGAAGAATTATTGTATTCACAATACAAAATTTGAATAAACCAGCAGCTTTCAGTAACAAATTACTAAAAGCATCAGACAAAATTAAAAGCAGAGAGCTTACCTCTAGTTGGAAAGTAGGGACTTCATTATATACTCTAACAAAAATTTCCCCCACAATAAGTTCTTTGGCATGATCACTGTAGACAAATTCTGATCCATAAGTTTTGTCACAATCACCCTTAAAAGAAAAAAAGACAGACTGTTAGATGTAAATAAATCATTGTCTACTTCAAAAATCTACCTCTGTTCCACTTAATAATATCAGATAATTAACTCCAGAAACCCATTCATTTTTCAGAGAGGAAAAATGTAGCATGTACACATCACAGTACTCAATTCAATGTTAATGTTTACACCCAGCTCTATGACTGGAATACACAGAAGGCGGATTATAATTTTTTCTTAAAGAAATACTATATAATTCATTTTGAAATTTGGAATTACAGCTAGAGAGTATAAAGCAAGTTTGACACTTTGCTTTTATCACTCCACTCAACAGTCATTTGAATTGTCCCCCTAGCAAGGTATAGAGGTACAGAGCTGAGAAATGAACACATCTGGATGGCGTTTTAAAAAGTAATATATTGAAGGAAGATGGTGGTATACAGTCTCTGAGTAAAAAGAAATGGTAGTATTACACAGCATGAAAAATCAAGAGCAATTTTCTATTAAAGAAGAATGGAGAAAAACAGCTTCCACGAAGATTTAGGCTGAAATCACAAAGTATTTAGGCTGCTCCAAAATAAAAAAGACACTTTTTACGTAAAAGTATAAATTGTAAAGTAAACAGAGAAGATGTTATTAATTCTAATATGATAAAAAAATGGAAAATATGAGATATGTTCTCTTTATCTCTATAATCCTCAGAAATGTTATCCATAAAGAGTTCTGAGTCACTCTCATAGCATGTTAAATTCTGAACAATTCAGGATGTAACAGTAATAATTACTGCAATAAATTCCAAAGAAACCAATACAATTGTCTTCAAGCCATCAATACTCAATCATCTAATATTTGCTAATCCAGGTTTTCACATTTCCGATCCTACTGTCTTTATTTATTCCCTCACCCCTTGCCTCTCCATGGCTTACTAGCTTCTCCACTGAAGGTGGGAAGGTAGGAGAAAATTTTCAGTTTTGATATTAGAAAGCAACTTTGACTTACTGGACAAAAGAGGCTCAAGTGAATACTTTCGGGGTATAAAACTGAAGAAAGTAGAAGATAGCTGTGTATTTAAGTGCTAACCAGAAAAAAACTCCTAATGAATCACATTACACAGTAACATACTGTTCTTAAATGGGTCCAATATCACATGGAAAAAAACTATTGGCTTAACACCAAATTGATAAACAGTGCAACTCTGTTTCATCAATATTACTATATTTTCAGAGATTCCATCAGAGTAAGTTACTCAAGAATTTATAAAATAACATACCTTTTTAATCATGTTTTCTTGTTGTGATTCAAGAAATTCAAGCAGTTCTGCTCTTGTAGAATTGTTCCATATCAAATAGGGGTTCTCTGTGTTGCTGTTAAGCATCTTCAAAATCTAGGATACAGAACATCACTGTTACAACATGTAGAGAAGAAATGATTAGAACTATCATTTGTTTTAAATGTTTAGTACACACCAAGCACTGTCACAGGTGCCTTAAGTATAATGCATTTCAGTAAATGTCTCAACAGTTCTAACAAGCCTGTTGATATTATCCATTTTACAGATGAGGAAAAAAAAAACAAGGCTATAAACATCAAATTATTTGTCACAGGTCTGACAACCAGTAAGTGGTGAAATTGGTATTCTAATTTGAATCTGATTTCAACATCCTTATTAATTGTCCTGCTGTGGCAAAAACTCTATTTTGTGTTAAAGTATTTAAAACACTCAGTAAATACTTAAGAATCACAATACTGCCTTTATATACATATACTTAAAAACAAAATCTAATTCTCTATGAAGTCTAATCTTGTGAACAGACAAAATTTACAGGGGCAGTCAGTTCTGATTTCTTGGCTGTACCCTGACTCAAGGCTTCACGAAGAAGTGCTAAGGGCAGATGACGCATTTCTTTTGTTTGGCTCTCAAGTGTTAACTTAGACATCTGACACATCCTGAAATGTCTGAGTGAAAATCTTTTCTATCTTCCATTTATGGAGCTCCATGCCAGGAGGAAAGCAGAGCTTTCCATAGTATATAAGAACACATGTGATCCCTCTTTCCTCCTACTAGTAGTATTACAAAAAACAAACGGCTAAGAAATTCTAAAACTTTGAAACCTGACAGGTGAAAATAAGCACATTATAAGTTCAGATACAGTTTGTGCCAAGATTTGACTTTGAAACGCTACAAAATATTTTAGGTCTATAGAAAGAAGTTATTAGTCAACTTGCTGGTATTTCTGGAGCTTGTTTTCAGTCAGCAATAAAGTATGATGCTGGTGGGCACAAGGTCCAGGAAACAACAGAGCTAGAGTGGCACTGGAAAACGACCTACACTAGAACAGACTCAAATACATGGGACAAAATGGGAAAAAGGAGACACCAGCTCCCAGACTGCTTGGGAAGACGCAGACCAGCATAGCCCCCTGGACAAACCGACCGCGACCCAGGGAAAAAAGAAAAAAAAAAACTGAATAATAAGCAATAACAACAAAAAAGACATGTAGCAAAGAGGGCAGGGTGCCCTGAGAGCTGAAGAGGGGGGGAGGGGCAATCCCTCACGGAACTGTAAATAAACAAGTTGGCTGGAGAAGGCAGGAGCTGTGGAACATGCCCAGCAACCAGGTGCGGGAAAGCTTGTAAAAGCTGCTGAGGCAGAGGGAGGAAAACTCCACAGGAGAGGGGGAAGGCCCACTTCCCACGTGAACTGTAAATAAACATGCTGGCCTGAGAAAGTGGGTGCAGTGTCACCTCCCCAAGTGTGCTTGGAAAGGGGAAAGCTGTCAGCAGTGGTGGTCGTGCCCAGCAGAACTCTAAGTAAACAAAGCCTGAGGGGTTAGGTGAGAAACTCCTCAGATCTGCATGAACAAAGCCTCCAGCAACAGCAGGCTGACAGCAGCGGGCAGGTGAACCACAGCCACAGATACCATTCTCAGAACTGTCTCCAGACACTTTTTTTTCTATCTTCCTTTGATGAGACAACAACTGAACTACACCTGCATGCTGAAAAACTTACTGAAACTGTATTGCATTTGAACTTGGGACAATTTATGGGGGTCTTTTTTGGTTTTGTTTTGTGTTGTTTTGTTTGGTTTTTTTCCCCTTTGATGAGACAATGACAGAACTGCTTCTGAGACACCATCTCCAGGATTGGAGGCTGAGGGACAAACACCAAAATTATTAAGACTGAAACTATTGCATTTGAACTAGGAGTTTTTTTTTTTTCAATCCTCTCTCTGTTTAGCTTACTGTTGATTAGTACACTGTCTCCCTGTTTATATCTTTGAAACTTTGTTTTGTTTTTTTACTTATTTGTTTTTCCCTTTTTCTTTACCTTCTTTGCTTTCCCTCTCGGCTCACCCTTCCATTCTAAATATCACCATTGTTATTATTACAAGCTAGAAAATACATAATTGTGCACAGTACAGGGATAACAACAACACCAAGGGCAATGACAGGAAGACAGAAAAAACAGGGAAACCAGTTCCCCACAACAAAAAATTAGTACAGGAACCAGAGGGAAATGAAGAAAACAGATACTCAGATCCAGACTCCAACAAAATGGAGATAAACTATGCCAAAGGACCCAATGAAGTCCACAAGAATAATCTAAAAGAAGAAATCCTACAGGTAATCAATGAGAATTTTGTAGAGATGATACTGGATAGGGTCAACCAAAATGCACAGGACACACTCAAGAAATTCCAAGACCACAAAAATAGAGAATTTGAAAAAGCACAAGAAGAAAACATAGAAGTACTGTATAAACACCAAAGTGAAACAAAGAACACGATTAATAAAGACATAAATGAACTCAGGACAAAAATAGACAACATTAAAGAGGAAGTGACTCATGATATGGAAAACTTCAGAAAAAATAACGAAACAGAACTGCAAAACAAAACGGAAGGCCAATCCAGCAGAATAGAACAAACAGAAGACAGAATCTCAGAACTCAAAGATGAAATGGTAATTAAAGGAAAAACCGAAGAACTATTAGTTAAACAACTCAAGACCTGTGAAAAGAAAATGCAACAACTCACTGACACCATCATGGGCATTGAAGAAGGAGAAGAGGTGCGAGCAAAGGGAATGCATAATATATTCAATAAAATAAAAGGAAAATTTCCCAAATCTAGAGAAATTTATTACCACACAGATATAAGAAGCCTCCAGAACACCAAACAGACAAGACCGAAATAGAACAAACCCACGGCATATTATCATTAAAATATCAAGTACAGAGACCCGAGAAAGAATATTGAAGGCTTTAAGAGAGAAAAAACAAGTAACATACAAAGGTAAACACATCAAAATCACAGCAGACTTCTCCACAGAAACATTAAAAGCAAGAAGAGCTTGGGGAGAGATCTTCTGGGCACTGAATGAAAATAACTTCAACCCCAGGATACTCTACCCAGCAAAACTATCATTCAAAATAGATGGAGCAATAAAAGTCTTCCATGATAAGCAGAAACTAAAACAATATGTGACCACAAAACCACCACTACAAAAGATTCTTCCTTGGATTCTGCACACAGAAAGTGAAACCTAACCTAACCATGAGAGGGCAGGCAGCACCAAACTACAAGAAAAAAAGCAAGAACGTAGAGAGTAACCTCAACTTAGGTACACACAATCAAACCTTCAAACAACTAAGACAACTAAATGACAGGAATCACCACATACCTACCAGTACTAACACTTAATGTTAAAGGACTTAATTCACCCATCAAAAGACACCGTTTGACAAAATGGATTAAAAAGAAAGATCCAATAATTTGTAGCTTACAGGAGACCCATCTCGCCAACAGACATAAGCATAGGCTTAGGATGAAAGGCTGGAAGAAGATTTACCAAGCCAATGGCCCCTGAAAACAGGCAGGAGTAGCAGTACTTATCTCTGACAAAGTAGACTTCAAACCTACATTGATCAAACGAGATAAAGAAGGACATTCCACAATAATAAAAGGGGAAATAGATCAAAAGGAAATAACAATTATCAACCTATATGCACCCAATGTCAACGCACCCAATTTCACCAAACATACCCTGAAGGACCTAAAAGCATATATTAACTCCAACACAGTGGGCATGGGAGACTTTAACACCCCATTATCATCAAGATAGGTCATCCAAACAAAAAAATCAATAAAGAAATCCTAGATCAAAAATATACAATAGATCAAATGGTCCTACTTTATGTCTACAGAACATTTCATCCAACTTCTACACAGTATACATTCTTCTCAGCAGCCCATGGAACCTTCTCCAAAATAGATCATATCCTAGGGCACAAAGCAAGCCTCAGCAAATATAGAAAATAGAAATTATACCATGCATTCTATCTGATCACAATGCAATAAAACTACAACTCAACAACAAAAGTAAAGACAAAAAACATGCAAATAGCTGGAAACTGAATAATTCATTGCTTAATGAACAATGGGGTCATTGGTGAAATAAAAGAGGAAATTAAAAAGTTCCTGGGAAAATCAATGTGGTCAATGCCCTGTGTAGCTATCCTTATCTCAACCAGCAAAAACCCTTGTTCCTTCCTATTATTGCTTATACTCTCTCTACAACAAAATTAGAAATAAGGGCAAAATAGTTTCTGCTGGGTATTGGGCGGTGGGGAGAGGAAGGGGGCGGAGTGGGTGGTAAGGGAGGGGGTGGGGGCAGGGGGGAGAAATGAATCAAGCCTTGTATGCACATATGAATAATAAAATAAAAATAAAATAAATAAATAAATAAATAAATAAAAAATAAAATTATTTAACAGAAAAAAAAAAAAAAGTTCCTGGAAGTCAATGAAAATGAAAACACAACCTACCGGAACCTAAGGGAAACAGCAAAGGCAGTCCTGACAGGAAAGTTTATAGTCATAAGTGCATATATTAAAAAAAATTAACTATCCCAAATCAGTGACCTAATGATACATCTCAAACTCCTAGAAAAACAAGAACAAGCAAATCCCAAAACAAATAGAAGGAGAGAAATAATAAAAATAAGACCTGAAATCAATGAAATAGAAACCAAAAAACCATACAAAGAATTAATGAAACAAAAAGTTGGTTTTTTGAAAAAATAAACAAGATTGACAGACCCCTGGCAAACCTGACTAAAATGAGGAGAGAAAAAAACCAAATTAGTAGAATCAGGAGTGCAAAAGGGGAGATAACAACAAACACCATGGAAGTCCAAGGAAATCATCAGAGACTACTTCAAGAACCTATATTCAAATAAATTCAAAAATCTTAAAGAAATGGACAGATTTATAGATACATATGATCATCGAAAACTGAACCAAGAGGATATTAATAAACTGAATAGATCTATAACACAAAATGAAATTGAAACAGCAATCAAGAGTCTCCCCAGAAAGAAAAATCCAGGACCTGATGGATTCTCTGCTGAATTCTATCAGACCTTTAAAGAAGAACTGACATCAACCCTCCTTAAACTGTTCCACAAAATAGAAAGGGAAGGAAAACTGCCTAACGCATTTTATGAAGCCAGTATTACACTTATCCCCAAACCAGGCAAAGACACCTCCAAAAAGGAGAACTATAGGCCAATCTCCTTAATGAACATTGATGCAAAAATCCTCAATGAAATAATGTCAAACCAAATTCAACAACACATCAAAAAATCATTCACCATGACCAAGTAGGCTTCATCCCAGGAATGCAGGGGTGGTTCAACATACGAAAATCAACAGGTGTTGGCAAGGATGCGGGGAATAAGGAACCCTCTTACGCTGCTGGTGGGAATGTAAACTAGTACAACTACTCTGGAAAAAAATTTGGAGGCTACTTAAAAAGTTAAACATTGATCTACCATATGATCCAGCAATACCACTCTTGGGGATATACCCAAAAGACTGACACAGGTTACTCCAGAGGCACCTGCACACCCATGTTTACTGCAGCACCATTCACAATAGCCAAGTTATGGAAACAGCCAAGATGCCCCACTACTGACGAATGAGTTAAGAAAATGCAGTATTTATTTATACACAATAGAATTTTATGCAGCCATGAAGAAGAACGAAATGTTATCATTCGCTGGTAAATGGATGAAAGCGGAGAACATCAATCTGAGTGAGGTTAGCCTGGCCCAAAAGACCAACAATCGTATGTACTCCCTCATATGCGGACATTAGATCAAGGGCAAACACAACAATGGGATTGGACTTTGAGCACATGACAAAGCGAGAGCACACAAGGCAGGTATGAGGATAGGTAAGACCTAAAAAACTAGATAGCATTTGTTGCCCTCAACACAGAGAAACTAAAGCAGCTACTTTAAAGCCACTGAGACCAATAGGAGAGGAGATCAGGAACTAGAGAAAAAGTTAGTTCAAGAAGAATTAACTTAGAAGGTAACACACATGCACAGGAAATCAATGCGAGTCAACTCCCTGTATAGCTATCCTTATCTCAACTAGCAAAAACCCTTGGTCCTTCCTATTATTGCTTATCCTCTCTCTTCAACAAAATTAGAGATAAGGGCAAAATAGTTTCTGCTGGGTTCGAGGGGTAAGGGTGGGTAAGGGAGGGAGTGGAGGGAAGGGGGAAGAAATGACACAAACATTGTATGCACGTATGAATTTAAAAAAAAATGGCAAAAAGCTGCTGAAATTCTCACTTTAAAATTTGGAAATCTGAGTACATTTTCCTTACGAAAGTAATAGATAATCATTAGAGAAAACAAAAGAAAAATGAGCTACTATTTTCCTATGCAAGAATAACTACAGCTAACACTTGGTACAGATCTACCAGTCCAATTTCTTTCACTTAGTAGGTACATAGTGTCTTGTGTGGATTTTTACAGTTTATCTAATCCTTTAATGTCATATTCTTAGACTATTTCTCCATGACCCTCACAAAAGAGGACAAAGAGGCTGGGAGATCTGCTAAAGTCAGACTTATTAATGCATATATAAATGTACGTGTGTTTACTTTCAGCATTTCAACCTTGAGTTGGAATAAGCTATGACCTGTGAGAAGTCGCTAGAAACAGACTTGGCTCCCTGCCTTCCAGTACTCTGCCCACTATGAAACATCATTCCGAGTTCACTTTTGCCATGTTCTTTTGTTACTCAAGGTTGGTAAGAATTATGGAGAGCTCCACAGCTGAGAAACATGAAGTTCATTTACTTTTGCCATCAATCCACAAAAACTGAATTTCTTGGCTGAGAGAACAAATGTGACCATTTTCAATTTTCAGGTTTCCCAGAGCAATCAATCATGTTCGTTTACTAAAGGACCTTGTGCTATTCACCAACAGCCAGGTTAATTCTGCAGTACGTACCTCAGTAGCACTAACCACAGCAAGCTTTCTAGCAACATAGGGTGTCAACATGCCAGCTAAACTTTTCCTTACAGTTGGATTTTCTGGGGTTGCTTGTTCTTCAGGCAAGTACCCTCCGAGGCGACTTAGAGCATGGACACTCAGTTTGGCAAGACTGTTGGCTACTTCCTGTTATTAAAAAAGTTAATAGGTTACACAACAACTTCATGAAATCAAAACTGTATTGAACATTCTTAAGAAGCAGAAAGCAAATAAAAAAAGGGCATATAGTCCCGCCATTAAAATCAGGTTATGCATTACAGTTTATTTTATTTATAAGAAAGGTCCACAGGATCTATGCACTCACTTATTTTCAATGTAGTACCTTACAAAATCACATTTGGAAGTAGAGAAGGGATAGGTAGGAAGAGTTGTGTGCTAAAAGCACATGCTGACAATATGAGCTCTGAATAACAAGTAAGAAATTAGACAGAAAAAATATCTAGAAAGTTAGTTAAAAGTTACTCAAGTTTTTGCTGGTACTAGTCCTAACAGATTGGTGGATTATTATATTTTCCCATTACATAAACATAATTTTGAAAACAAAGTTGACTCTGGGAAACTAAGAAAATACTAAATTATGTCCAGCATATGCCACTGCAAATTGAATCCTTCAAGTAATAGGTGGTCAAGATAAAAGGTTTTAGCCAGAGCCAGGGGCACATGCCTGAGATTCTAGCTACTTGAGAGGCTGAAATCTGGAGGATTGCCTGGTTCAAGGCCAGCCAGGCTCCATCTCCAAAATAACCAGAGCAAAATGGACTTGAGGCATGGCTCAAGCAGTAGAACATGTTCTTTTCCAAGTGCAAAGCCCTGAGTTCAAACCCCAGTCTCACTAAAATAAGTATCAGCCAGGCACAGTGGTACATGCTTATAATCCCAGCACTTGAAAGGTTAATGCAGGAGAATCAAGAGTTCAAGGCCAGCATGGAATACACAGTGAGTTCGAGGCCAACCTGGGCTAAACAGAGACTCTGTCTCAAACAACAAAACAAAACAAAAAACCCCCAAAACAAACAAACAGAAGCAGTGTTGGGGATTAAAGAGCAATAAACAGTCATCTTGAAAACAGTTTATCCCCTCGGAGGCTCAGCTGAAGCTTTGCTTCCCATATATTTAGCATCAACCTAAGTGGCTTAGGTTCAAGTTCAATATTACAGCAATGAAAAGTTACCTGCTGGTTTGTTTCTTCACTTTTCTGAATGCCACTCTCTTCTAGTGTATAGTCATAATTAAACAGATAACCAAGCAGATGCCACAAAATTCCAGCCTGAAACAGGTGTGTTTGCAGCCAGAAATCCACAGCAAAAGAACTGACACATTCTACCCCGAGAGCAGCCACCCGTGGAATACTCTGAGAGAATAACAAAATTAAATTATAGGGTTACAAAAAAACTCCCAAGAGAATTGGTTGTCAATGTATGTCAAGCCACTGATCTTACTTTGTGAAATACATGCCTCTTCTTATACTTTCAATCCCAATTTAAATCTGAACCCTATATCCTTTAAAGTCTAAAATAAAGTGACCTTATGATGAGATATCAGAGCTATTCACTCTGAGACCAGTGTCCAGAGATTTGAAAATAACAGGCTTCCTTATCTAGTATTTTTAATTTTTAAAAATAGTGGTAAGGCATCAATAGTAACTCACCATTAATGATAAGTACATCAATGATCCTGTTGTGCAGGTGTAGGATTTAACATGAGAATCTGTATTCTTACTAACTACTTCAAAGGACATTAAGTAGATATAATTTAGGAGGTATTTTCATCATATTCCTTAATTCTAGATACCTTGGTCCAGGATTAATACCTCCATCCTGTTCTATTCAACACAACTCACTCTGCCCAGTTACCTAAGAAGCTGACTGCCTCTCTCCTTTCCAGGAACCCACTCACAGACAACTTCCCTTAGCAGTTTGGATTGGGAGAGAACAGTATGCTCTCAGATCCCAAAAGCCTTTCCCACCAGGTGGTGACTGACCTCTAACTTCAGGTTTTACTTCATCCGGCCCTTTCTCTTTTCTCCCTGCCTTTCTTCCTTAGAAATTAGGTAAGACTCATTTCCTTCAGCTATGTCGCTCTAGTCTTATTTTTTGTGGGCCAGCCTAGGAACAAAGCCTTCATTTATAATGGTTTCTGTGAAGAATACGTTAAGATTCAAATAATTTACTTAGAAATAATTTTGGGCAAAATGGCCTGGTTATAACTTGGGAACTATTTGATGAGAAAATCCCCTGCTGACTGTATCCAGAAGGATTAAGATGAACTCTACCTTGCCAAAATAAAGCACCCGACAGAGATCCTTGATGATGCCGGGCATTTCTGTGATCTTCTCTCGGCATTCTTCAAACTGAGCTGCCACACTGTAGCATTTACTTATGTGTCCACACACCTGCAGACAACACCAACAGAGGGGTGGAATCAAATCAGCAGAGATTCGTAAATAATGCCTAAAAAATATGACAATTCAAAATTAAACTGAAGATTTCTATGAGATCACTAGTCTTTCTCCTTAAGATTTTTACAGATGCTGGGAAGAGCAAACCATGGCTCTACTGTCTATGGATCAAATCAACTATTGCCTGTATTTGTACCAATAGCAAGCTAAAAATGATTTTTATGTATTTTTAATGTACTATTACAAAAACACGCACAAAAGATTACATAAGAGAGATGATATAAAGCCTGAAGGCCTCAAGTATTAACTCTCTGGACCTTTACAAAGAACGTTATGTTTGATTGAGGTGTTTCTGTCCAGCTTTTCCACATGGCAGAGTATCGTAATTCCATTATACAATGCACTTGCAAATGGAGCCTGAAATGCAAAAACCAGCACTCAGCTGTTCTATATTCCAAGTTTTGCTAGCATACAGTCACATAAAAATACATGCTCGGTAACCTCAATGAATTCCTGATGAATTTTCTATTAAAGAACTTAACTACTATAACCTTAATAAAACGTAGCCAAGTTAAGTATTAGGAGAGGGGAGTAAGGCAGCAGAGTTAATCAGGGAAAGGGGTAGAAGACAGGTAAAATGATAGATAAATGTTTGAAATTGGTGATGGAGACATAGTGTTCAGTGTAGTACTCTTGGGACTAAGAAAGAGAAATGAAGTCAATATGCCACAGGTGACTGAGTGCAGGGTTCTTGAAAAGTGTGATCTGCAGTCTAGCAGCATTAGCCTCTACCCCGAAAACATGTCTCAAAAGCATTTTGTCCTCCCCATATCAGACCTGCCAAACCAGAAACTCACAGTGGAGTGGGAGGAGGAAGGCAGGTACTTCATGTTTCATGAGCCCTCACAACATGCCTGATACTTGTACATGTTAAAGTTTGAACCACTGGTCTAGCATAACCTTTTTTGGAGCCATAGAGCTTGGCCTCACCTGTACTGACATGTCACTTGGTTTACTAGAGCGATTCAAGACAGCCACACAGCGACTAAATGCCTCCTGTAATACCTGTAGAGAAAGAAGTAAGCAATGAACTCTCCATTTTGAGGTGAAGTCTGAAAGGCCTTATCTAGCAGGAATAAGATATGAATAACCTTATAATGTTAGCTATTTGTTAACTAAATGTTTGCTCAAATAATTTTGTTATATAAACAAGTAAAAAGTTTTGTCTCTTTTTTAAAAAAAGCATTCCCAATAAGGTACTTTATCAGCAACATTATCATTACCAATTTTGAATCCAATACTCTCTAATTAACAACATGAAATCACGCTCCATTATCACCTTTAGTTTTGGTGCTAGAATAGAAAGAATATGGTATTGTGCTCTCTGCTGGAGTAAATTAAAGGGAGAAACTGTCAACTGCCTGTATACTGGGTGAATTCTCTACTGTCAAGAGTCATTTCACGTGCTTAAACTAACTTAAAGGTATGCACAAAGGTCATTCCTATTACCTCTATTCCATTCTCCCTTCTGAGCTCTTCAGCATTGAGGGCTGAACAGTTGACTGTGTGGAAAGCCAGCTCCGCAGCAGCAGGCAACAATGGTGATTCTTTTGAGAAAAGGAGGTCATCTGAAGTCTCCATTGTTATAGTCCTAATTAGCATAGGGTATCCCGCATATTTATAAGGCTGTAAATCTGAAATAACCAAGGCTAGTGTTTAGAAAACAAAAACGTAACAAAAAGTGACCATGCTATAGTTTTAAGTTAATTTCGACACCATGTTCAGTTATATGTTTTAAAAAATAAAAATGATGTAATATTCACACATGTTAAATGTTTCCTAACTTCATTTTATTAAAAAAAAGATATTCAACTGCATAAAATGCTTTGGCTCTTTCCTTTTTAGCAAAATTGGTGGATTTCTGAAAATGTTTTCAATAGAACAATGGTATTTTGTGATAAATTAATTATATTTGGTATGTATCTATTTTGATCCTTTAAAGAATACCTACTTTCTGATATCCATATGATCTTTGTAACTTTTCACCTCACCATAGTCAGCAAGATACAGCAAATGCATCAGAAATTATATTAACACTCATGAGACATACCTTAAGAGATTGTGAAACGACATGTTTAAAAAAAAAAACAAAAACCAACTTATTCATTTATGAGACATGGTCTTGTTCTGTAGCCAAAGTTGGCCTTGAATTTGCAATCCTCCTGCCTCTCTACCTCCCTAGTGCTGGAATTATAGGTGTGTAGCACCAAGCCTGGCAGGCCATTTTATTTAAATGAAGATAAAATAATTCATATTCAGCTTTCTGGGTAATAGGTATACTTCTCTGTTTTATTAGTTATCTTAAACATTAAAAGATACTGAATATAATTTGTTCCTACAAATGCAAAACAGAAAGTTGATTTCTTTTTTTTTTTTTTTTTGGAGGAGTGGAGAACTCAGATTTTATTTTTTACACCATCAGGTTCAGACATGTACCTGTGTCTAAGCCCTGAACAAAGGATTCACAGTATATTTAAAAGGCAGTGCAGGGCATCGGGGTACAAAAATGTGCTGAGGTTATGGTGCTCTAACCAGTGAGTTAGAGACCTAAGATTGTATAGGTTAATTGGGCTGGTAGTGAGCTAGGGACCTAATGGTATTTTTTGTTGTTTTGTTTTGTTTTTTCATATGTGCCTACAATGCTTGGGTCATTTCTCCCCACTTCCCCCGACCCCCTCCCTTTTCCCCTGCCTCCTCCCTCTCTCCTCCTACCCCCTCGCTACCAGGCAGAAACTATTTTGCCCTTATCTCTAATTTTGTTGAAGAGAGAGTATAAGCAACAACAGGAAGGACCAAGGGTTTTTGCTAGTTGAGATAAGGATAGCTATACAGGGAGTTTAAAGACCTAATGTTGCTTAGATAAGGTCAGCAGGGGAGACCTGCTTTGGGAAGTTTATTTACAAGTAAAGACAAAGAAAGGCAGGAATGGGTGCTTATCTCTACATGGTGCCTTTCATCTCCTTCTGAACTTTTGCATGGCTCTAATGGGCAATTCCTCATGAGAAAGTTGATTTCTTAACTGTATGTAGCTAATTCCACGTTTTGATAAGCCAATTTAAGGCAAAAGCTGTCATACACAGGTACACAGTTACTATCTTTTCCTCCTGTGTTTAAAAAAATTAATCAGGCGGGAATATACAAATTAACTGGCCAGGATATTATTAAGTATCTCTGTAATTCTATTTGAAGTCAGCATAAAGCCTTTTGCCCACTTTTGCAGCCTTTTGCAAAATCTGCCTTAAATTAAAACTCATTTCTAAGACTGAGGCAGGCTAGAGTTAGGAAAGTTCAGGACTCCTAGAAAATACATGATTGAATACTGTATTTCAGATTGAGCATTCCTGTTTCTCTGAGCCTTCTATTTAGTTACACATGTGCTTGCACGCTGTCTACACTCTGGCTCAGGGACAGCTCACACTGCCCTCACCTGACCTGGAGACTGCCAATGCCCTTCCCCACTCATACCTAGTGGTTGGGAATCACCAGGTTCTTCCCATAGGTTAGTATAACTTTTAAAAGCACCTGGAAAGGGGAAGCATAGGGTCTCTGCTTCTGGCTTCCACCTGGGCCCACCATGTTCCCTTTTGTAATTCCCTTCCTTAATTTTTAATAAACTCCATTTACATCCATATGTCCTGCCATTGATTCTTCCACGTGGGTCACAAAGAATGTGGAAGTCTCTGGATCACAGATTATACCATGGTCATTAACAATGGCTTAAAAAAAGGAAGATAAAAAGGCAAACCGTTCCTAACTTGATGCATGTATGTGGTAAGAAAGAAGGGCGAGTTAATTTTAAGTCCTATCAGATCAGGACCTCAGCCCAGAGCTTACTGGGTTCAAATCCCCATTGGGAAGAGTGGGAGGTGGCTAGCAACTAGTATTGAGCCTTTACAATTCCTGTGGTCAAGTTATCAGTCACTGAGAATAACCAAGCCTTTTGAAAAAAATTTCTAAACTTACTCTGAATAGTGAGTGCCATAAAGCTAAAATGTTTTACGTATTTTCTGCTCAATTCACATACAAAAGTCAATCGATTAAGCACAGTTCTCCTTAACGATCGCATTGCTAGAATCTCAGCTGTTCTAATAAAATTGCATCTCAATTACTCAACACTCCCCCTGCTTATCTCAAATTCCCAACATGCCCTTTTCTTTCTCTTAATATCATCCTACATACAGCAAATTGGTCTCACATTTTGTGCTGTAAGCCAAGTTCAGCTCTCAAGCCAGATGGACATCTGCTATACTGAACCCAACCTCGATGCTTGCCATGAAGCATTACATGGTTTCAAGATACTCCTGGACTTCTGGGTTGCTACTGCTGGGGCTGCCACAATGGCCCTGAAAACATGCCAGGCAACCCTGTACCCTGAAATCACATTTATTTCATTGGTATCAGTGATTTTCCAACTGTCCCACAAGACCAGAGGGTGCTGAGAGCTACAACAGGAAATGGAGATGTGAGAGAAGTACACGATCTTCTGAAAAGTTTCTTGGTGTTTTCAAAACCTTCTGAAGCTTTTGAAATTAGGACACTCTTTTATATGTAATTTAAGAATATTAAATGATCTTTAAATTCCTGATTCCATTTAACAGTTTAGATTTCATTTAATATGTTTGCTGCTAAACAGCTAAACACAAAAACTAATTATGTAATTCCATAGAATGGAAATGTCATATAGGAAGAAATAATGAAATCTTGGAAATACAAAGTATTGATAAATATAGGTAAGAAGGGGAAGGTATAAAGTAAACATTTTGGGGCCTTAGCTTGGAAAATAACTTTTCCTGTATCAAAAATATGATTCCAAGAACCTTTTGCAGTAATAATTCTAAATCTACTAGAACTTGCTATAGAAACAAGTAGCACTGTTAGGATTAGCTAGAAGATAAATTACAATCTGAATAACAGACCTCACCTTCTTTATGACGGTTGAAGAGGATGCTCTGTGTTTTCAGAATTAAAATTATATTCTCTGGATCTGGTCCATCAATGATTTTTGTTGATTTGGTACATAAAAATTCATATGCTTTATTAACTTTTTCAAACATATCCTGTATATAATCAAGGACAATTACATGTTATTTGTGACACTAAAATTACAACTTAAATAAGATACAGTTGGTTTATAATTTAACAATAACTATTTTAGTGATCATTTTACTTTTTACATTGAGAAGTTCATTCCACCTGCCATCTAGCTGGTATACTGTTAAGGTAAAGCTGGTTTTGTTTGGTTTTTTTCCCAAATAGCTAAGCAAAGATCATTCCTATTCCCTGAAAAATTCTTCAAGTAAGAATTTTTAATGTATTTTTAAGTATATCTCATTAAATTCTTGTATACTAGAGTTTCCGACTCAATACAGAAAAGTTGAAGTATGAGCTACTATTTTAAGCACTGTTCTAAATGTCATCATATTTAATTGTCAAAATAGATATACAATAGGCGTGTACCTACCATTACTGTCCTCGTTTTTTACATGAGGACATTGTGACTCAGATTACTCAGTAACTTGCTTAGAAACAGTCAGTAAGTCAGTTAAGGCTTGCACTTTGGTCTCACTCTTCAGTCCATGTTCTTCAACTTCTACACTCTCCATTGGTCTATATGTAGATTCTTGTGTCTGTCTAACATTGTTCTTCTATTGTAGCTTTATGGAGTGTTTTAATATCTGGTAGATTAAGTCCAGCAATTTAATGACTTACTTCAAACTTTCTATCTTGATTATTTTTTCTCTCAGATAAATTTTAATTGCTCTAAGGCTCTAAAAAACACAAAACTCAAAGCACCCCCCTCCCCCAGGATTTTGATAAACTACTTTACACATGTATAAGTGGCATCTTTTCAATGTTAAGTTTTCCTATTCAGGAAGATTGTGTCTATTCCCACTGGAAACCACTGACTTGAAATCAGTGGAAATGATTCCATGTTTCTAGCAGCAGATCATTATTCCTAGTTTCAGTGGGTTCTTGTGTGAGTTCATCTTTTATGAATTTTCATTAGACAAGGCAGAACATTCCCTAAATGTTGACAGAAAAGGATTTTTCTACTTCTTCAGTTAGAATGAATGATATGAGATGTCATGAGAAAGAAAAATAGTTAAGTTACTAAAGCCAACTGTAAGGCAGTGGCATCACTGCCTTTTGGATTAATTAAATTCACCCAGAGTTCTAACTTGTAATTATTCTTGTGGCTGTCGATTATAGCTCTGACACAGACATGAGTAAGGAGAGAATAAATTTGTCCTTAAGTGGCAAGGACAGCCTTTCTAGTAAACTGACATGAAGAACACATGAGCATGTGGCTAGAAGCTGATTAAACACACAATGAGTATATAGATGAGGTAGGCTGTAGCACAGAAGGTAAGATCTTTTCTCTTTGTAAGTAACAACCAAACAAAAGGAAATTACCCAAAAGCCCTAATTCTGAAAGCAGTACATACCCTCCCTTCTGGATTCTTATCAGGGTGGTACTTTTGTGCAAGTCTGAAGTAAGCCTTTCTAATCTTGCTCTCATCATGCCTGTTGAGTAGGAAAATTATTTTATGAATACAGTGAGGTATAAACAAAATATTTACACAATCCTCAAAAATGATGATGATTCCTGCATGAGGAACTGTACGTGATATACATTAAGCCAGTAAGATTATTTTTTATGTGCTACCTTTACAGGTGAAAGATATAAACTAAAAGTTCCCTACTGCAAGGTTATCTTTTAATTATAAAACAATATGTGGGGCTTGAAGAAACTAACAAATATCTTTTGAAACCCACTAACTTTCAAAATGTCCAAAAAAACCAATTTAAACCCTAGAATTCTAAGTTACTATATGTCAGTACTACAAAAAAACTGTACAAAAAACTTTTAGTCTGTACTTAAAAAAATGTCTTTTAAACTACTTTTCTCTAACATATATAGTCTATTATGAAACTTCACTGATAAATTACTAAGTAAATTCGCTTTCTTTCCAAATCTGTCATTTAGTGTCCTGGACATACTGCTACCAAATCACTTCCTCGTGCATAAAATGAATCCTAAGAGGAAGGAAAAAACAAATATGTGAGTTCTATGCATCAGGTAAATGATGCCATGCTCTGTAAGACCTCAGTTAATAAACTGTAATATACCAGGAAGAACAAACGATGCAATTTGGCTAGGAAAGCTGTAAGGCATGGAAGTCACATGATATGGTTCTATTTTTATCTCACAGGGACATACCAAAAACACACAAAAACTAAAATGGTGACTTAAATACTATTCGTATTTGAAGGAAAGGCAGATGTTTACTGTGAAACACTGAAAACAACTCACAGCCCCTGTTCTCGAGGCAGATTCAGTACTTCATAAGCATCATCTATTGACATTGTTGGTGGCTTCTTTTCTACTTCCTTCTTCCAGGCATCAAGGGTATCTTTTAGTAGCTTAACCTTAAAGACAGGATTACAGTTTGTATCTACCAAAGCAAAATTATTCAGAATTTTTAAGATAAAATATTTTCCTGCATTCAGTTAAATTAGCATTTCTTGACTGTCCAATTAACAGCTTTCTGAAATACAAGCAACCAACCCACCTTAACACTTTTGTATAGTTACACAGCAAAAAGTATTTGTTGTAATATTATTCCCTCTATTTTTAAGTGATGTTTTTTATTCTCTACAAATTTGTGTCTCTACCCTTCATTTAAAAAAAATGTTCAGAAAACTTGGAAAACTCTGAAATTAGAAGGTGCTCTGTGGTATGAAAAAAAGCAGTAAATTATGGCATGCTTCTTATTATTGTCATGGTTTGGAGATGAAGTGACCACCTCTCCAGACTTGAAGGCTTGGTCCCTGATGTAAGCAGTGTTCAGAGGTGGAGCTTTTGGGAAGTGAATGGATCATAGAGCTCTGCCTTCATTAATGGATCAATACACTGATGCATTCAAAATTTAAGTAAGGCTATTGGGATATGGAAGGTAGGGTCTACTTGGAGCAAGTGGGTCACTAGGGTCATATCTGGAGATCTACCTTGTCCCTGACTATTCTCCCTCAATTCCTGGATACCAAAAAGTGAGCAACCCTCCTATTATGATGTTCTGCCTTACCACAGTCAAGACAATGGGGCTAGCAGACTACAGACTGAAACATCTCAAATTAGCCCAAATAAATCACTCCTTTTAAGTTGTTCTCTCAGGTTTTTGTCACAGCAGCAAAAAGTCTGACAGACAGTTATCTACCATTATTGATATACTGATATTCAAACAAATGTAAGGGATAGTGAACTCAAAGGAGCTGAGTTGTGAGTGGGAAGATGAAAGCTAATATATATTGCGTGTCCATATGCCAAGGAGCTCGTTGGTGTTTGACAGACCATAACAAATTTGATTCTTCATTAAAATCTTAAGAATACCTTGACATTCTAATTCATGTCTCCCACAGTTCACAAATGATAGAGCTGAACCCAAATCTAGGTCTGACTAAAAAGCCCACACATTTTCTACTATCTCATGTTGAATCCTGAACAAGTACAGAGTTTGTCTTTCATTGGTCATACTATAAAGAAACAGTGACTAGGTCAGGCATGGTAGAACATAACTATATTCCCACACTGGGAAAGCTGAAGCAGGAGGATTGTGTGTTCAGGGGTAGCCTGGGTTATAGAGTTCTAGGCCAACCTGAACTACACAGTGATATCCTGTTGCAAAAAATAAATAAATTGATTTGTTCAAATGGCAACTATTCTGAAATCTCTTAGATTATAATGATATAAGCTCTGCCATAGGAAAAGAAAAAAATGGGCATCCACGCCCACGTGTCTACTTCATTCCAGCTCCCACAGATTAAGTAAGGGTTTAAGTTAAAAGGATTCAAAGGACACCACACACAGGCAGAGGGCATACACTGTTTTGCAAAAAAGGTTATACTTAACTGCCTTTTGTGTGTGCCAGGAATTGGACTCAAGTGAATTCTCACTTTATCTTCACAACCACCACTGGAGACAGTGACTGTTTTTACTATTACTATCAATTTAGAAATGAAAGGGAGGCTCAGAGAAACCAGGCAATGTACTGAATGTAACCAGAGCTACATAAACAGAGGTACATATTACTTAAGAAAGAAAGGGAATACTTTCTCTTTTTTTTGGAGATGGTGTCTTTCTATATTGTCCAGGCTGGCCTCAAACCCAGGGTCAAGCAATCCTCCTGCCTGAATCCCCAAGTAGTCAGGACTACAGGCATGCACCACTGCACTTGGCTGAAAAAGTACTTAAAGAAGCTATCACCCTTCTTATCACAGGAGGGAAAAATAGCTAGAAGTGTTTAGAGACTGTTTTTATGGCTTAAGAAGACACAAATTGAACTTACGGGGTCTTTAATAGGCCAATCTGGAAACCGGAGTGTATCACAAAGCTGCTTGAGGTAATAAATATTACAAAAGAGTTCGTTTTCCAGCTGTGGATAGCTGATGACTGGGATGGGACAGTACTGGTAGAGTGCTCTTGTATTACTCTGAAGACGAGGTGTAAAGTCAGCAAGGTGAGCAGCGATCTTCTCTATCATGAGCCGCCTACAAAGACAAGACCTTCATTCAAGCATTCTGATGGAGAGGAAAACATGGGTCTTCCTTAGTTATTCCTTAGAATAACTCAATTACTGGCCTAAAATGAGAGCCTGAATGTTACACAAAGGATTCGAGTTTTACTGTGTCAAAGTACTCAGTGGAAATTTATCCATAATACTTATCTGTAACAAGATCGGAGGGAAAAAGAAAAAAAAAAGGACTGATGTGCTCGGTCCTTCCTATTTAAAAAAAAAAATCACCCACTACAAGATCAAATTGTATAGTGTCTGCATACATCAGGGTATAGGTGAGAACTCAACCTTGCTGTCAACCCAAAGAAGCCCAGTAGGTGGTATTTATTTTAGTTAATTCATTACAGTCTAGGGTTTGGTGCTGAACTGAGCAGAAATCTGATTTGGTCAGCACAGAGAGATACATGTTTTAGGTACAAATTCAGCCAATCTAAGAATAATAATATTCCTACACATTTTTTCAATGAAAAATATGACTGTCAAAGAATATGTTAAAAATTGGTGGCTCACAGGACAAGCCTATAGATCAACCTGCTCCAGGTGCCCAATAACCAGCAGGTGGCATGGGGAATGTCAAGTCAACCTGAGGAGAGGGTGACTCAAAAGGTGAAATTGCACTGGCAAAGAGACCTAAGTGCTTCTCCACATAAAGGCAGCCTTGACAATGTAACCATGTATGAACAGTCAAGTCTTTCCTGGACAGTCTGGCTGGCACTGCCATCCACTTCTAAGCCTCTGTGGTTCCATAGGCTTCTACTATGGCATTCCCTTCTTAGTAAGAACAAACTGCTTAATGAAGGTTGAAACGCAGGTTAAGTTATTATTGGCACCTCTAGTCTGATCCATGCTATATGGGCATAGTTTTTAATTAGTGGAGTACAGACCAAATATTGAAAATATTTCCCAACAACAAAAAGGTATGTCTTACAACCCCAGCCCCCACAATCCCTGAAATAGCACCCTCCACTACAACAACAGAAATACACCCAAACACACACAAGGGCCACAAAATCCAGCAGCCCCCATACCTCTTCACATACCCACCTACCCTTTCCTCCCCTCTTTGAGTGCCACCTTTACCCAATCCCCAAGACCTGTAACTGGTCTAATAACCATTACCCGCCTCAGCTCTGAATGTTTACAGATATTATCAAGGGGTTTTCTACATAACACATTAACAACTGTTCTGGCATTGAACCTTTGAATTTACTGTTGCTAAATTACACCTCCAGACCAGGGTCAGATATAGCACATCAACTTAGCTAACAACCAAGTCAGCCACAACGCAAAAATTAAATCTGGGAAAGAAATCAGGCAATCAAATCCACCAATAAGTCTACCAAAAACATAGCTGCACAGCACCAAATGGAGTGAATAGACAAGCAATACTGAGCAAAAAAAGCAATGCTGGAGGTTATCACAATACCTGACTTCAAACTACACTACAGAGCCATCGCAATAAAAACAGCATGTACTGGCACAAAAACAGATATGAAGACCAGTGCAACAGAATAGAGGACCTGAATATGAATCCATACAGATATGGCCCACCTTATTTTTGACAAAGGGACAAAAACGTATGATGGAGAAAAAACAGCCTCTTCAGCAAATATTGCTGGGAAAAGTGGGTAACTACCTGCAGAAAACTAAAACTAGATCCATGCCTATTACCCTTACTAGTATCAACTCAAAGTGGATTAAGGACCTTAGTATCAGACCGAAAGCTTGCCGTTAGTACATGAAAGAGCAGGAAATACCCTGGAAACAATAGGTATAGGTAAGGACTTCCTCAGTAGAACTCCAGCAGCCCAGCAACTAAGAGAAAGGATGGACAAAAAGGACTACATGAAACTAAAAAGCTTCTGCACAACAAAAGAAATGGTCTCTAAACTGAAGAAACCACCCACAGAGTGAGAAGGTTTTTGCTAGCTATACATCAGACAAAGGACTGAGAACCAGAATATATAGGCAGCTCTAAAAACTAAACTCCCCCCAAATCAATGAACCAATAAAGGAGTGGGCAACTGAAATAAACAGAATGTTTCCTAAGGAAGAAATCCAAATGGCCAAAATACACATGAAAAAATGCTCAATATCCCCGGCCGTAAAGGAAATGCAAATCAAAACTACACTAAGATTCCAACTCACTCCTGTTAGAATGGCTATCATCAAAAACACTACAACAACAAATGCTGGTGAGGATGAGGGGAAAAAGGAACCCTCATACACTGCTGGTGGGAATATAAGCTAGTACTGCTACTAAGGAAAACAATATGGAGGCTCCTTAAAAAACTAAACATAAATCTGCCACATGATCCAGCAATACCACTCCTAGGGATATACCCGAAGGAATGTGACTCAAGTTATTACAAAAGCACCTACACACCCATGTTTATTGTAGCACTATTTACAATAGCCAAGCTATGAAACAGCCCAGGTGCCCCACAACCAATGAATGGATCAAGAAAATGTGGTATTTATACACAATGGAATTTTACACAGCTACAAAGAATGAAATTTTGTCACTCACAAGTAAACGGATAGAACTAGAGAACATCATTTTAAGTGAAGTTAGCCAGGCTCAGAGGGTCAAAAATCACGTTCTCCCTCATATATGGATTCAAATGCAGTATTATTACTGGACACACTAAGAGAACATGGAGGGGAGAAATAGGAAAAGGAAAGGAAACCTAAAACTTGAATGTGATTGATGTGCTCCCTGTTGAGGAGTGAATAAATTAATCTTAAATTGGCAGAGGCCACTATGGGAAGTAGTGAAGAGGTCTGGTTTGCAATACACAAGTGCATGGAAGCAACTCTAGGAATCTCTCTGTATAGCTATCTGTATCTCAAACTAGCAAAAACATTGTGTCTTTCTTATTATCTCCTATGTTTTCTCCAACAAAACTGGAGAACAAGAGGGCGGAACAGGTTCTGCCTGGAGGGGTTGGGGGAGGTGGCACAATGTATACACACATAAGTAAATGTAAAAACAATAAAATTAAAAGAGAAAAGAAAAAAAGTGTGTCTTCGTTTTATGACTATATAGTCCCTACCTATATCATTGTGTTTTTTTTTTATTGTTTTATTATTCATATGTGCATACAAGGCTTGGGTCATTTCTCCCCCCTGCCCCCACCCCCTCCCTTACCACCCCCTCCACCCCCTCCCTCTTCCCCCCACTCCCTCAATACCCGGCAGAAACTATTTTGCCCTTATCTCTAATTTTGTTGAAGAGAGAGTATAAGAAATAATAGGAAGGAACAAGGGATTTTGCTGGTTGAGATAAGGATAGCTATACAGGGCGTTGACTCACATTGCTTTCCTGTGCGTGGGTGTTACCTTCTAGGTTAATTCTTCTTGATCTAACCTTTTCTCTAGTTTCTGGTCCCCTTTTCCTATTGCCCTCAGTTGCTTTTAAGGTATCTGCTTTAGTTTCTCTGCGTTAAGGGCAACAAATGCTAGCCAATTTTTTAGGTGTCTTACCTATCCTCACCCCTCCCTTGTGTGCTCTCGCTTTTATCATGTGCTCAAAGTCCAATCCCCTTGTTGTGTTTGCCCTTGATCTAATGTCTGCATCTGAGGGAGAACATACGATTTTTGGTCTTTTGGGCCAGGCTAACCTCACTCAGAATGATGTTCTCCAATTCCATCCATTTACCAGCGAATGATAACATTTTGTTCTTCTTCATGGCTGCATAAAATTCCATTGTGTATAGATACCACATTTTCTTAATCCATTCATCAGTGGTGGGGCATCTTGGCTGTTTCCATAACTTGGCTATTGTGAATAGTGCTGCAATAAACATGGGTGTGCAGGTGCCTCTGCAGTAACCTGTGTCACAGTCTTTTGGGTATATCCCCAAGAGTGGTATGGTTGAATCAAATTCTATCTATATCATTGTACCCACTCTATAATTGATTTAAAAGCACTAGTGGTAGTAGGCCATACTCTTACATAAAGCTCTATTAAAGCAACTAATTTTGTCAAATCATGTCAGAATAGAAAAAAGCTTAAGGTCTTGTCAAAATCCATCATTTCATTTGAAGCCAACAGCTACTGTCACTTTAGATTATGAAACTAGTAAAAATATATTTTTTTAAATAGAAGTCAAACCAGATGGCAAGCAGCAAAAATTCTGAGCATAAAATACAGTTGATTGGTTACTTACCTCATTTCACTGCTCCAGATTGCTTCTGGAGTGTCAAATTCTCCTAGAAAAATCTCAGAAAACTTTTCAGGTTCATAATTTTCTAAATAACAAACCATTGCTTCAGGTAGGATGTGTCCGAGAATACTTCTCTGAGAGATATCTTGTCCTTTTGTCTTTAAAACAAAAGAAATATAGTGGGAAGCACTAAAATTACCTTTCAATTTCTTTTGACAGTTTTGGGGTTTCACATTTGCTAGGTAGACACTCTACAGCTTGAACCATGCTTCCAGTTCTTTTTGCTATACTTATTTTGGAGATAGGGTATTGCTTTTCCTTAAGCAGGCCTATTTTAGGCTTTTGTAGCTGGGATGATAGGCAGGTACCACCACACCCAGCTTTTTTCTATTGAGATGGGGGGGGGTTCTCGTAAACTTATTTATATATATATATATATATATATATATTTTTTTTTTTTTTTTTTTGCCTGGGCTAGCCTGGGACAGCAGTCCTCCCAATCTCAGCCTTGCAAGTAGCATGAATCACAGGCATAAGACGTTGGTGCCCAGCTCCTTTCAATTTTTTGATAAATGAATCAGAGAACATTTTAAGAAAAGAGCATAACTGTAACAATTGCCCATATTCTTTAGGAAGTTGAGTGGAAACAGAAAAACGTATATTCGGTGGTGTCTGGTACAAACTGGCTTGACATAAGCTCCAAGGCAGAACTGGCAGCCTTACCATTTTTGCAGGTTACGTGTTCTGCTCATGTTATTCAGGACACTGGCTTCTGGCCATGTGTAACGGACAACAAAAGGAGATACCCTGGAGATCTTACATTATATCACTGGCTACAGTTCCCACCTGTATGTGTTTGTTTTCAAAACATGTCTAAGAGATCATAAAGATCTCAAAGAGGTTGCCCTCATGAAATGTGAGTAGGATTTAGATGGAGATTTTCTACTCAAGTAATTATAATTAAGTATTGAGAAGTCCGTAATTTCTGGCTGGGTAATGATCATAATTTATCATACTAAAAATTTAAACTTATTTCTTTACCTGATGGAAATAGAAACCTAATGACTACAAATGCCTTTCTTATATCTTTACAGGCAGGTTTAAAATGGTTTACTTCTCTACAAAAGGACAAAACAATGGAAAATAAAAAAAACTCAAACATGGTTTTACCACTTGATGCAAAGACAAAAAATAAATTTAGTACCAAACTTTTAGGTGAAAAAAGTCTTGTTTAGTTCTTTAGAATTCTATTTGGCAATTCTGGCATTCAAAACTTCTGCTATAAATAGTTTTGCTATAAATTATTTAAAATATTTAGGTGAAATGATACCATATCTAATATAAAAATTTCAAAAAAAGGATACATACATATTACTGCACAGAAATAAAGGAAAAAGAAAGAATGCCCCAAATGCCTAATAAATTAGGATTACCATTAGAGATCACTTTTTATATTCTCATTTTCTATTTATAAAAATCTATGGAAATTATGCTAGTATGGGTATCACTATAATTTTATTAGGCAAATGGGTTACTTTCTAGGGCTTCAACTGTTACTGTACGAAACCTACAGCTTGTTTTGAGTATCTACTGCCAAAGCAGTCCAACGATCCTTAGGCTTCTAAACAGTGGTCTGGCTTGGGTGTAATAGTCTGCTTTGGACAAAAAAAAAAAAAAAAAGCTCAATTGAAAGCTTAACGAACTCTGAAACACTCTCCAGGTATGTTTTGAAAATGAAAGTCTTTTTGCAAAATCTAGGTAATAAGGTTTTAGGTTGTTAAGCTTCTTAGATAAATCCATCTCTCTTCTGATTCTTTTGATTCCAAGCTTTCCTGCTCAGTAAATGGCAACAACACCTGAAAGCACTGTGAAAAATTGCATAGTTTCATCAGAGAAACCTAGAATGTCTTCTAACTGGGAATCTGACAAAAAGAAGGCTAAAGATGAAGAATTACTGAATCTTAACCTATTATGAGGGTGAAGCAAATAATGAAACCTTTACAAAAATTACTAATCTGAAGCTTGTTCAAAGACAGTAACATTCACAGAGCTATCAATGTAACTTATAGCTACAATTTCAGAAAGTCTAATGGGCAACATTTATTTTCATTAAAAAATTTAGCTTAGACTTTATGTGCAAGGTACCATAAAGAATGCAAAAAAAAAAAAAAATGGATAAAGCAATACCTGCCCCCTAAGCACTTATAATCTAGAAAACACAGTGCAAAAACAGCTCACTTAGTGCTTAGTATTCAGAAGATTAATTTGGCTTACCTCCTCTGACTTGAATGCCTGTTTGGTATGTGTATATTTCAAAAACCTAGAGAGAAAAACAAGTATGTATTTGATAGAGGAATTGATTTTAGTAACCTTAGGTTTCTAAAGAATAGATCTTTTATGGATTAAAAAAGTCAAAACAGTAACTCATGAATCCATGTTCGCAGATTATTAACTTCTGATGAAGGTTAGTAACTTGAATGTGCTAGGAAGATTTTTAAACCATGGTAATAGAAGGCTATGTAACAATATGAAAATTTTTTTTAAAAGCCAATGTAAAACTGTTTGTATACTATAAATATAGTTATATTAAAATACTAGATAACATTTGAATATTAAAATTGGTAAAGTGCTATGATTCTGAGTAATTTTTCCTGTTCTTCTACTTTCCAAATTTTCAGATACATAGGTAGCTGTTATGATGAAAAATTATATGAAAGCAATGATCTACTCACAAAATTCTAATAAAATAAAATGACCACATATAATTCAAGTAATAATTTTAATATTACCCTTAAAGTTCTTACCGAGCAACAGGAAGCACATTGGAACCTGTGTACATCATGATAAAGAAAAACACTCCACTTAGATAGAGACGAGGTAACTGTGGGTTATCTTGCACGATATGGTATAACAAAATAGCAACCTTCTCAACTAGGATAGGGTCAAAGGTCAGCAGTAGCTGAAAAAGGGAATACAACATTTTAGTTAATGAGTTATTCTGAGGTTATAATTTCTTTTGCAAATTATAAAATAAAATCTGTGGGATTCAGTCTGTCTACCAGATTCAAAATGGATTTTAAAAATGATTCATTCCGTAATATTTAATGCAGACAGTAAAATATCAGTTGAAAATTGATCAAAACATGGTCAGAAAAAGCCCAAATATGTCAAAGGTAGTTTTTCCATGAGGGTACAGGCAAAATTGCTTCTAGTATGAAATCTTCCTAAATGGACTTTTCTGTTAATGACAAAGAAAAAAAAAATCAGTTCGATGTTGAGTTAGCTCAGTTGAGCTGATGTGAAGAACTTGACATGAGGGCTACTTAAGAAATCCAGCAGCAAAGCAAGAAATGGCTGTCAATGGAATGGCCCTGAAAGTGTATTGACAAGTGCAGCTTAGAGGCCAGGGCTAAACAAGTACCAGAAGTAGCACTAAGTGCTACTTCTATAAACCACAAAAGTACAAAAAGATATGGCCTCTAGGAATCAGAATCAGAAATACTGAAAGGAAAATCTGAGACCACTGTTAGGAATGTGGCTAACAAAAACCATGTAGAATTGCTATGATTAAATATTTGACAAAGATATTTAATAAAAATATATATCATCTCATAATAAAGGAAGTATTTCGATTTTCTTTAAAGATGGATTATCAATTTCTTTAAATACTTGCTTTGAAAGAATGATATCAGTGTCTAGACTCAGATATCATGCATCTAGCCTTAGGTAAGAATTAAGAGCTATATGTCTTCTAACTAACTTATAATTTTCTGTGTTTTTTAAAGCATTTTTTCTGCACTTTGGTTTGGTATCTTATCTGTTCAAAAAGGCATTTAGATTGTTTATTATTATGACATATTTTAGAAAGGAAAAATGAGAAACAGTCACCCAGGATTTTCCCTAGTATAAAGGGCCACTGTAGTCTGATATTTGATATTATGGAAATTACCAAGCAAACAACTGAAGTATTTCCAGTTGACAGTATATCAGAAAACCTGGGACATACATTCACTGTATCTTAGCCTACTCTAAAACTTCAGGAAACTATCAGTTCCAAAGCCAAATGAAATACAGAATGCCCTTTCCAATCAATGGAATAATGTAAAAATTTTCTAAGAAGTATTTTTTGAACTCAGTATAAGAAATTTGGGAGACATAGGTTATTAAAAGCAACTAGATTTATCAAGAAAATTCTCTTCAATCATCTTGTTCAGGTATTAAAAATTTTTGATTAATTAAAAGGTATACCTCTCTCATCTCCCCCACGCACACTATGTGACAATATTGTGCAACCAAGGTAAGGGCTCTGCCATTGATATTCTGAGCCTCAGCCCTGGATCTTCTGAGACCAGGTCTGGAAATGTAGCTCAGGCTGACCTCAAACTCATGATCCTCCTGCCTCCTCCTCCCAAGTGCTGGGATTACACATATACACCACCATGATCAGCAATACTGACTACATTTCTTAAAAATTTTTCTAATTATCCTTCCCATGTCCACATGGTCTGAAATGGAATGCAATTTTCATATCCTTTCTTCCTTTAAATTTCTTAAATTTTGGAAAATTGGAAGATATTGACTCTGGAAATGACATCTTATCTATATGTGTCTCTCTTTGTATCGCCCCACACATGATCCTCTGGGGTGGGGTGACAGTGGTTTAAAAAAAAATTATAATTACAGCACTCTTTCATTTAACAGTCTGAACAGAAATGTCCACAACAAAAAAGCATACAACTTTTTAAGTACTGGTATGCTTAAAGAGTAACAGTTGACAAAAAAAAGTGGTAACTGTGTTTGCATATTCATAAGTCTTTTTCATTATCAGTAACTTCCATAAGCCCTTAGCTAGTAATACGAGTGTAAAAATTTATAATCAGAGTTGCTTTCCCATCTTTCCACACCAATGTACAAATGATAGAAACAAATGACAAAAAATACATACCTGACAACAGAATAATCAGGAAGCAGGAGGAAAGTGTTTACCTGAAATTTCTGGAACCTGACTACTTGGTTTTATGCTAAACTGGGTTTTAGATCAAATAGAACAATGCAGAAAAAGAAAAGAAACATAAGTGTATTGTATGTAATTCCAACACAATGTTTTGAATCAGTTGCTATGCATGAAAACATGCAACTAGGACAAGTCAAACTCTGAGGCACTTGCTAGTGAGACTTCTGTGGTTATCTGTCAAGAAATAAACTACCATGTTCACATCTGTGGCCTGCTAGTGTGCTTCCAAGCAGCCCTAACATCGATCTGCACACAAGCTACAGTAAATCACTTTTCAGTTATTACAATGGTGTGACTTGAAAGATGGATAATAAATAAACCCTTTAGGATAATCATGGAATCTGAAGACTTCCCATGTGTAGGCTCCTGAATACACAATCTTCCACAGTATATTCAGATTATCAACTCAATTAACAGTGAGTGAAATAAAGTGATTCGGGGTTTGGAGTTTTCTTGAAAATGGAACAGATTACAAAAAAACAAAGATAAGGGCTCATAATAAATTTAAACAAGGGAAAATACTTCGTTAATATTGTCCCTAATTAATAACACAGAAGTCACTCACCTGAATAATATGGGGAAGGCAAGTGCTGTCTGATAGCAGTCTTTTCACTCTAGGTAAAGGCCGAATGATGGCATTATCTTGATCCCTAGAAAATATTTTCTAAGGTCAACATTTAATATACTTATTAAATTTGTATGTTCAGAGTATATGACATTCTACTAGGCATGAAGCAGGTTACCTTACTTTTTTGTTAATGAAGACTAAGCTCTCATACAGCTGGGAACATGATTAGGTATTTTGGTTTAAATCTACTTGGCTGCTTAATATGACTTCATTTCCTTCCATAAGATTTCCTTGAAAAACAGTACCCTAGAAGAGCCAAAGACTCTTATTTATTATTTAATTGATTAAACTTTGTGTTGTCCAGCACACTGTCAGTGGATAGTCCCCCCAAAGGGCTGTCAAACTTTGTCATGTCAATTTAAACCTTACTTTAACTACAGTCAGCACTCTCCAAAGATAGCTTTAATTTTAATGTTATATTATTTCTAAATGCTTATTGCATAGTTCTGACTCTAATCTGACTTTTTAGGACACCTGGAACTGAAACACGTGTAGTGTCATAAAATGTGCCATTTTCTCAGTAATTTCCATCACGAGGTATTTATGGTACAATAAAACATAAGTATTTAAATGTTTTATAAAGATTAAAAAGTTCCACACAAATTATGACTGTCACAAGGAGAGCAAACCTTCACCTTCACTAGTTCAGTGGGACAAAATTGAGACTAGAATTCCTTTCTACACCAGGAGTACTAACCTGGCAGATTGGAAGCTGACACTTACTTATCACTGAGTATGGACTGTGGATATCTGTTGCAAAACATTCATATCAGATTCACAGAAGTATTCTAATTATTACCATTGCTAAAGTCTTGAAATTTCCCAGTAAAAGTTGCTTTTCAGCTACTGTATCAATGTAATTGTCAAGTTATTCTGTTATATTTAATAACCAAAGCAGAACTCCCCCAGGGCCACACATAGGACATGTGTTTTAAACCACCAGATAATTCCATGATATTACTGAGGATGTGTACATATAAACAGGGCAAACAAGATATTTTATAGTCCTCTGTCCATCATGAAAACATTAATTACATTTTACCTGCTTGGATAATATCCACACATTGTGATCAACATGTTCAATATAAGGGTAGCGAGGTCAGTTTCATTCAGTACAGCCTGTCCACTGGCTAACAGACACCACTTAAGCTGGGGTATTGCCTGAAGTGGTCGCCATCCATCCATTCCTTGAGCCCAGCATCTGGTTTTTGCATTCAACATTCCTTTGATCCATAATTCTTGCATCTTAATTGATGGAAGGCATCATTATTACGGACAAAATACAATGAAAAATTTGCCAATGTTTTCTATATTCTAGTAAATACGTATGAAATAATAATACACTATGAATTAATAAAGCACAGCATAGTAAGACACTGAAATAAACATGGAAGTTCACTGTTAAGAAACCAAGTTTTATTGATAGGCTTTCAGGAGCCCAAATTTGGCTGACAGTACAAAAAAAAATCATTTATTTGATAAATTGCATAATTTAAGAAATACTGGAGAGAATAAAAATGGTAGGCAAAGTGAAAAGTGAGCAAATTACATAAGGCTTGGTTCTCCATAAAACTGTCTTTCAAAGTCAGCCTCAGAGGTTGAGGATGGGAAGGTAGGATCAAATACTGCAGGGGAAGAGGGAAACTACCCTTAGTTCACCTGACAAACAGGCAAGAGTCAATGAACTTTAGAGTGCATATTATAACTTGCTTGTTCATACCATATGGAAACATTAGTTTGAAATAATTATTAAGATAGCAATAGTTATTAAAAATCCATTAAAAACCTTATTGTCACCTCTATAACAGCTTTCTTTGTTGGTAGTGGGACTGAGGTTTGAGCTCAGGGCTTTAAACTTGCAAAGCAGGCGCTCTACCACTTGAGTCATACCTCCAGTCCATTTTACTCTAGTTTAGAGATGAGGTCTCATGAACTATTTGCCTGGCTGGCCTCAAATCACGATCTTCCTCTCTCTCAAAAGTAGCAAAGGTTACAGGTGTGAGCTATGGGCCCCTGGACAGTAATAGCTCTTAAATAAGGTTTGAAGCATGATTTTGTACATATGTGTAGTTCTCTGTAAGTGCAAGCCATCTGCTCCCTTCAGGTAGAAGTAGGATTGGAGGGCCCTTGTTGCCAATGACAGAATTAAAATCAGTTTTAAAATGTTATACATCTCTATGAGTGTTAAGATGGGTGGGGACCTGCCTGACATGATGGCACAGGCCTATAATCCCAGCACTTCAGAGGCTGAGGCAGAAGGATCACAAGTTTGAGACCTGCCTCAGGTATATAGCGAAAGCCTGTCTCAAAAACACAACAACAGTAAAACAAAAAGCTGAAGACCACAAAAAGGTTTTCTATGACACATACCTCATGAAATCCATATGGGCCACTCCTTTCTTTGTCTGCATTGCCAAAATACCATTCCTTTTCACTTTCTCTTTTCATATCTGGAGCAGCTTCAATTACATTGCTCTAAGTTTCAAAAAGATTTAGTTATTTTTCCAAACCACAAAGCTATGGAGCAGTTGTCACAAAACGAGTTATACAGTACAAGTTAGGCGTTTGTAACCCTATAGAAAATCAACTGAAATTTTAAGTGACCTTATTTAAGAGTGTAATATTAAGAGGCTCATGCCTGTAATTCCAGCTACCTGGGAGGTAGAGATTGGAGGCCAGCCAAAGCACAAAGTTAGCAAGACCTCATCTCAGACAATAAGCTGAGAACAGTGTCTTGTGCCAGTGCTCCCAGCTATGCAGGAGACATAGGTAGAAGAACTGTAGTCCAGTGTGGCCTGGGAAAAAAACATGAGAGACCCTATCTGAAGCATAAGTAAAGCAAATAAAAGCGGGGTTAAGGGGGGCAGTAAAATGCTCAAGTGGCAGAGCACTTGGCTAGCAAGCAGAGGCCCTGGGTTTAAACCCCAGTACCACACACACAAAAAGTTATGGATTAGATGCCTAATGAATAGTTTAGAAAAATTGTATCCTTATTAGTATACATTTCCTAAATTCACTCAGTAAGCTAAGCTAAATTCCAAGACTTCTACATTTCCTGTAAATTCTTAGAGCACTAAAAGTCTGGCAAAGAATACTGCAAATAGTTATATAGATAAACTTTAAACCACGGTGCTCAAAATACTAAAGTTCCCTGGGGGAAAAAAAAACTGGCCCCAACAGGAGTTTCAGAGAGCATGTGAGATCAGAGAGTTGAGATGCTAACGGGACAGTTTTAAATACTTAAGTTTCAATCTATTACCCACACTACCTTTAAATTGAATTAAGTTTGGCCTCAAGCTGTTTACATAAATATTTTAAATTTGGCCTACAGATTTCTCCATACATAGTGAACTAAAACCTCATTTGATTTGATAACCTACTCTAACTCTTGTAACAAGTAGCTGAGTCTTAGACAACCACAGATTTAGTGACTGCGCAAACAAATTCAAATAAGACAGATGCAACCTGCAACCAACTGAGCTCTGTACCCTTCCTCCATTCTGTTGTGTGCCACTTCCTTTTCTCTGGCTACAAATATAGACTGCCTATGTGGTGAGACAGGGGACTGTGAATCATTTAGTACAGACTGCTGCTCAATTCCAGAATCACAAAAAAAGCTAGTAAGCAAAACTATGTTAAAATTTTCTTTTAATGCTACAGAAAATTCTTCTAATTTTTCTCCATCAGTGTTGTATGAGGCTAGAATTTTTGTATAGTTTTAGTGTATTTTATTGTAGTATGGTTTCTAATACTCCCACAGCTATCAGCTTTCAGTTAAGACACATTTTACGGCTAGGGCACAGCCTTCTGGGATCTAACTATCTCTGCCACTTTGGGGGTGACCTTCAATGACATAGTGCTGTGTTCCTCAGTTTCTCTATTGTAAAATGAGAAGATGATGGTAACCCCTCACAGGGCTATCAGGGGATTTAAAATGTAAGTATATTAATGTGCAGCAGAGTGGCACCTGGTGCACTATAATGGTATATTAACCACCATGATTACATTATACATACCTAAGGACAGAAAAAACACAGTCTAAATACTCAAAAAGCATTTTTAATCAAAAATCACATGAGTTAAGTGCAGACCCCCTTTGTAAGTGAGGTATCAGACATGGCCTTTCCATATACTGGAGGCCTGATCTTCATAGCTACCTCCAGTAAGACTTCCAGAATCCTTAAAGCAAAGTGTATTCTTGATGCTTTTCAATACTAAATGTTCTACTTATGTATCTGGTGAATTTCTTTTTAAATCCTAAAGGTCACACAGCCTCAAAATAATCCAAATTAGAGATGCAGTTACTTTAAAACACAAAGATATTGGAAAAATAAAACTGAATCATTACAGTTCATTTTGGATTGTTCTTAAGTAAGAGAGATTTTCCTTGTTTTATGAACTAATCTCCTGGATTTAGTGCTACACTTAATTGACCAGATATACTAAAATATTTTTAGATTTCTATGATTCTTGTGAAGCTTGTAAAACTGAGACAAGTGTACGTACTTGCAGAGGCACTGTTGCTCGGCTCACATGGAGATGTGCAAGGGTAAGCAAGTCCACAAGGATTCTAATTCCATTTGAATCCATGAGATCTTTAACATTTTTCTGGAAGACAAAAACATTTTTACATAATCTGAAATTTTTCTCTTCAATAGGTACCATTACCTAAAAGATCCTCAAAGAGCACAATATCTGGAATTTCTTTGGAAATGATTGGCATACAACTGGTTTTACTTTACACCCAGGATTTTGACTACACGGAACAAGAATTTAAAGGGAAAAACTGTATTTTAAAGGGATCACATAAATATACCACTTAAAGGGATCACTTAAATATACATTGAGCAAAAAAAACTCACAAAACATAAAAACAAGAACAAATCAGAAACTAGCATGATAAATTCTGATTACACAAGTATCTTATCAAGGTCTTTCTGTTAATAAACAGGTTTTTCTAAAATAGAAATGTTATATTAAAAAATCTTTCAATGTTCCAGTTTGTTTTGCAAGTTGAAAGTAAAAACTGATTGTCTTTTTTGTTAGGAAGAGACAATTAACTTAAATTAAAATTTCCTAGCACTTATTCATTATACCTTATTTTAAAACTTTTATATTACTAAAAGTGAGGGAAAAAACTAAGTAGGTATTAGCATCAAAACTGTGAGAAATAAAAATCTGCTTAAACTGTACTTCAACATCATACAATGAGAACTAATATGATATATTACAACTATGAATTCTTCTGATTAAAAACCAGCATGAACCTAACGAAATACCTTTAAAAAGAAAACAAGAAAAGTAAAGTGACTCTTCATTTTATATCCTTAAATTGTTTTTTAACAAAGTGAATACTGATTCCCACTGTGGTGACACATGCCTATACTCCCAGCACTTGGGAAGTTGAGGCAGGAGGATCACAAATTCAAAGACAGCCTGGGTCCCACAGGAATCAAGTTCCAGGCTACACAATGAGACCTTTCACACACACACAAAAAGTATACTAATAAATTAAAAACTTTTTTTAGTCAGACATTTTTTACTTAGAATTTAATTCTGTGTTCTGTCCTAAAGTCAGCTAATTATGTCAGTCCTCATTATTCTCCATTCAAAATTTTATGATTAATTATTTGGCACCTGCAATATTAGGGCAGAATATTCAGAGAATTTTGGCAAAGACATGTTCTGTCAAGCAGTTTAAAGCACTCATAGTTTTCTTATCTAAAAAGAAGATAAAAGGACCATCTCTGGATGATTATCTCTACATAGTTCTAGTACTTGGAAAGGACAGCACAATTTTTGCAAGAATACTGTACCTTGTTAAGGATCAACTTGTTCAGGAAGAGGATCAACCTATCTCGTTCAAGTTTATCTGTGCACTATTGAAATAAGTGAGAATTTAGTCAAAAGCAAATAGAAAGACCAATTAAGACATTACCACCACTTCACAAAATCAACTGACAGTTCAGGATAATGTTATCTTTTAAACATTAAGGAGAAAATCACAGATGTCTGTCAATTATTCCAATTCCTCAATATCTTACTGTCTCTACTTTTATATAACTGATATAATTTCTCTTGACAGGCAGATATTTTTAAGTCATTAAGCAGATTAATATACAGCTTTAAGGAGCTATATAAAAATTAAAATAAATGATGTTCTTGAATTAGTAAAATTTGTGAAGAATTGGCAAATGATGTTTCACATAAATGTTATGAACATCAACAAGAAGGAAAAATATATTTGCTTAAAATACAAACAGTATGCCCAAAATCCTCCAGTTAATTGAGTAAGAGCTAGAAGTCAATAGTGCAAAGCTGGGTGTGGTGGTGCATGCTCGTCATCCCAGCACAGGAGAGACTGGGGCAGAAAGAATGAAAGTTCAAGGCTAGCCTGAGCTACATAACAAGCTAGAGGCCAGCCTATACTACATAGTGAAACCCTGTCTTAAAAAAAAAAAGACAAAAAAAATTCAATAGTGCAATTTAGCTTAACAACAAACAATAAGGATTTCTGTCCTGGTTTTAGTACTTTTTAGGTATGCTTTGTGAATTTACCCAGAATTAGTTTTCCACAAAGAATGAGTCACACTTTTACAACTATAATAAAGCACAGGTAGCTATTTTAAATATGGGTAAAATGGTTGTCTCTACAGCTCTAAAATTGAAATTGCCAAACTAAGAGGAATATAAACACAAATCAAAGAATAAGCATCTACTCTGCAGTAAACAGGTAACAGAGAAATGTGCTATACAATGAATGAATTTGTCCCCCACCATGCTCAAATGTTAAATGACAAACTAGTTCTAAAAAACTTTTACTACCTTAGCAATCCCTTTTTAACACTAAATTAAAATGATGACAATATCATTTAGGTTTTTTTTTTCCAGATGGAAAAACCAAAGATACACACAACTTTAGAAGTAACTATTTCATTTAATGCCTGCCCAGCTCAGCATCCACTCTGGGTACATATGTGTGCGGGTACAGGGGGCTGTGTTTTTATGGCATACGGATTGGCAAATAGGTAAACAAAGGTGTTAAAAAGCAGAAACTGAAAAAAAAACAAACTGGCATGGACAAATATTAACCCATTAATGAGTTTCCTATTCACCTAATTTAGATACGTATAAAGATAAACTACAGGAAAACACAGAAAGTTTAGTGATAATGCGATAAAATAAAATTTTTAATTAACTTTGAAAATTTAATACATACCCTAGTGACACTATCAAATAGCAGTCTCCTTAAATGATATCCTTACCCTCTCTAACATTCCAATGATGTATCTTGTATCTGTAAAGGGTCCTATTTCTTCATGACATCTGCCGTAAACAATAGCAAGGGCTTGTAAACATAAACACTTCATGTTTACTTTTGGAGTGAGCAGAAAGCGATGATAGAGCTCATTAAAAAATTCATACCTAGATTAAAGAACAAAGTTCAATAACAAGTAACCATGAAGCAAACAGTAAAAACAAAAGTAACAGGAATGAAGAGGCGCTCACGATCTCTTAATTGATCCACTTTCTTCATTTTCATCTTCCTCCAATAGCAATCTCAGGTAATAGTCTCCTATTTTGATTTCTTCTGCCAGGCACTCATATTTAACCTTTATTAATAAAAACACATTTTTTAGGTTACAACAGATTTTTAGCAATTTCTGCCAAAATCTTTCTTATAATTCTTTCTGTTCAGAGTTATCACTTCTGGGCTAGTGGAGTAGCTCAAGTGGTAAAGCGTCTCCCTTGCAAGCAAGAGGCCCTGAGTTCAACCCCAGTACTGAGAAACAAAATAAATAAATAAAAAGTTTACCATTTCTTTAAAAAATAACTGGTAATTCACTATTATTAATATGACTTGCTATTTCAGTTAAATGCTGAGTTGAAATTGCACACATTTTATGAATGTAAAGCACTACAGAGTGTCAATGGAACCTTCTTCAAGAGTGTTTCGGTTTGCCACAACCAAGTACAGAGTAGATGGTCCTGCAACAGTTTGCACAAGACATATGGTCACTCCAGGTCTTACCGCACCCCCACGTCTACCCCTTGCTGATATGCCGAGACTTAAAAGCAACACATTGATTACATTTTATGTTTTTGTACAGTACCCTTATCATATGTCAAATAACCCCAGGCTACTAATTAAGGTGGTGTGTGAGGGGCAAGTCCAAGATCAGCTGTTGGAGCAGCACTATGACCCCTGCATTCAGGAAAAGACTTACAGATAGCTACAAAAAGCAACTCCCTGACCATATTATCAAAATTCTTTCTCCAAAGCCCATAATAAATATTTCTAAAAATACCAAAACATAAAATATATATGCATAAATATCTTATCTCTTGTTTTGCTTTCCTCCTATAAATTCTGAGCACTGGATTCATTCATTTACTAAGAAACTATTATGTGATCATGCACTGTTCCAGGGTCTGAAGATTTAACAGTGAACAAACAAAAAAATTCTGAAAAATTTGGGTAAGAGGAATGGCTGTGGAGTGAAATAAAGCAGAGAAATGAGATAGGGAAAGCACAGGTACTTATGTGTATAAATATAAAGGGGGTTGTGTGGGCAGCCAGAGAAGACCCATCAGATGACATTCAAGAAAACCGCAGGAGATGAGAAAGCAAATCAGGAGGCTGTCCAGGGAAAACATTATTTTAGGCAGAGACTAACCCTTGAGGCAAGAACACATGGTGTTTCGGGAGAGCCAATATGTGTGTAGCACAATGTAGTATGAAATTAGATCAAAGACAATGCTTAAGGTTCAGGGTTTCACAGACCCTGCCTTATAAGTCATTTCAAGAACTCACACTTTCACTAAGTGACATGGGAAACCACAGGAGCAAGAAGGGTTCTGAGTGGAAAAATAAGCTGTTACATTTTAACAAGATAGTCCTGCTGCTTTGTCAATTAACAGATCACAGGGAGGTGAGGGCAGAAGTGGTGATACAGATACAACCCAACAGTAGAAGGGTTGAGTTCTGCATAAATTCTAAAGGTCACTCAACAAGATTTGCTGACAAACTGGATTTGGGGTTGAAAAGAAAAGATTATCTCAAGTCATTTGAGTAGAACATAAGAAGTATTTATTATCTCGGATCAGAAAGTCTGCAAGATAAGTCAGCTTAGGAAAAAACAAGCCCAATTTTGGAGATCTCTAGACAATTATCATTTATCCAATGAGGAGATAAAAGTATATAGCCTAGGAAAGAAAGCCTAAGCAGGAGATAAAAAGCCATCAGCAAATAAAAAACATTGGTCATGAGACTTGATGAGATTATTGAGGCAAAGAATATAAATGAAAAGAGATCTGAGAACTGATCCTCTGACGCCAGAAAACATTTAGTGGTCAGGGAGATAAGGAGAAATGAACAGATGACTGAGAGTGGACAGTAAAGAAGGAAGAAATAACAGACTCCCAAAGTCAAAGAAAATGTTTTCAAGGAGGACAGAATGAATACTTTCAAGTTATTACATGCATTAGAAATGCAACTGAGTTAAAGATCAAAGCCTGCAGGATCACCTGCAAGCTCAGATCTATGTCTGTTAGAACAGTTCAAATTATACAGTCATGCACTGCGCTATGCAGGGGTTATGTTCTGAGAAGTAACTTCAACCTTGGGCAAACATCAACAGAGCATGCTTAACACCAAGCAAGACAGACGGCTACAATGTCACTAGGAGATGGAATCTCAGGGGACCACCAGTACACAGTCTGTAGTCGACAAAAACATTATGTAGCACATGACTACTTATGTTACACACAGCTATAAACACTTAATTATACACACATATAAAATTATCCATCCTGAGTGTTCTAGCTTTCCATGTTCTTCACATCAATATTTTAATAGACCAGCAAAAGTCACATTCAGAATCCAATTATCACAAAAAAACTAATCAAATAAGCTGTACAGAACAAGGCAACCATCTATATTTCAAGGAAGAATCTAAAGTCCCAGAAATGCGGGTGGATGAACAGGGAGAACACGCAAAGGACAGATTTGGAATGTATAGGATCAAATTTATTAAATGTCCTACACAATTCTCAGGTATAAAGTAGAGTTTCTTAAAATTATTTCTGTCTCAACCAAAGATTAAAAATTCCAATTATTTCTTCCATACAGAGGAAAGGAGACAAGTTATATAATCGTAAACATTTTAAAAATCACCCCCAAAATAGTAGGTACTTTTTTTTTTTTAAATTAACATACTGTAAAAACTAAACTGTACCTCAAATTCATGGTGGTTCCAAGAGATAACATTAGCACTACCAAGCTCTCTATCAATATTAAATGTTCTCATTTCAGATTCCAGAGCATCTTTCAGTTCTTCTCGTGTTTTAAAATTCCAAATAAGATTTGATCTGGCATGGTCTTGACTAAACCTAGATATACATATAATCAGAAAATACTATGAAGCAATAAACATTAAGAAAACTACCATCAACCCTTACAACATCTTATAATAACCAAGAAAATGGTGGAATTATTAAACTATCAGAAATAAACTAAAATCTGTGTAAAGTACAGAAAAATGTTAATAGTAGACGTTTAGTAATAAATACATATTTACTCTCTGTAAAATTCTCACCTTTCCTCTTTGCTTGAAAATTTTCATAATACAATGTTGTGGAAAAAAATGAACTTAAACTATAAAACAATTTGGTATTAATTTCAAAAAAGTAAAACTGACATTTCAATTTTAATGATTTGTTTGCTATCACAAATTCAAGCTAGAGAATAATTCTATTATCATATATCAAATTTCAGATTGGGGCTAAGAATTTTTGGAGTATTGGGTGTGAAGTATGTGAGATGAGCAACACTAAATATGAACCTCATAGAGCACCCAATAGAATAATACTACAGAATTGCAGGGCATAATGAACCATGACGAACCATTTTCAAATCATCTTCCTTGCACTCTTGGAATAACCGAACTATTATAATAAACCTGGGCAAAAGTCTGAACTGGGAGTGGATGGGCTTACATGTGCTTACTATCAGCCTGCAATCCTCTTAGAAAGTCTCACTTCAGAGTTTCAAAGAAATTCTAGGAGGAGAATGTTATTAAGGATTCCTGAGAAAGAAACGCAAAGCAATATATTTAAGGATATATATACACACTCTTATATACTTTAAAAAGTAGTGTGGGAAGTTTTTAAACCAAATATTTTCCTTCATGACCAAAGGTATAATTAACATGTTGTTTCCAGACTAAGTACTCTTGAGTTACTTTAAGAAGTTTTGCAAAATCCCAAAACTGTTTGTGCCAATGTCTTCCTGTATACATTAGGAATGAGGGTGGAAACAGGAGAGGAAGAGGGCTAGAATGTGTGGAAGACTGAAAACCTATATGAGGTCTTCTAACTTGGACACTCATTTCCCACAAGTTTCCTTATGCTTTCATCATTCATCTTTTTTCAGACTCAGAGTAAGTATGCAATTATTTGTAACTAAGCGATAATAAGTACCTTGGGTAATTATCTCTACGACTCAATAAAGTCCTTAAAGAAATTTTAGCTTCTCAGACAATCAGTACCATGAAAGTTCTTAATTTTACAGAAGGATTTATAATCAAACCAGTTTTAACAACTATACATCTTAAATTTGACAGTACAAAAATACCTGTGGCATAAAGCACTGTTTCTAGAGAAGAAAAATCCATCATGACTCCTCTAATGGCAAGATCAACTTTAACCTATGTTGTTAGAGGCCTAAGTTTACCTATAATAGAAGAGGTCCCAATTTGCTTCTATTTTTATCCTTTGTCTTCTCTTTCGAAGAACTACTGGTTTCTGATTCATATTCTGGAAGGAAAAAAAAAAAAACTACATAGTGCTCAACCTGGGCCACCAAATTGGCTGTAAGCAGATCATCTTCACAAGTGATGAGAAACACTACTTTCATCAAAATTTGACAGTAACAAAATTAATGAAACAAAATTTGTAAAATATGAATGTAAGATACTAAATTATACCATATGTTATAATCTGCAAGCATGTATCTCTCTGGAGTTTTTCAAATATTTTCATATAACCCAGTTACTGTTTCCACACTGAATCTTACAAAGTTTATAATGATCACTTGCTTCAAACATTTACATGCAGTTAATACAAAGTCGTGAAAAAAGAATCGATGCAAAACACTGCAGATAAACTCCTACCAAAGCCAAGCAGAGCAAATACAAGTTAAAAGCTAATGAAGAAATAAGCACCTACACTCATACACATATGAAGACTTTAGTAAATAATGTCAAAGATGACTCCACATGCCAATTTAACATATTTCACACATGTAGCAGACTTAACTCACCATATTGTTTCTGTCCTGAATTTAAATGTAAAAAGGAAAAAAAAATGAAAACTTTTTAAATAAAATAAAAAAAGAGAGTACAAGCCTAAATCTGCTAAACTGCATCTATTATACAAATTTCACAAGGATGCCATCCATATAAATTCCATTTCTTTAAGACAGAAAAAGATCTACTTACTTCTCTAAACCTATGACTCAACTTTTAGACAGTCACAAACCTTTTCAGAATTCAAATAAAGTTATATGGCCTCTGTACCAGAGGTAGGCATATATACAAGGCTTGCAAGTAGAGAAGATTTCAAACAGTGCTTGAACTCTCTACATGAACAGGAGAAGTATCTGCTCCAGGTGCGACTATAGGTATTTCAGACATGAGAATTGTAATCCTCAGTGTGACAGAAACAAAGCATAAAACATGAAAGTCTAAACATTCCAAGGGAAACTATATAACAAAAGCAGGAAATCAGACTAGATGCTACAGAAAGGACAAGGTAAAATGAGGAATAACTTTGAAAAAGTAAATGCTGCTTGGACTATAAACCTACAAACCTACTGGTTATACAAGGAAATGTTTCCACAGCATTTTGGGTTTTTACAACAAATCTTTCTTTAAAATTTCTAAATAAGGAGCACTTTTGCCAGGCATGGTGGTATATGTCTGTAATCCCTGCACTTGGAAGGCTGAGATGGGTAAGTGGAGAGTCTGTGAGGTCAGCCTGGGCTGTGTAGTGAGACACTGCCAACAAATAAATACATACATACCCAAACAAATACAAATATAAATGAAAAAACCCTTTCTTCAGTTTTCCTCCTGCCTCAGGACAAAAAGGCTGGCATTCTAGAACAATGAAAATGTAAATGCCATACAGAAAAAGAACAACCAACTGCCCATAAACTGTGTATAACTGAACAAGAGGAATAGGCTAAAGGTCATTAATGGCTAAACAAATTCCTGAACTGAAAAAAAAAAAAAAAAAGTATGTACTAAAACCAATTTTACACATTAGCAAAAGGTATTATTAATTCACCACAGAGCATCAGCTACAACACAGAGCAGACTTCATACGCTGTGATTGTGTAAGAAATGCAGCTCACTTCAAAGATTAGCCAGTTCATCTTGACAACAGTTACTTTCAGATAACTAAAGCATAAGATCACTCAATATTTTGATGTTAACGTTTCTGTGAATAAGACAGACACAAAGACCACTCAGTTTCCTACAGAAATTATGTCAAATACAGCACCCAGGTGGAAATGATGATCAGCTGATGCTACACAAAGACCTTCCTCACCAGCACTATCTGACATTATTATGCTCAGAATTAATACTACATGTAAACGATATCAACAAATCAGTAAAACATTTTTGATATTAAACATACATTATTTTTGCCCTGAATTATCTTTTAATAACAGACATTCCTATTTCTAGCTAAATAGCTGTGTATTCAATTCAAGCTTATGCATAAATGCTACATGAAATCTGAAACTAAAAACCTATTTATGTAGCTTGAACCATGTGACATTACAAATGGGTTGAACTACTTGAAGCCAGGAACTTACAGTTTTTAAAACTGTGAAAAGCATTCATAGCTATAGCAGTATTATCATTATCAAGTATGTATATACTGCTTTTATTATTTTCTTGATTGCACATCAAAGCAACCCTGTAAGACAGAGAAGGGTGGCACTGTTTGATTTTAGAAAACAAGATAGTAAGCTTCTGAAAAATCCATAATTTGAGTTAATAAGTGATGGAACCAGACTCAGATATTGGTTAACTAGTTCAAAGTTTGGTCTTCTCCTTACTCTCCTAGTTACTTGGAAGCTTTTTAAACGATCCTTTATACTGCGCCTATCATTTACATAGTGAGCTTTAAGTGAAATTTGGCTGAAGATGGTTCCAAATTTCAAATAGATATGTGGAGCGAGCTTTTATCTAACCTTGCTTATGTCCACTTCTCTTAGGCTTCTCATAATCCACTCTCCACAGATACGCAAGGCCAAAACATTTGTTCTGACATATTTAGATATTCTGGCAATTTATAACAAACCCATTTGTTTCAGAAACAGGGCCTTGCACATGCTAGGCAAGCACTCCACCACTGAGCTACATTCCCAACCCAACACCTTAATTCATTTTTAACCACTGCACCATCCATCCTAGACAGAAAAATATGCACTACTGAATTAGGTTCTGTTTAGCAAAACCACATGAAGAATGAGACTCAAATTGCTTTAGATCTGACCTTGATTTGAGAATATTATAAAAGTTAAAGATACTTAGTGAATTTAATTTTAAAATGTGACTCTTATTTTCAAAACACTTGTCTGGCTAGTTCCAAATAAAAAACCTAAACAAAAAGGGCATCTTATTTTTAGAGGTTCAAAACAAAGTCACAACAAGGGAGGGAAAATATAAAAAAAATACAAAAACAGGAATGTATGGAAGAAAATTTAAGAGAATAATTCTATGTTAAATACCTAACTAAAATCCTAATCATTACTTCACAAACTAGCTACTGATGAAAATAAACATAAAATATGAACCGGAGTTAGATGACACTCATTTTTAACCTTCAAGTATTCAGTCAGAAATACCTGAATACCACCTCTGTGAACAGCAGCAACTAAGGCCAGATTGAAGACACAAAGAACTGCTAGAAGTCTATAAGAAAAGTTTACTTTTACCTCTTTTTGAGCAATGCCCATCCTATCCCTCCAATGCATCAATACAAGATCTACTTTTTCTTTGGCAAATTTTTCAACTTCTTTAGCAGCTTTTCCAGCTAGTCTTTGCCACTCTGGAACTTTATTAAATTTTCCATACTGATCCTGAAAAATAATGTTGAAACCCATTACACAGCTATTTGCAAATTCACTTCAAAACTCTATGTACAGCTTAGTCACACTATTTCAAATATCAAGAAACAAACTGAAATTTCAACAATAAATTACACTTTCTGATAAGAGATGTTACTTGTCTATTTAAGGTTCACAATGATTCCTTTTTGAGGAGTGACCAGATACACGTGGCAGATGAGTGCCAATAGAGCAGGAAGAGGGAGGACAGGAAAAGCATACATATAAGGAATCATCATAAGAAGTGCACCATAAGAAATAGCATGTTCAAATGAGTTTCTCAAAGACAGGTCAACCTAATAATGAATACAGACCTTATAAACAGAGTCCTAAGTAACTGTCTTAGTTTTGTCTCTTTCGCCAACATTTAGCAATATCATGTGCAAAATACATTACACATTTGAAATTTAAAATAAGAAATCCATTCCTGAATGTGCCAATGAGTTGGGTGAGAGAAATAAAACATCAAATAAAATTACTAGTCATAAAATTAGATTGTGTTGATAGGTGCACAACTCACTGATAGACTTTGTTTATATTATGAATTCATTTATATTAGAAATTAATGATTTGTTAACTCAGGTTAATTTGAGGGGGGATGTAAATTTTACTTCAAAAAAGCTGTTGTTAATAAAAAACGATGCAGTAAGCTTTTGATTTATTTGTATAATGTTCATTCTTTCAGAAGTCTATAGCAGTACCCTTAATCCTGAAAAGACACTGAGTACAGTAGTATTTACCATTGCTATTTTCACATTATCTCTAACATGCATTCGGTCAGCATCCTTCTCAGGAACTGCATCTGTGCTGTCCAAGTACGCCAACAGACCTGGTGGCTAAAAACAACAAACAAAAACAAAGCACAAAATCCACTTTCAAAACAACAGCACAAAAGAATTTGAATTCAAAGCTCAAATAAACTAACACTAAAATTTAATTTAGCCATTAAGGGTAACACTATACAGTAAGTCTTATGATGAATTCCTTTTCAATTACAAAGTCCCTTTAACAACATAAATAATCAAATTTCATTGAAGAGTGCAAAATTCTCACTCACCAAAATGCGTTTCAACAAGTTTGTTGCAGTTGTGTTATCAGCTGTCCAGAGTCCCACTAAATGTCTACTTAGCTGTCTGAAAAAAGCAGACGTTGAGAAAGGTTTGCTGCTTTATCTCAGCTAGAACAGAAAGGAATTTTTAAGAACAAAATATCATAGAATTATAATACAGCTACAGTAAAAAAAATCATTCTGATATTAAAAATTATCAAAAAAATTATTTTAATGTGGAGAAGTGTTAAGATAGTAATTCAAATATTAGTATTTTAGGATTTTTTCCCCCCAAATTATTTTCCTGATAGCTACACTAACTTTCAGTGGACTGGAACATAAGAAGGTAGGTTGTTACTCATTTGAAGAAAGCAAAACTTCAAGAAAATAGTAACAAACTTGATGATACAAGTTTGTATAACAAGTCCTGTTGTACTGGGAATAGCATGGTGACATTCTTTGTAGGAATTCTGAACATAAGCAAAAACCAACAAATACATTTTAAGAAAACATTTTTGGCAAAGTCAGAGGTAGAAAATATTTTCAGTTTTGGAATATGGACAAAGATTAAAGTACTTACATCAAATTATTCTACTTATTCTCCTTTGAAGCTAAAAGTAAATTCTGCTTCAAAGTGAAAACCTAAGATCCATGTTAAATCTATGACTTAGTTGTGTATTAATCTGAATCCCCAGAACAACATCGTCCCCTAACTTGGAAGGAAACTCCCCATGAGCAAGAACCCTGTTTTACTCGCCAAGGATCCTTCTAGACTTGGGTAAATTCTGGACACTTGCTGAAGGAATGGTCACAAAATCTGTAAGCAACCCAAGAACCACCTACAGATGTACACATTTATACATGCTACATTCCCAGAAGAAGAATATTTAATAGAAAAACTCCAATTGTAAAAACTGTACTTTGTCGTCAAAAAGTGAACACTACTAAAAGCACACTCCTGTGACTCTCTGGAAGCTAACATATCAAAGCCATTGCACTTGTAATTTCCTCACTGTTATCTTAAAGCTCTCCTATCAGTGACTCCTAGAAAGGCTTTACTTAGTGATAAAAGAGATGACATAAGTGGTATTTCTATTATAAACTCAAAGCTTTTTAACACTGAAATTCAAATGTTATTAACATTCTGCAATTTTCTCCAAATTAAAATGCTTCCTTGACAAATACACTAACTGATCACAGTTGGGTATTTTAACTTAAAACCATGATAAAATGGAACAAAAGTAACATCTAACATGGGGGTTGAATGGAATAAGATAACAAATAGTCTCCACCTTAATGAAAGACAGGATCTAGCATTGCTAGTAAGACAGTACTAAGGAAATAACCCTCCTAGTCTCCTAGTATCTCTAAATATCACTTTTGTGATATTCTGATACAGATGTCTGTAACAAGACGGCATTTTATAATCACAGAAGTAAGGATGGGCATGGTCATGCACACCTGTAATCTCAGCTACTTGGGAGGTGGAGACCAAGAGGCTCAGTTTGAGGTTAGCTCAGGCAAAAAGTTAGCAAGACCCATCTCAACTAGCAAGCAGGGTATGGTGGTGCATGCCTGTGATGCCAGGTGTACAGAGGAGTAAGCAGGAAATCAGTTTGAGGCCTGCCATGGCAAAGACACAAAACTCTATCTGAAAAATAACTAAAGCAAAAAAGGGCTGAGGGCGTGACTCAACCTGGTAGAATGCCTGCCTACCAATCCCAGTACTGCCAAGTTCAAACTCCAGTACCATCCCCCCCAAAAGTATAAATAAAAAACTATTAGCAAGGGAGTATACTGTAGCAAACATCAACTAGACCTAGGTGACAAAATAGAAGTTCTTGTATTAAAACAAAATAGACCTAGTCAGCAACTTATGCTATTATTTACAAAGCCAAAACTTTGATTAAATATATTTATGATGATACCCGCTGTTTTTACTAATGGCATCATCTGGTGGGCACAGGATAGCTGACAGGGTTACCTATCAGGAACCACAAAGTTAAAAGGCCTGGAATTCATGCAGCCTGGAGTAAATGAGCAATCTGTGTGTGAATGACTACTGGAGGAAAGACGATTCACCAGAGGGGAAACTGTTTACCTACAAGAGATATAGGTTAAGACTAGTTTAGGATGGAAATATATTTAAGCTTTTCTCCTTTTTTTCTTTCTTCTTCTTCTTTTTTTTTTTCTTTTCAAAGGAGAGTACCTAACTGACCAAAGTTATTTAAAACTAACTATGCAAAGTTTCCACATGGAGTCATGTGCATGCAAGATGGTCATGGGAAACAGAAGGGGAAAAACCTGGGCATGTTACTATATTTCCATAAGCTTTCTTAGGAACTCTTCCACGTTTTAGAGGGTTAAGAGCCTGATAAGGTATCAGGGGAAAACAAAGGAACCAGTTCCTCCCTCTATCCCCCAAGTTATCCACCAGCAGGGACAATGATCATTAGAGCATAATCCTTCTTTATGGAAAAAAAGCACGTGATTCAAAAGAAAATGGAACATTTGTATAATCCAAACACTTGTTTGCTTTATGCAGTATCTAAATCCAATCTCTAAACAGAAAGTTAATTTATAGCAAATTAAATAACCTACCTATTTGTAAGCATCCTCTGATCTGAACTTATTGTAAACATCGCAGTATGCAAGTGTCGAGGTAAGGCACCTTCACTGAGGGCAAGCTCCTGCATTTTTGTAGCAATTTCTTTGTCACCTTCCTTTGGAAAAAGGGTAAGATGATCCCTAAAGCAGCAATCTAGAACAAGCTAGCCCAACTTTAAAAAAATGATTTTCCATTTTTAAGCAAAATAATTATCCAGCAAAAAACAAAAATTTCAAAACCAACTTTTAGTAACACAAAAGTAACACAGAGGGTAGTAGTACAAGAAATTTTTAAGATACTATTTGCCTTTGGAATAAGGTTTAATGTTTGCAGATGAATTTACTTTATGAATTATGATTTGCTGAATACTAAAATTATGTTCATTTCCTAAGTATATATCAGCCAAAAAAATGGGAGAGGAGTGATTCAGGAAAATTAGCAATTCTTACCAAAGACACCTGGCAAAGATGGCTTGCTTTTATTATTAACAATATATTCATTTTCATGATGCACAAAATTATTTATTAAAGGATGATGTGACAGTTCTTTTTAAAGGGTAGTTCTTTTTATTGATTTTACTTTGCTTATAGGAACTCACTTTGGCAACCAGTAAGATAAACAGGACTACTTATTACTAAAGGTGATCAAACAACTATGAAACAAGCAATGTGATACTCAAGACAAGTGAAAAAGCAAAACTACTTATGCCAGTGATAAAATAACAAGTCTACAGCACAGCTACATGAATACACAGCATGCATTGGAACATGCATAGATAGTATGTGTGTGCGATTTTGAATAGTATACAGTCTGAGATGAAATTCACCAAAAATGCTAACAGAAGTTATTTCTGGATGATAAAATACACATGAATTATTTTTGTTTATTCCTTATGTTTTTCCTGCATATCCCATTTTTTTCTTCTAGTATACATTGTTTTTACAATTGGATAAAATTTTTTGAGAAACTCAGTAGGATATAGTCTTTCACAGACATCAGCACTATTGGTGACTATACATCTAACATGTGTGGTTTGTACCTGAAGTCAAAATTTCAATGTCTGTATCTCTTTTTTTTTTCTACAAATCTTAGGGCACACTAATTCTGTGCTTATGTTTTAGTCATGAGATATATTTATACACACATTAGCTAAGTTTATTGATAAACAGAAGATTCTTATATCTTACCCAAATTGCTACTAAGACTACAAAATAAAAATTTGAAATTTAGAGTGATATCACTTTAAACATCACAATGTACAGATGATATTAATAATGAGGATCTTATCTTTTAGAAAAATATAGACTGCTAAAGCAACTATCTTGGAAAACAATGCCTCATGACTTACAACATCCTGATAAGAATTTAACTACAAATGTACTTTAGAATGAGGAACTTATTGCCATCCTTATCTGATATCACTTTGCTATGAACGAACTCCATTAATACATTTCTATGTAATCTAAGTACCTCAAGATTTCAGTACCTTCATCATCATCCCTCAATGAAAGAGCGAGAAAAAAAAAAAAAGCTAAATTCTATGTCTTTTAAAAACAAGGCAGGAACAAAATTATTTCTTCTATACTTACTCGAGAACTTTAAACTCATTTTCAAGTTTAAAACTAGTTTAAAGCTAAATTCTGAATGAAGATTTTAAACTATTTTTCTTCCCCAGAGAATCGCATGCTTCCCACGTAAGACCGAATGGCAATTTTGTCAGCTTCAATTAATATAGTCAACCAACTTTCAAGTAGTTTTAAATTTCAAAATTGTTCTCTCACCTCTATTATTGCCTTCATAACCAATCCAGCTCCTTTTATAATGGCCATAGAAGGATGCTTTAAAATGGAGAAAATGTATCAGTGAATAATTTATCCTAAAACTTTTAGTTGCTGCTCTTAAGGATAAACAGCTTTATGCCAGATTATGTGTCATAAAACTAGGAAAAGATACACATAAAAGTCAGACCATGTTTGGTTTTAATACTTTAGTTGTTCCTACAATACAACTTTATTGTAGTTTACAGTAGTAAGAAACATGTGGCACATTATAACAGGTACTTAGAAACTGCTTTTGCTCAAAAGCACTGACTCCTAGGTTGGACCTGCAAATGTCCAAAGGGTAACTAAAAGCAGGAAAGAAGTTTGTCACTTCTATCTCCATTTTGCATATGTGTCCTTTGGTTTGAGCTATTCTCTCTTACAGTCACTTTGCAGCCATCTTGGATTCCAGGAAAGATAGGAATGGTGGACAAACATCCTGAAGCAGGAGATGAAGTGCCCGCTGCCAGGCAAGAGTGACTTTCTTACCACAACAAGGCCCAGCCTGACCAATTCTGAGATAATGAACAACCAGACAACAATGCTACCTCTGTGATCACAACTGTTTATTATGCATACTTCTCAACCTCTGCCCCCAATTCTTCCTCTATTTAGACCTAAGGCTCATATATGCACCCCAAAGATGGACTGAAGTGCTTAATTTGCCTCTTTTTGTGGTGGGCCCCTGCTACATTAATAAATCTCCTCCTCCGCCCTGCACCACTACCTGGTCTTGTTATTTGGTATAGTGGGGTAAGTGGCCAGAACTGACATGTAGAACCCAGGAAAGCTGTGCACTGGCCTAGAACTTTAGTTACAATATGAATGCATAATTATTCAACTATCCTTATTCAAATGTTACATACCAAATAGTGATGACACAAAAATATAAACCTTATATGTGCACAATAAACACCACAGTTAAATGTTTTCCAGTGTCATGAACAGCACTGCTTAAACTCTATTTGGGAATTTGTAAAGAAAAGGAAGTTTTGACATACCCCAGAACAAAGTAAGTTTTTCACTACATCTAGGATGGAGAAGATGGGCAAAGGAGACAAACAGGGTCAAGAGCCATGAGCAGGGCTCCAAATGAAGCATATGGAAGCCAGGGCTACAGTGCCCTGCCCGGTTGTGTACTAGCTGCACTGTCATCACAATGAAGCATAAGCATAGTCTTTAAAAGACAATCTGACCCACCAGGGGTGGAGCTCAGTGGCTGAGTATTTGCCAGGCATGTGCAAGGCCCTCGGTTGTTAACCAAAACTGCAAAAGAAAGGAGGCAGCAGGGGAACGACCCCAAAAATGGTTCTCTTAAATTAGTTGTCATCTGATAAGAAAAATACAAGATCTCACCTGAAAGAGCTTAAAGAGGGTTCTTCCATTGGAGGCTACCATCTCTAAAAGCATATCAAACTGCTGCCCTTCTGTTGTCTCGCTATATGGAGCACAGAGGGCAAAGGTAAGGAAGTCCAAGAGTGAACTAATAACTAGGGCACCAGTCCCATGATCCTGAAACAAAGCAAACAGTGTTTTAAAAGACTCAGACAGAGGGCTTCAGTTAAAACAATAAAAATGTGTTTCAGTCTTTTAATTCTAAATGTCAACATAAACATGGATTTTAATTTCTTAACATGGTTCAAATTTTAATGACCCTTTAGAACTTCCTTCATCATTGAAGCAAATCCATTGTCCAAACATTCAAATCCTAAGAACATAGCTAAGATTTCCCAAATGTGTGTATTAACTAAAGATAATGTGTATTTGAATGAAAAACTATCTTTGACAATACTGCAAAAACGTGGCAATTTATCAATGTTCCCTCATTAGATGTTCTACAATTTTCATCTCCAAAATTGTTACCAGTGACTGAGGAACAGGTTGTCAATAAAAGTAGAAATGTGATTTATTTTTGGAATAGTTTTCTTCAGGATGACATTTTTAAAGAAAAAGAAACAAAAATATCATTACATAAATCTAATGGTTTAGCTATGCATCCTTCACAGGTAAGTGAATATTTTACTGACAAGGAATACTGAATTAATAGTGACTGAGCTGAACTATGACCAGTACTGACCAAATTCAGGGGAGCCAACAAAACTATGTGCACACTGCATTCCAAGAATACCTTTCAATAACAGTACAGTACTTCCCATGAAGACAAGGCTAGTTACAACTTACCACATGGGAGTTAAATTTCTCCAGTAAGTTTTCCAGAAACTTCTTTGAAGAGAGAAGAGAAGCTTTATTTAGCTGTTCTTGTCTTAAGTCATAGTCATCATGCATGGGCTATTGATTAAAAACAGTGATAATTAATAAGTAGTTCCATATGATAGCATCACAAAAAAAGTAATTTATAAAGAGCATCTGCTACACACGGAGAGAATTAAATTCAGGCTTTAAAGTGTAAGGCAAAAAGGAAACTCGTGATAAGATAAGCAGACAGAACTGATGGGTTTCTCTTGTGTTTGATCGGGCTTCACAGATCATTTGTCTAACAAGTAACTGAACCTATTACCAGACAAGCAACTTTCTCAAAAAGTCACAGATCTCTTTATTAAAAGGCAAACAACAGCCCTGCTCCCCAGAACTTTATAGTTTAAATTTAAAATGATAAACCTTAGCATGTAAGCACAAGTGTTAAAATGAGTTGGCAAAGTAGCCTATGCTTCTTTGTTTGGAGGTGCTTGACTTGTGGCTGTTGGGGAAAACAGAGGAAAAAGCACTCCAGCATGATAGCGAGAAGCCAAGTCCAGATCCTGACTTAAGGACAACTAGGAGCCTTCAGCCAGGTAGTGGTTACTTCTCAGAGCCTCAGCTCCTCAGCTGTGAAACAGAACTACCCACAGCTAACACATGATCAGCACTCAGTGTACTTGTTTTGCATTATTTTTCATGTTCTAGTTTAACTCTTAAATCATTTGGAACAGTAAATAAAACAAAATTTAATTTGCTTTGAGAATAAATGCAAGGTTTTACACAAGTGATTACCTATGTCTGTTCTACGTCACTAAGTTTGCCTAAAACACCTTATATAAGTGAAAGTCCTAAACAGTACACAAAAGAGATAAACCAAAAACTTAAAGTTTATATTGAACAATTGTCTCTCTCTCCATACAATCTGTCACCAAGTTATTGCTCAAACTGCTTTCAAATGTGTCCCTCTTCAGTTTGTCAGTCTCAAATCAAATGTCTCCAGAAAGACTGAGTATTATTCACCTTCTTCTCACCACCAAGCAAAAATATTACGTGCTATCTTTCAGTGATCTGAGGGGCTCACTTCTTCATACTGTACACCTGTGCATACCTTATCAGACTGCAAGAAATCTGAAGGACGGCAGGAACTGTGTCTTAACATCTTTATATTTCTAGCACACAGAACATTTCCTGGTATGTAGGATGCACTAAACAATGTTACACAAATGACTACGAGAACTTAGGAAATGTAAAAGCATAGACCTTATTGATACACTGAAAGATTAATCTGAGTTTATATAAAGTAAAACCTCTGGTCAACGTAAGAAAAGCCAATTTCCCTCATAAAAGTACTACTTACACACATAAGGGCACAAAGCATATCAACTGCTGCATGGATTACTCCATTGTTGCTCCTCTTGAGAGCTTTTACCACCTTCACTCCCAGACGCTCCCGAAACCTATTGAAACAAAAAAACAAGCATATCCTATCAATATCAGAACATCTGTCAGCAGTAAAATATATTAGATCTTCCTAAGTTTCCATTGCAATATAGCAGCAGTTACTAATTTTGAACTTCCAAATTAGTATAAAATAAATATAAATATAGGTTCTCATAATTATTTTTTTCCTTGACAAAGATTTTTTTTTAAGGTTAACCACAACCATAAGGCAAGTAATTTTCCATTCCAATTAAGCTCAGTAATGTTACTAGTGAGTATGGGACCAGTATTTCACATCAGTCCCAATCATCTTCCTCTTCATTTCTGATGAATAAAAAATATGTCACCATATAAAAGGTATCAAGACAAAAAGAAATAAATTATTTGATATTCTCTCATTTGAGTTGTTCAAAAATCCCTAAGAAGCTTAGTTCTAAAGACAACTTACTTTGGAAGCTGAGTGAAGGCTAAGAACCCAGCTTTGGAAGCAACAAGCCTCCTCACAGCTTGGAATTGACTTTCCAGCTCTGCGTTTGAAGCAACCACATCCCCCTCCTGAGACAACAATGCTGTTATGGCATTATTGATCAGTTTTTCTTTGTTTTCTGAGAAGAGACCCTAGGTGAAGGAAGAGTGTTTCAGCAATGTTTCCATATGAAAAGTGAATGACAATGAGCAAATTTATGATACAATTTATCTTACATCCTGTGTTACAGCATGTAGAACTCCACTGTATGAAATATTAGCATTGAACCTGAACACAGCATCTGCAAAGTTGCCATCTGTAAGGAGATGAAAACATTCAAAAAATTTCCCCCTGCATTCCTAATTCTTAAACTATTATCAAGTAGATGAGTGGAAACACAACTACATTGAAACCAGTACTTACTTGGAGGTGTAGCTAAGAATCTGAGATGAAGACTCTCTACTTCCTCATCCACAGGCATGCTGAGTAATCCCCACCGCTGCCCTTTATGGGTTGCTGTCATTTTTACACAAACATCTCTGTTACCAGAGGCTCTTACTCCATCCAGCAAACTTGCTAACAAGGAATCTCTAAGCAAGGTTAAAAGGAAAAAACCCACAAAGGTTTTAGGATTGATAGTCACAAGGAATTTTGATTCAGAACTCAACAGAGGCATTTTAGCAAGTAACCTGCTCAGGAATGCACTATAGTTACAAAGGGCGGAGCTTTAGGATGGAGTCAAGTTCTAGTACTAGCAGTTCACCTGGCTGCTACATGACCTTGTGTAGGTCACTTTTAGCACGATACTTTTAATATTTCTATGTTTCAAGATCATCTTTTAACAGCTTTACATGGGTCTAACTTACAAATCACAAAACTCACCCAATTAAAATGTTTCACAATTTTTAATAAATTTACACAGTATTACAATCATCACAATCCATTTTTATACACTTCCATCTCTATAAAGTCTCCTTGTGCCCATTTGCAAAAAAACTCCTTAGCCCCAGACAAGCACTGATCTACTGTCTCTGTAAGTCTGCTTTTAAAAAAAATTCATAAAAACAGAATCATTGGTAGCTCATGCCTATAATCCTAGCTATTCAGGAGGCAGAGATCAGGAATTTCGCAGTTCAAAGCCAGCCCAGGCAAATACTTTACAAGACCCTATCTCAAAAGTACCCAACAGAAAACAGGGCTGGTGAAGTGGCTCAAGTGGTAGAGCACCTGACTAGCAAGCATGAAGCCCAGACATTCATCCAAATTGTTGGATTGTTGCACCAATGCTTTTGTTGAATAGTATTCTACTGTATACGTTATACAGATACTCAACATTTTGTCTATCCACTCACAAACCAGCATATATATGGATTGTTTCTATTTTGGAGGTATTATAAAATGTTACTATGAGCATTCACATGCAAATCTTTCTGTGGACATATGCATACATTTCTCTTGGATATTAAATACCATGTAAAGGGCTTACAAGGTAATGTGGTAAGTACATGTTGAATCTTTTAAGAAATTTCCAAACTGTTTTTCAAAGTGGTTTTATCATTTTCCCATTTCACCAGCAATATATAAGAGCTGCAACTTCTCCACATCCCCGCCCATGATTGGCATTGACAGTCTTTTTGATGTTAGCCATTGCAGTGACTCTGCAGGAGTTTCGACTTTCTTTTCCCTCATGATTTGCCATCTTTTCATGCATCATTTACCAGCCTTATGTCTTCTCCAATGAGAAGATATTTTGAATCTTTTGCCCACTTACAGTCAGGTTGATTTTTTTTTTTTAACTATTGCTATTCTAGATACCAGTACTTTATCAGCTATATGTTTTGCAAATACTTTCTTCCTATCTATGGTCTGCCTTTTATTTTTCAAAATAGTGTCAAACTTCTGATGAAGTTTAGTTAATCAACTTTTTTCCTTTCCTGAATTGTGGTTTTGGATTATACTTAAGCAATCTTTTCCTAACCCATGTCATAAAGCTTTTGTTTTACATTTCACTGCTGGCAACCATGGCACTTTCTTCCTAGGGCTGCCATCAGGACTGAACAGGTTGACATGTTAAGTACATAAAGCACTTAACAACTGAGTGTTGCTGTCCTTCTTCTGACTAAAACATTTGCATCATTTTTTTCAGATATTCTCTTCCCTTGATTTCAGATCAAGAAAACATAAGGGCGGGGGGGAGAAATGAACCAAGCCTTGTATGCACATATGAATAATAAAAGAAAAATGAAAAAAAAAAAAAAAAAAAGAAAACATAAACCTTGTGCTTGGGTTTCCAGTCTTGTCGACCTTAGACTGAAAGCTTTCTAGGATAAGAAACAGTTACTAGCTGTACTATAGGTAGGAGGTAAAAAAGCCCTCAATAAGGCTGCATTGTACATAGAGACCAAATGCACCAGAACTGTCTGGTCTAACTTTATAGACTCCTTGTCTATTTACAAAGTATAAAAGAACAAGAACTGTCCATCTCACAGTCACAGCTTAGGACATAAAGGGAGATCAGAGCAGCATTACTTATCTGCTAATCTTATAGCAGCTTTGTAACAATAGCAGCTCAAACAGGTATTCAAAGAAATGGCCAAATTATAGCAGAATAAAAATTCACCAGCATGTTCCATTGGAAGATTGGAAACTAGCTGATAATATTAACATATACATAACTTCAAGTGTAATTAAAGTAACTTTCAGCTATTATACAAACAATTCAACAACAGAAGAAGTGGCATTCTGAAATGCTTTAAAAACAGTTATAGACATACAATTTATTTAAGCTAAACCACCATTTTTACTATCTTTAGGAATTTGAAAACTGGTCATTTTAGATATGCCTTCTCAAATTAAATAATTTCAAAGTTCTAGTTCCAGATTATAAATCTGTGGGGCTTTTTGTTTGCTTGTTTTTTTCTGTTTTCTCTTTCCAATACTAGAGTTTGAACTCAGGGTCTTAGCATGCACTCTACCACTTGAGCCATACCCCCAGCCCTGTTTTCTCTTTGATGGAGAATGTGCCTGGCACATAGCTAAGATCTCGAAAGACTGATGAATTTAAAAAAAGAAAAAAATACCTTTCAGTTGAAGAGTACTTCCGAACTTGCCCTTTTATAAATTCAATGGTGAAAAATTGTGGGTTTTCTGAGTCACATACTAAAGCAAATACCTAATGAAAACAAAAAAAGTTCAATAAAAATGTTTAATTTTGTAGTATTTCATAACAAAAAAAAGTATCATTTAGCTTACAAAAATCAGTATTTCAAGATTTAACTTGTTTACATCAGAGTTTAAGTGTCATTCAAATGTTCTTTCCAATTTTTGAATAAAAAGTTCTGTTTATATACTTAGAAAGTAACTTTTGTAATCTTCTTAGTTCTAAGATCAGTAAGTATGTTAAGAAATACAGATTCTGCAGTAACAAGTATTAAAATAGAAATAAAATTAGTCAAATTTATCAACAGACTAAATCTCAGTTAAGCTAACAATGCTGAAACTTACTTCTCCCAAAGGTTTCAATGTTGCAATATTGTAGGTGGCTGGATCTCGCTCTACTAAACATGTTTCTGTAAGTGCTAGCACTCTTTTTACGGGTTCCTATAAACAATAAAATTGAAACATATTAAAAAGTTATTTAAAGAAAAATTTCAAAACAGAAGAACAAGTTTTTATTTTCAACACATAGATATTACTTACTGAATGTCTAGGAGATATTTTTTGGACTACAAACTCTGCTAAAGACGTGATGGATTCATCAGTGCTGTATTTTCCAAAGCGAAGATTCAAATACTGCTCAAATTCTAAAGGTTCTTTCCTGATCCTCAATGAAATACCTATGTAGTTGCCAGCATGGTCTATTGCACTTTTGATAATCTCTTCTCTTTGCTCTGATGCAAATAAATGCTGCGCAAATTTTAAAATTTAACAAGTCAGGGTTGAAACAACTAAAATGTGACTACATTTAATCAACTCAGAAAAGAGATTAAAGTAGCAATCCCAGAGGAAAAAAGATGCACTAGAACTTGTCAGAGGTAAATAAGCAGTGTGTTATTAAGCTGAAAGACTGTTACTAAATTAAAATTAATGTTTGGGATATGGAGCCTTACAACTAACTCACTGAATGGGAATTATCTCACAGGCTCAGGTTCTCATCACTAGTTCAAAACAGCAGGCTCAGGCCTCCAAAGATGGGCCTCAAGCCAATGAGAAGTTAGGGTACCATGTGGGTAGCATTTCCTGTTTTAATCAAGATAGTACTGATTTAACCTGTCTTGGATAGTGGGTTTCCTCACAGGATTATGTTAAGCAATGTTTATGTGTTTACCAGTCATTAGCTTATTGATGCTGCAAGCCAACTTTCAGGGATTTATTTCAAAAGATAAAGAAAAGATGCAATTTGTATTTGGTACCTGGAGGCCAGAAATCTATTAAATGCCATGCAAAGGGCATGAAGTGTTCCATACATGAAAGATTTGTCCTAGCCAGAACGCCAATAGCTCCTCTGCTGAGAAGCACAGGATCACATCATGTTTAAGAACCTGACTGTATTCCAAGGAATTTATCAGACACCTTAGATGAAGAAGGTATTAATCAGTGATTTTTTGAATGAATCTCTAATGGTATCATATTTGCAGTGAACTGCTTCATGGTCTTTTAAAGGACAGAGAACATACAATACATGTATGATCCTCAGTATACGTGGAGATTGGCTCCAGGTCCCACCACGGATACCGAAATCTGCAGATGCTCAAGTACCTGACATAAAATGGCACAGTACTTGCATATAGCCTATGCATACTTTAAATCATCTCTGGATTACTTATAATACCTAAGATATAAATGCTATGCAGCTAGTTCTTGCATTGTTTAGGGAATGATGACAAAAAGAAAAAAAATCTACAGATGTTCAGTACAGGTACAAATTTTTCCTGAATATTTTAGATCCATACTTGGTTGAATCCATGGGTGTAGAACCCATGTATACGGAAGGCTAACTGCATTTAGAAAATGGATAATTCAAAGGAGAGCTTCTTATTGGCGTCAAGCAATAAAAATTGTTTGCCAAAAAGAAAAAAAGATTATCAAACACTGCTCACCTTACTATTCCATTGTATGACTCGGTGAAATTACTGTGATATAGCTATGCTGTTAGGGCCTGACAGGCTGTATTCCTGTAATTTGCCATATTTTCCACAAAAGGGTTTAATCAATGCAAATTTCCACTGCATAGGGAAGAGCCAGCCTTTGAGTAACACCAGGACAACAGGCTTTAGGCTCCTTTAAGTGGGAGAGGAAACAAGTATTTTTGTGGGGGGGGGGCGGGGCTTTATGTTTAGTGAAATAAAATTAGTCAAATTTATCAACAAAAGAAATCTCAGTTAAGCTAACAACACTGAAACTTCTTCCAAAGGTTTCAATGTTGCAATATTGTAGGTGGCTGGATGTCGCTCTATTACACATTTCTGTAAGTACACTCTTAATACCACACTTCCAGAAGATTCACATGAAATATTAAAATGAAGTGTGAAAACACTGGTTCCTTTCAAATAGTTGTATCTCTTTTTAAAAGTCTTTTTAAAAATACTACTTACCAATCTACTAAATCCTCCATAAAGTATGCAAAATCCTCCTTGATAATCAGAGAGATCTACAAACCCTTCAATATTTCTATAGTCATAGGAACACAGTACTCTGTTGGTTGCAGGATTTATTTGGTCAAAGCCTCCAGGAGTTACTTCCAGAATTACAGGTTTTCTTGTATCACTCCAGTGATGCTTATAGCAATTGTATCTCTAGAGAGAAACAGTATTACTTTTAACTTACCATGAAATAGTTACATTTAATGTATAAGTCACCACTGAAACAACCAAAAAATCCAAATAACATTATAAATATTTACAGCTACTATCCAAATTGTTAAAACAATTTTAGCTGAGGGGGATTGTTTACTTCATTAAGAAAATTCACTCTAACTAAAGACACCATGTTCCTTCTTAATTAGCAAAGGTTTATGATTACAATATTTTGTAAAACAACTTTAAGCTACTCTTACATAAATCAAGAGAGAGAGAGAGATAAGAAGGGAAATCCAGCTGGGCATGGTGGCATTTGTCCCAGCTCTTGAGAGGTTGAGGTGACAAGATCACTGGAACCCAGGAATTCCAGACCAGTCTGGACAACATAGCCAGAATCTGTCTCAAAAAAGTAAAAAAAAGAACAAAGGAAAACAAAACCAAATCAAAACAACACACACACACCCATAAGTGAAGGAAATCCTAATGTATTCTGAAAGACTGAAAGGGCTTTGAATGAGTCTTATGAGGAAAAGTCTGACGATGATGTGTTCTTTTAATCCACCCTAGATACTGGAAAGAGATAAGTCACATTTCAGGAGAATTTCTAACATAAATTTAAACAATCTGGCCTGGCTCTGTTCATTAATGTACATTTTCTTTCTGCACACACAAATTTGACTTAGGCTTTTCTAAGAACACAGGAGAGTTATCTTTGAGTTCTGATCATATTACTAAGTAAAATTTCATGTAGATGATAACATTCCTTTGCAAATTAAAGTAGCTGAGTATCAAATGCTTAGAATGATCAATATCCACTTAATGTGTGTGTTTATTTATTTATTAGTTTTCTGCAATGCTGGGGATCAAATTCAGGACCATGTACATGTTAGAGAAAAACTTTACCACTGAGGTGCATCCCCAGCCCTCTAGCTTTATTCTTAAAATGGGGGCTAGGGGGAAGGTTTAATCCAGGTTCTAAGAAAATGATGTAGAAGAGAAGAAAATCAATTTAAAGGAAAAGTGAGTCAATGAAAATAAGGGTAATAAAGTGTTAGATGTGAAGTGAGTATCGGCTCCTACACTCAAATACCACAAAGTTTTTTACCAATCCACATGAAGAGCAACACACTATTCTTAAGGAAAAAAATTAACTGGTTGCTCAGGAGTACAACTATTTTTGATACTGAAAAAAAAAAAATCTCTGGTAGGTTTTCAGAAGAGTAAGACATTAAGAAATGAACACCTCCACTAACATCCCTATAGTAAACTCAGCAATGACTTTCACAGGACCATATCAAGTGACCTCAACATTGCTCATCTATGGCTTCATGCACAGCAGAGTTCCATAAAAAGAATTCTGCAGAAAGACAGAAGGCCTGCATTAACCCAAGATATATTTAGAGCCTTGATTTTGAACTAAAGGACAAATCAATGCCACACATTTCCCCAACAAGATTGGGGACGGCAGAGAGGCCACAAAATAAAAAAGGTGGTGTTTTTCAACCTAGGCTGGTTGACATGACCCAAAGCCACCCCACAGGCTATTCTCCATTCCTCTCAGCTGATAATCAACTGCCACTGATGAGCTATGCTAATAGAAACATATCATTATCCCAAGGCCTGTAGTAAAGGCCAAGCCTGGAGGACATTGAGATATCCTGACTTAGAGACTATCCAGGACATCAGAAGGCCTTATAGCCAAATTCACCTTATGTAAGAGAGCTGCTCAGCTAGCATAGCATTTGGGGGTGAAGCCTAAACTTTTGGAGGGGAATGTATAGGTGTCATTTTGAGTTCCTCACTCTTGATGTATCCTTCAGTCAATCTTCTAGTGATAACTGTTTCTACCTCAAAGTTTTCAGAAGTATTAAGTGACTGAAGCTAACTGATACAAAGGGAAGCTTATAAACAAAATCTCTAAGCATGTTTCTAGAAGCAGTTTCTTTCCAAATAAATGAGATATACAGATAACTCAGCTGCTAACATAAAATTAAAATGAGCACATCAAGTTATGATTTGTAGAAGTGTGACAGTGGTCCATCAGGAACAATGAACAGTTTAGCAGCTGACATAAAGATATTTCAAATGGCTGCTGGGCAACCGGCCAACTGTTAAGAGTTGAAATTAGCAAAGCCCTCAGATTAGAATTCAATTCCTATCTTTTTGCCAGAATCTATGGTTTTGAATAGTGCTATAACTTTCAGCATCATTTTTCCCCATTGTAAAAGTAATACCAAGGGCTTGTGGTATGGCTCAAGTAGTAGAGCACCTGCCTAGCAAGCCTAAGGCCTTGAGTTCAAACCCCAGGAGTACCAAAAAAATTTAATAAAAAAAATAATAAAAGTAATACTTGCTCATTGTAAGAAATTTCTTATTTCAAGGAAGGGGAAAAAAAGTATCAATTCCCATTCCTTCTACCCAGAAGTGTCCAGGTTAGTGTAAAGGCTGCTGTAAGCATGAGTAGAAAGGGCCTGGCCTGGGAAAGTTAGGATCTGATGAGCACCATGCCGTGGGTGCACATGCCAAGCTTCAGGAACATGTAATAAGACAGGTTTGATATCCTCAAACCATAAAGCCTTAATACTTCTGAAATAAGAAACTCCTACACCAAACAATTACTGCATGTTCCAACAGGCATCATCACCTCTATGGTGCTTAGTGCTGTGTAGAATACTGACTAAGGAATACCTGAATGGGTACAGCATTTTTAATGTTTCACAGAATTTTTTATTTGCTTGCTTGGCAGTACTGGGGTTTGAACACAGGCCATTGTGCTTGCAAGTGTTCTACCATTTAAGCCATGCCTCTGGTCCTTTTTTGGTTTTAGTTCATTTTCCAGATACAGTCTTCCACTTTTGCCTGGGCCAGCCTCAGATAGCAACCCCTCTTTACCCATACACCCCGCCTGGGATTACAGATGTGCATCACTATACCCGGGCCTGGGCTTGGGCTTTTTTAAAGGATGATTTTTGGTTTTTTCCTATTTCCAAAATTGAAAGTCTTAAATCTATTTCTTGACATTGGAGTTTCCTGTTAGGCTACAGTCAACTATCATATGGTATTGAAAGACATTAAAATTATCTTTCCTTAGCTGCCAATGTCTCACATCTGTAATCCTAACTATTTGGGAAGGTGAGATTAGAAGGACTGAGGTTTGAGGCCAGCCCAGGCAAATAGTTTGTGAGACCCTATCTTCAAAATAACCAGAGCAAAATGGACTGGAGGTGTGGGTCAAGCAGGAAAGCACCTGTCTAGCAAACAAGAAGCCTTGAGTTCAAACCCCAGTCCCACCAAAAAAAAAAAAAAAGGTAATAGTAATCTTTCCTTTTTTTCCTTTTGGCTTTATCACAAAAAGCATACACAGGTTATGGAATGATTTCTACAATAAGGGGCAAATAAATATACAAATAGAAATACATATAAATAAAATGTATATTAATAAATGTTAAATACTTACTCTTCCTGTGATTTTTCCCTCTGAAAAATCAGTTCTAAATCTCTGAAAGAGAAAACAGCCACAGTTATAAGAACAGACTGGTAAGAAAAAGCACGGCTCAGCTCTTTCTACCCAAACAGGTGAAAATCACAACTTAGTAACCTTGATACTAAAAACTGTTATAAAAGCTGTGGTTAGGTATATTCAATAAAAAGAATGTAGAACTTTATGGATAAACAGACTAAACATACAATGGTTTGTTCTATGTATGCATTTAAAAAGGCTAATAAACTATCAAATATAAAAGCTTTTCTAGTCCTTCTTTTAGAAAAAAGAAGTTTCACAGTGTCAAGTTAAAGGTTACTAAGAAAAAAATAAGCATAGGAGGTATAGGAGCTGAGAGCATTAGTATCTATATCTAAATGACTATACCTATTTAACTTACAAAAGAAGAGAGACTTAGTTCATGAACACAGAACCTTCCTTACCAATGCTTCTGTAAGAAGTTCTGTTCTGTGCTCTGTGGAAAATTTTAAAGTTTCTGACTTTTTCCCACTGCCTTTACGAAATGTGAGGTTGAATTCCGTTCCCTGTCCTTTTCCAACAGGGCTGATACTACAGATGTCTCCATAAGGCCACTAAAAAAAAGAAAGGAATTCTTTCAAATGCTGCTATGATCTAGAAAAATGCAATGTTTATTTTTACCACATTATTACTCTAATTTCATACCCACTGATTAAATGAACAAAATTCAACAAAATACTATAGGTACATAAGAAATTATGTCTCATAACAATTCTAAAACTCAAATTCTCTTAAAAGATTTAGTTAGCAGAAACAACGACAAAAATCTGTATTTCAGACTTAAATATAAAGCAATTACAATAAAAGTGAAAAGAATTAGGAAGTAACACTTTATGATTACTTATAAGTCCACTAAGGAAGAAAAAAGAATCTATAAACATGTCTAATTTACAAGATAAGCTAGGATATCTTTGTCTGTTCACTTATGCAGGTTCAGTTAGTCTTGCCTATAAACAAGCAATCCTAGTGCTTTGACAAGGTATTTTACACCAATTACACTTGTGACATAACTAGTATATCCCTGTATAACAGTAATAGCATTTAAAAATTATAAAAAATTACCTTTCATATGAGAGAGACAGCTACATTTGATAGTAATAGATCAAAAGAGCCTAGAAATAAGCACATTCCCTTGTTCCCTATTCATTTATTTTGGTCCCAAACATAGAGCATTATATATAAGCAAATCAGTCTCTTTCAGATTTGACATTTCTATCCTTAGTACTGATTTTAGGCCAGGGGTAATGGAATACACCTTGGCTTTTAAAATTCAAGATGAGTTTATAGAAACTCTTATCAGTTTCTAACATTAATTACCTGATTTGTTACTTCTAAGGTATTGGGATTATATGTAGTAATCGCATGGGTTCCAACTGAAAAGACACGCTTATACCTACAAAGGAAGACAAGTACTTATATTTACATGTCAACAACAACAAATCCTTGCAAGAAAAAACTCTTCTAAAAAAAAAAAAAATACATGACACCACCAGAAAACATTGCAGTAAATAGAAACGTGTTAACTGATTAATGGTGACTAAATATAGCTTAGTCTTTCAATTTTCATTTTTAATGTTCTAAAATGTTATTAGAATTAAAATCCACCTACCATTCATTTTACTTTTACCTATTAGATTCCTACATAGAAAAATATGACGTATACAAGCAAGTTTGTGCAGTCGGTACATACAGATGAAGATGGCAAAGCACCAGCCTAGGACACTAAAAAGATTCTAAATGGGAATTTTTATTTTAACAAAAGATGTTGCATACCACGAATTCTTTCAAAATATTCTTTCAATAAAACCAGCATAGATAGGAAGGAAAAGTTATGGCCTGCAACTAGTCAGACACAGTCATACCCTACAATCTTAATTTCTACTCAAGCAACTACCTATCTCATTTAAGTGCTGCGATTTAATATAAGTAGAAAGCGTATACCACAAACAAGCAATTTTCACTTCTTACTTCCTTCATTTCAAGTAACATCTGAATAAGAAAAAAAATCTGAATTATGAGTGATCCTTTAGAAGAGAAGACTTAATAAGGATAAAAGTGAAAACTGAATTAAAAAATTTAAAACTGAAGAATGAGTTTTTAAATATAAAATATTATAACAGGTAAAAACATTAGCTAGTATGAGCAAAAACAAAAAAAATTAAGAATAAAAATATTCACAGCCTTAGATGCAGAAAAATTTGAAAAATGATAGTGTGACTATGCTGATAAATTTAAAAACTAAGAATAAATCAACTACTAGATAGAAAAACTTAAGAAAACTGCAAAGAATTACATTCTCCAAAAGCACCAAGCTCTAACAATTTCAAAGGAGAAGACCCATGGTTCTTAACTGTTCCAGAAAACAGAATAAAGACTGTTTCTCAATTCTTTTACTGATAGTAAAATCTGGTAACACAAAAAAAACCCACCAATCTAGTTTTAAATAAGTATTAGCAATAGAAATCAAGTAACATTAAAATAGTAATACATTAAGACCAAAAAAGAAGGTTATTTTAGGAAAAACAGTTCGGTATTAGAAAACTGTAACTGATATTGAAATATCTATTTATATTTTAGTAAGCGTTGTTTTAGTTATCAAAAATGGATGTTAAATTCAACCAAATGTCTTTCTGACCTCTGTTTTTTTCTGCTTTGAACTACTTAAATGCTAAAAAGATATACATTATCTTACTCCAACAGCCATTGGCAAGCGCCAGGGTAACACTCTAGAAGAGGTCCCATAACACCAAGAAATCTTAAACGTCTTTGTTTTTTATTGTCCATTTTTTCTAATCAGTGCATTACATAATAAAAATGTCAAAAAGTCACTTCCATTTGCACAAAAAGAAAATAATAAGAATTTTATCACGTATTGATCCAAATTGTTGCTATGCTAGAAATAGTTTTTTCCTAATTTTACATGTCTAGAGAAGAATGAGAGCACTTCCTTCTAACATTAAAAACATTCATTTCTTTCTGAAGAGGTGAGGGTTAGAGGATTGTGAAGTAGGCTAGGACTTATCTCAGGAGCTAAAAAGTCATCAGCCTTCAAAGTCTTAACTAATTAATAAGAACAAAAACAAAACAATAAGATCTCCCTTAAACCAATTTTGACTTAAAACATTACACAATGAAATTGAATGTCCAACAGAAATATGAATTCACAAATTCTTCCTGAATCACCTTGAGAGTCAAAAATTAGAAGTCACAATTCTAAAATAAAACTACACAAACTGTTCTATTCTAAGAGTAAAAAGAATAAAATGTCCCAAATGTTAGCTGCTGTATGTGCAGTCTTAGAGAATCATTAAGAAAATAATCTTTTCAGTTCTATGTCCCTTTTTTCTAATTTTCAACATATCTAAGGACCTGCTGAAATCTTTTTATTAAATTTAACTGACACATTAAAATTGTACATATTAGTCAGTATTCTGTGATGTTTCAGTACATTATACACTGTGTAAAGTTCAAATCAAGCTAAACAGATCCATCTCCTCAAACATTTACCAGACATTTTTCTCAAGGAGGGGAGGAGGAAGTGGTAGAGGTCAAACCCAGGGTTTCATGCATGTTAGGCAAGTGTTCTACCATTGAACTATGCCCCTGGCCTCCAGAACTTCTTACTAACAGTAAGTGCCCACTGACACCCTTCCACTTTCCCCCATCCCTCCCCTCATCAGCCTGTGCTCACCACTATTCTACTTTCAACTTCTGTAAGCTTAACCTTTTTCGATTCCTCCTATGAGTTCATGCAGTACTTTATTTCTGTGCCTGATTTAATCTTCAGTTCCATCCATGCCATAAATGCAGAATTTCATTCTTTTTATGGCTGAAGAGTACTCCACTGGGTATATGTACCACATTTTCTTTATACATCCACCAGTTGATGGACATTTAGAATGTTTCCGTTTCCTCGTTACTGCTGAATACTTCTACAATAAACCCAAGAGTGTGGTATCTTTTTATTTTATTTCCTTTGGATATATACCAAATAGTGGGAAGGCTGGATCGTATGGTAGTTCTATTTTTAATGTTTTGAAGACCCTCCATTCAGATTTCCATAATGAGTGTACTAATTTACATTTCTACTAATGGTATATAAGGATTCCCTTTTCTCCATGTCCTTAACCAGTACTTGTGATCTTTAGTCTTTTTGATTATAGCCATTCTTACTGAAGTGAGGTAGTATCATGTAATTTTGATTTACATTTCCCTGATAATTAATGGTGTTATGCATTTTAATGTACTTAAGATTTTTTGAAACAAACACTCCTGTATTATTTTTATTACAGCAAATAAAAATATTACAACATCCTCTAATTTTCTAGTCTGTATGAATCTTTTTCCTTCAAAATAATTTTTATAGCATGATTTTTTTTTCATATGGCCACTTTTTTGTTCCCCCATAGGGGAAAAACTAACATGTTAGATCAATACTGCATTAGGTATTACCGTAGACTGACACAATATTAAATAAGCACCTAACACTGTGCTGGATTCAATGATATGGCAGTGAATGACAGGGACAGTCCTTTAGTAGAGTCTACTCTCAACATTTTCATTAGTATTTATTTCAGACATCTGAAATAAATTTCAAAGTACTAGGAACCAAGATTCTTGTTAGTCTTGTCTAAAAGTTAATTTCAGATCTAGACATCAACTAGTTTGTTACAAAAATATTAAGTAACCATCACATTATCATACTCTTTTGCACAGAAAATTCATTATCATTTAAGTTTTTTCTTTAACAAAAAATTCAACATTACTTTCTGTTGGTAAACAGTAAGGAAAAAGTTCATGTTTACTATAAAAACAATGGTTCTCAAATTCTTAAGGTCATAAGACCTTTGTGTATTACTTTTAAAGTTCAAAATCCTCAATTCTTTCAATGAAGAAATCCATGTAAGGGGCTTAGGTGCCAAGCACATAAGTAAACAGTCAATAAATGTTAGCTAATCCTATGCTATTATCCTAGGAGTTAAATAATAGTGGGGAGGGGAGATCCCAAAACTTCAGTAAAGTATATTAATTATACTTAGATCATGTATGTTAATTATAAGCATAATGTTCATAATTGCTCTAGCAATTCATATTTAAAATAGAACCAAATGAATGGGCAAACTGTCATTCATCTGGGCTATATCACCAAGATACTCTGATTCTGGGTTAAAAATCCACTTGCATGTAAGAGGGCTCATCAGAAGCTATCCTCTTCAGAAAAGAAAAAGAAGGGACAGATACAGGACATACTCCACAAATATATACCTAATCAGTGAGAAAGATGCTCCAATTCTCTCATAGGAAATACAGGATATCCCAAGAAGCGTAGTGTGTTAAGAACTTAAATTCTGGGATGCAATGTTGCTACTTCTTTCAGCTTAGATGGAGGTAGATTTTAATACAAATTGTGTGTAAAATGTTAAGACTCCTGTAAAGATGGCTGGCACTTCTGGATGGAAGATGTTTAAATTCCAGATTGCCTGATAGTAGTCAAAAAAAGACATAAACAGAGAAAACGCAAAAAGAATTCAGGATGAACTCCTAGGAGGTTTAGAGGGTGGCACTGTCACAGCTAGGATAAAACAAGGTTGAAAAAATCATTCAGGATTTGAGGGTTATTAGAATTGGTAAGGCATCCAAAGAGAAGGGTGTCTCTTCTCTTGTTCAACTCTCTCTCTGTCTATAGTATCAGAGTTAACAGCTTCACTTTCCCTCAACTATCCTCTCAATTTCCATACTGTAATGCAGTAATCATGTCACTGAATTTCACACACCACCATTTATCCTAATGTATTCTGATTAAAATCTTGTCCAGACACTAAAATACCATTCAGTACCACTAATGTATACAAACATTACAGCAATCCATAAGCAGATTTGACTTGAAAGTCCATCTAGAGAAAGCAGGAACTCATATTACTTTGAAGTTTTCCTCAGCGAATCTGTACTTCTGCTTTAACTGAAACATCTGCACCTTCCTTCCTGCCTGAAATGGCTTGCTTAGGCCAAAAAGGAAATTTTGCTTTCATGAAAGAAAAGTGTTTTTCCATCCTGAAATCTATTTACCTTTCTTACTCCTCCCAAAACAAACACATAATTCAATTATGTATGGAGTTCGCAAGTGGAAAAAACAAGCACAGAAGCTGCTTTGTCAGCCAAGGAGTCTATACTTAAGAAAAGACCTACATTAAGAAGAGTATGTGGCAGCTCCGCTGTGAGGCATACTGAAAACCATAACAGAAGCAAAAGAACGCATCACTCTATAAACATCTTTGAGGGAAATATTTGGAAAGGTTATCTTTAAGTCAGGCAGACGCAGACAAAGAAAAGTAAGTATTCACCTTTATTGCCACCATCAGTAACATTTTCCAAAATATTAGGACTGGGTCAATAGCATGCATACAGGCAGAATCTCTTAAACCCAAAGTTCCCAAAATCACAGGCAAAATTTGTTATATATACATGTTTTTAGAAAGAAGGTTCAAACAGCAACTCTGTCATAATCAAATTTTAATGTTGATGTTTTAATTTTTTACATTAACACTATTGAGTAGTACTTTAAACCTAGATTAGAATTCACCCTATGAAACAGGTTAAGAATAATCAGTTTCAGGGTTGGAGTCTAGGCTTAAGTGGTAGAGCACCTGCCTACCAAGTGTAAGGCCCTTAGTTCAAATCCAGTATTGCCAAAAACAAAAAGAAAACAAGAATAATCAAAGTTTCAGTGCCACATAGTATAATAAAAGTTTTGTCATATACAGAGCAATGAAATAACCATTACTATCTGGAAAACAGAGAATCAGGAAGAAGTTAAAAGATTCAAGGTGTGTAAACTGAAAATAAGAAAACACTGCTGAAAGAAATTTTAAAATATCCAAATAAGGGTAAAGATCCCATGTTCATGCATCAGAAAAGTTAATACTGTTAAGAAAGCAATACTCCCCTAGTTCATCTATATACCCACTATAATCCCTATTAAAATCCCAGCTGCTATTTTTATAAAATTAATAATTTGCTCAGAAATTCATATGAAATATAAGAAATATATTGGATAGAAAAATATTTAAAATGATTTTGAACAAAGTTGCAGACTCATATTTCCCAGTTTCAAAACGGTATAAAGCTACAGCTATCAAAGCAGTATGTTAGTGGTGTAAGGATTGGTAAGGCATTTAGGAATCAATGGAATTAAATTAAGAGTCCACATTTATGGTGAAATGATTTTTGACAAGGGTGTCAAAACGGTTCAATAGGGAAAGAATAGTCTTTTCAACAAATGATGCAAGTACAAGGATATCCGTATGCAAAGAAATAAATTTGGATCCTTGGTTCATGCCATATATAGAAATCAACTCAAAATTAAAGTTCTAAAACTCATAGAAGCAAACACAAAAGTAAAGTCAAATCTTTGTGACCTTAGATATGACCAAAAGAACAAGTGGCAAAGCAAGATAAATTGGATTTCTTCAAAATTCAAAAATGTTGTGCTTCACAGAATATCATCAAGACAGTGAAAACAACCCATGGAATTGGAAAAAAAATTTGCAAATCACACATCTGATAAGGGATTTGTATTTGGAATAAAGAACTTGTAACCACACAAACATCCATTAACTGATAAACGAAATTTGGTATATTCAGAGTAGAATACTACCTGACAGTAAAAAGAAGTACTGACACATGTTACAACATGGATAAACCATGAAACATTAAGTGGAAGAAGTAGTTACAAAGAACAAATTTTCTATTCATTCATTTCTGTTCCAAATAGGCAAATCCAGAGGCAGGAAGTGGATTAGTGCCCACCAGATGCTAGGAAGAGGAGGAGAAAAGGAGTAACTAACTGCCAAATTTTTAAGAAGTTTTTAGAAGTATTTCTGGGGGGTGATGAAAATGTTCTAAAAACAGTGGTGATGGTTCATGGATATACTAAAATCATGGAATTATATACTGTGAAGGGTACATTTTAAATTACATCTTAAAGCTGTTGTAAAAACAAAAAGAAGATTCAAGGTATGAATGGAAGGAAGGAATTCAGCTAAAAACACAGAGAGCTCTGCTCCAAACTGTTATTTTAAAAAGGGGAAATAAAAGGATTTCTTTAAGCATTGGTCACTATTCTCTAAGAATGTATTTTTTTAAAGTTTCCAGATGATCACAATTACTGACAAGCTCACAAAGTAGAAAGTTTGTTCTTTAGAATTAATGCATCAGTATGCTATATACAGAAGTTATCGTATGATGATCTACCACTTCAGAAAAAATAAGTTTGAATATATAATTTACTTTTAAACTTGATTCAAGTTTAAAAAAAAGATTCATACTTCCTTGGATATGCCAATTTTCTAACATTATTCAATGAAACTATCTGGGGGAAAAAATCAGAGATAAGTATTCTACAAGGGCAACAATTATGCTAATTTAGGAGTTTATACAGTTTAGTTTCAAAAAACAATCAAACTCTAAAATATTTCAAAACTAGTCAGTTTGCTAATAATGCAAATCAGAAACACTACTGTACCACCCTAAAAAGTAAGTACATTATCAACTAAAAAGTGAAAAAGAATAACACACATTTCACCTTATGGCCTGTTTTAGAATAATGTGCTCACCTATTTGTCTCACTGTGACATGCTCATTTTACTCATTACCACTCAAAGGGACCAGAGACTAACCTTTTTTAGGCACATGGATGCCATTCACTGAACAATCAGTGTACCTATGGCATAATTTAAAAACTTTCATTCATTCCTGATCATTCACTTAAACTGCGTAATAATCTAGAGGAAAGGAATCACCATCCACTTTATAGAGATACAGAGAGCAGACACAAACATTTACACCTTGGTCTGACTAGGAAAGCTATCAAAAAAAAAAAAAAAAAACCAAAAAAACAACCCATTACCATTCTTTCTCAAGAAAAATAAACCCAATTTTAAAATTTCATTTCAGGATTAAAAAAGGTTACAAACTTCTCTGGAATTAATGGCATGTTTCCTCTGAGTCAAATGTGTATGACAATGTGTCAATTACACACAGGTTAACCTCTGGGTAAAGAAGCTGCAGAGCTAACACTGTGTCACTACTGCATAACCTCAAAATTGACTGGCAACAGCAGAGATGTCCAGTTGCTTTACTTTCCTTTTGTTACTTTTCAATTCTTAGAAAACTCCTCCCCAGGCAGATACAGAAACTAGAAATGTGAAAAAAAAAAAGAAAAAAATTATTCTAAAAGTAGCATTTACATTTAAAATGTGCATATATGCTTTTCAGAAAGAAAGACTGATCACATTACTGAGTTGTGATGTATTACGCAAGATACTGAAACAGAACAATGTTTAAGATATAATATAGAAGCACAGAAAAATAAAGCCAGCAAGAATACTTACTTTCCCCTCCATGAATGTTTTGTTGTATAGAAACATGCCAAATCCTTATTTTCCCTAATTATGTTCATTTTGTGCTGAAACCTGGAAAATAAAAATATGGGCATACTTAGACAGTGTTAGATTTCCTGAATTCTTCCTGAATCTCCCATACCAAAGGTACGTCAGCTATCTTTCTCAGTTTCTTAGGTCTGTGAGACCACAGGATTTTTAAGGACTGTAGTCAGTTCACTGCTCTCAGTCTTCACCACATACTGTGTCAGAGTCTCTTTCCCACCAGATGGGTTGCCTGAGGACAAGAACTGCGCTTGATCAATATCCTGAATGCAAGGAATCTAGTAAGAAATGTCAGATAAAGATCATGACTCCACATCTCATACTGCCAAACACTTCTTCGCATATGATGAGGCACCTAAAAATGTCAAGTGTGAAACTAATTCCATATTAGAGGATCTTTCATAAGTAAGAATTTATAAATAATTTTCTCATCATAAAAGTAATGCATGTCCATAGCAAATCTAATGTTCATAAAACAGCTCTTATTCTAGCATCCAAAGATAATCACTCTAGCCTTTCATATATTTAGAAAAATCGTTTAAAAAAAATAAAAATAAAGGCCGGGCACTGGTGGCTCATGCCTGTAATCTTAGCTGATCAGGAGGTTCGCAGTTCAAAGCCAGCCTAGTTCTGCGAGACCCTATCTCAAAAAAAAAAAAAAAAAAAAAAAAAAATCCTTCACAAAAAAGGGCTGGAAGAGTGGCTCAAGGTGTAGGCCCTGAGTTCAAGTACCAAACCCACCCCCAAAACCTGAAACTACCATTGTTCTGCTTAGTCTGCTTTCACAGAGAAACTTTTCTCCACAGAATTAAATATTCCTTGAGAAAATTATCTTTAAGGCTACGTGATATTCCACTATGACCGCACTACTCATAGTAGCTGTAAACTGTTTATTACCAGGTCATATCAAAGTAAGTAAAGAAAACTGAGATGAAAAATTCAGTGACTTTCCCAACTTCTCAGGAGGTAGAGATGGAAGGATCATGGTTCGATGCCAGCCCAGACAAAATGAGACCTTATCTCAAAAACAATTAGGGTGTGGTGGTATAGGCCTATCATATCAGCTGCCCAGGAGACGAAGGTAGGAGGCTCACAGTCTGATGCTGGCCCAGGAGCAAAAGTGTGAGACACTCTCTGAAAAACAAACTAAAAACAAAAGGACTGGGTATGTGTCTCAAGTGGTAGGGCACTTGCCTGGCAAAGGACAGGCCCGGAATTCAATCCCCAGTACGGCCAAAAAGAAAAAGAATTCAGAAACTTTGATAGCAGCATGACTGGTGGACTCCTCTGGTTGAACAAGATACAGAGCAGAATACGACTGTACTTGTATGACAAATCACAGATAGAATAAGCCTCCTACAATCACATAAGGCTAGACAACATATATGCAGTACTTGTTAACTGAAACCCAGAAGTGTATAATCAAGAATCCATTTACTTCATGAAAAAAACTCAATTTGACAAATTTTACATGACAAATTGCTAGGATGACTCCTAATGAAAGACTGATAAGTTTTGAAAATAAAACTTCATTTTGTTTGAAAGTTAAAAACAAGTTTTTTTTTTTCATTTGTGCCTGATACATCTTCCCGGCCTTATTAAAAATGTACTCTAAAAAATATTATACCCCAGGTGTTAATAGTTCAAACAGAATGGTTGGGATTATGGCTCACTTAAATTTAGTTTACACCTTCATATACTGTGACTTTTTTAATATCAAGGATCTTCTCACAGTTATAAAACTTTTTCATTTAAAAACACATGAACAGCTTTTGAAACACAATTCATATACCACAAATTTTAAAGTGTACAATTCAGTGGCTTTTAGTATATATGAATTCTACAATCATCACTCCAGTAAGAAACCAGTTAACAGTCACTCCCCAACTGTCCTCACCCCAGCACCTGGCAGTCATTAATTTACTTTCTGTCACACAGAGTTGCCTATCCTTGGCATGTTGCCAAATAGTATTCCATTGTGTGGACATAACCACATTTTACCCATTAACCAGTTGATAGGCATTTGTGGTGGTCTACTTTTAGAACATGTATATCCATGTTTTTCTTGGGTATATACCTGAATGGCAAAAACATTTTGAAAGAAAGCTCTATTTGGAAATTGCTTTCTTCATTCCTCCTACTTGTTTTTGGACTGTCAATCACTGAGAACTTTGTATTCTCTACACAGAATGCTCAACCCCCAGATGTTCAGTGCTTACACCTTCCTCTCCTTCAAATCAATGCTCAAATACAATGAGTCCTACCCTAACCGTGGTGTTTTCATTTCAACTACCCTACTCATTCTGCACAGCCTTTTGCCTCTGCTTTTTCCCCACAGCACCTTCTGTGTTCTAATGTAAAATGTAATAATTTATTACATTTATTATTCATTTAATCCTATTAGAATATCCAGAAAAAGGTGGTTTGTCTATTTAGCTTGCAAAGGTGCCAACACAAAACAGGCAGACACACTCAGTATCTGAGTGAATGAATGAAGTACTGTAATCACACAGGCAATTCTGATGTCTACTTCAAGCTTGACTCTAATAGGAATACCCAAATAAAGTTTTGTCAAATCTCTGGGAAAGCATTATTAATTCATGCTATGAGAAATAACAACCACAAGTAACACCAAGTTTAGAGAAAGCTCTATTGTTATAAGAAAGAAGAAGTTCATCTTACAGTCAACTGACCCCTTCCTACTACTAAGTAGAGGGACAGCCAAATACAGTCCTGACAGTGTGGCACTGTGTTTGAGCTGGTGTGATGCTTGATTTATTTCTGGATTTTGTATCTGGTATGCCACAGATAGAAAAATAAAATTTATTAAACCCTTTCCCTCTGAATTATTTGCACTATATTATACTGTTGAAAAGAAATCTGGGTAAGTAACATCTTTAAGAGTGACCTAAAAAAAAGTGACTATAAATATATAGGTGTGTATAGATGATACTTTTCCCTTATATACAACTGAAGGTTGAGAAATAAAGGAAAAAGATGGACAGAAGAGGTGAATGCCCAACATTGAAGAGTGGGGTTTGGATTACCTAGTCCAAACCTTAAGACACCAGAATCACTGAGTCCGTATATACCATGGGCCTATGTAGGGCAAACTGAAAGGAGAGAAAATGTTTATGAGTAGAGACTGGTATAATTAAGAGACTTAATAACTAAAATGAAAGGCAGAAAAAAAACAGTAAAGATTGAAAAGTGCATGGTGGTACATGCCATAATCTCAACAATGGGAAGCTGAGGCAGGAGGATCATGAGTTTGAGACCAGTCTGGTCTATATAGCGAGACCCTGTCTCAAAAACAAAACCAAATGAAAAAAAAAATTTTTTTTAAATGACAAGCATAAAGAACTTAAGGCATAATCCAGAAAGAACAAAGCTAATTCAGGGAGAATAAAGGCAAAATAACATTGCTATTAATAACAAAGCAAATTCAAGAATTTTTTAAAGAAAACACCTAAAGAATAAACTCATGGGTATCACTGACTTGGGGGATATCAAACAACTCAAACAGACCTTTTGGGAGGGAAATTAAAACAAGTTTTCATCAAGAAGGTTTATCCACACCTTTTAGAGACCTATGAACACTGGTGAGGATGAAATCTCAGATTCCAGAGAGTTCTCTGTTCACTATAAAAAGGGAAAGGGAGAGAAGATACAACACAGTAATTAAAAAAAAAAAAAAGTTAACTGGCTTGTTAAAAGAAATACTGGATTCCTGATGCAGGTTAGAATGCTGACAGAAAAATACAAATAGGATTGAAGTAGTACTTCAATTAGGGACATAAGGAGTTCCTATGACCACCTATCAGCACACCTGACAATTTTCACTGCCTCTAATATTTTGGGAGATAAAATGTGATAATGCTAATCTGCATCTAACTCTAATTTAAAAACATCTAATGTTAAAAAAAAAAAAACAGGCTAGTAAAGTGGAAAAGCTCTTTGTGGACCAAAATTGGTTCTCTGAAAAGCTCACCTTCAACAAGCTGTATTTAGGTAAAGGTATGTTTGAAAGAGAGGCAGGAGACACCACCTAAGTGGCCAAGTCACTCCTATAAATGAAATAATTCAATGATATTGTTAGTGGCTGCATAGGCTCCCGATGGAAATTATGATACTACATTTCCATTTTGAACCTTCATTAAGAGCTATTCTAACATTGGGGGAGGCAAGCTCATTATAATCTAAATCTTTTTGACATGTCCTAAAATTACACAACTAACTTTTGAGTGCTCATGTGTTGTATTTATTTCATTTTGTCCCCACTAACAGCATGGATACAGGTATGATGATTCCCATTTTATGGCACGAAAACAAAGAGAAATTGTTTCTCCAAAACTAAACAGCTAGTTAAGTGGTTGATGAGGCTTTGGATCAGCCTGCTCAACTCCATACTTTATCAATCTAAGCTTTAACACATTCTCTCAACTTTAGGAAATCAAACTAAATCCATTCTCACCATACAATTACAGATTCATCATTTGACAGAACATTACTAGAATAAATTTGAACTAGTTTCAATATGTATCTTTATCCAGAAAGACAATTAGGCACCTATTGGAAATAATTTGAAACTCACAATTTCAAGCAGAGAACGAATGACCATAACTCAATCCAGGGTAAGTAAATAAATAAAAGGTGACATGCTCTCTATCCATAAATAAACCTCTTAAAAACTTCCATCCATAGCTACAGCTTAATTTTTAAAAAGTGTTCAAATAATACATACCATGACAGACATTTGTTATTAACATAGGATTTCAGCACACTTTTTAAGAAGAGTTCAACAACAGAAAATCTCTATTTTAATTAACATTGTGCTTTTAAAAATAACCAGAGTAAGGAGGTCTGAAAGTGGAACCTATTTCCTAGCAGTATAATATTAATCTCTTCAAGTTTTCAACTAAATCTATTTATGTTTTTAGGAAAATCTCAAATACTTTTTAATAAAGTCACTGTCAATAAATGGCAATTGGTCTGGAAACTGCACTAACTTTCAGATCATGAGGATACTTTGAGATACACAAAGAACTCAGGAAAGAGGGTAATGGCAAATTCCCAAAGAGCAGGAAAATGCATAAAAAGTAGGTCCTGACTGTGTATCATTCAAAATGAGCACTAGAACAATTTCACAAGAACCCCTGGAAAATGAGTGAAGGAAGTCTAGGGTCTCTGAGTACAACGGTCAAGTGGTTCAACTTGGGAAGACTTTGATGGCACACATCTCAGAACTGCTACCCACACACTCTATGTTAACTGATGACTAGCACAAGTGACTACATTAACATGCACACGCAAGTGGTTTTAATAGTTAAAGCTATCATCAAGGAAGGGGTAAACTTCAAAAATATTACTGATGGCCAAAGTTAGACTAGTAATAACTGTCATGTATTGGCTATATGACTCTGAATAAGTCTTAACTTCTCTGAATCACAGCCATGTATAAAATAGGGATGGTAGTAATTGTTCCAAAGGGATGTGGTGAGGAATGAGACAAATCAAAATAAGGAGTAAGGTACCTGACTCAGAATAAATACTCAAAAACATTAAATAATACTAATTAATAGTAATTAAAGTATTTTA